AGAATCCCATTGCTAGCAATATACCCAACTAGGTCGACCTTCTCGCGGTTCCCCCTGGAAACTATCATGGTTCATTCCTGATAAATTCATCATGATGGGCTAACTGACCTGTTTTCATTCTCATCGATCACCCTTCACTGGTGTCCCGCCAGCGTATCCTGTTAGCGCAGGCGGGGTTACCATACCATTTTCACCCATCAAAAAAAAAAAACAAAAACAATTTCTAAATTAAATAAATACTTACTAATGACTATTAATAATAATAGTAAATAGTAAGTATTTATTAAATAAATACTTACTGTTTACTATTGTAATATTTAGGAGGAAACGACAAGGAGTATCAATCTAAATATTTTGAGAGATAAGAGACATTTGTATATTTTAAAATAAATTAATATATAAACATATAAAATAATATACATATATAAATGACATACAGTACAATACATATGTAAATAACTGTACATAATACATTAATACATTTTAATATAATAAATATATAAGTCATTGCTAATTATATAATAGTGTAGATTGAAGCTCTTTATTGCTGTGATAATTTAATGTAAGGTTCAAGAAGGGACTTCTCGAAGGAAAATTTGGTTAGGGACTTTTCGATATCAACAAGTAGTGCATCTGTTAGTGGGTAGATAATTTATGTAAATATTTAATTTTAATTTCTGCTTTGCACTACTACTGCCCACTCACTACTTCCTATGCCACTGCGTTAGGTTGACTGGAAGAGATCTCTTTTAGAGATAAGTTCGCCTTTGATAACTTTGTTATCAACTTATTGTTGTTTTTGTTACTGTATGTTTTATTGCAATAAAGAATATATATATATATATATATATTCTTTATTATATATATATATATATATATATATATATAATTTCACAGAACCCTAGTGACTTTTTTACCGAACCCCTAAGCTCCGCGGAACCCACTTAACACAGCACTACCTTAACAATAGGTGATAACAAGCAATGATCTAAAAAAATACAAATGACTTGCTCAATCGAATAATTAGTAGACAAATAAATAGATACTCTTTATTGTTTCCTTCGTGAGATTACAGTAGTAACTTATCTATATAATTTATTGTATAAACTATATTATATAACCAATTACGTGATAAATATTACACTAAGAAAACAATGGACGGCCTTATCGCTAAGAGCGATTTTTTCCAGACAAGATTTAAATTTAGATTTCTAGTAGTCGGATTATAAAAGTCTTTTTTATTGTTATTTTTTTTTATACAACTTAGAATGGCAAACAAGCTGACGGCCCACCTGATGGAAAGTACTAACCGTCGCCTATAAACATGAGCAGTACTATGGACATAACAGAGTATACTGTTTCGTTAAAAATCTATTGTGTAAAATGTATAAATAAAGTGCCATTGTGATAGATATAAAAATAAAATATTATTGCTGTATAAAACCATGTTTTTCTCTGCTGAGATTTGGAAATTATCATGTAATTTATATATACTCTTATAATTTGATAAATACTCTTATCAGGCTGATTAGGTTAAACCAAACAATGTCTCTCTCACATGTAAAAATCAACTCCAAGTTCCGTCAACATCTCAATATCTCGCCTCCAAAGATGGTACGATTCGCAAACTACATCCTCCGTGGAGCCAACTACTATGTTCTCACTGTTTTCATGAGTATATTTATCGTGTATACTCATTCCTTTATTTATAATTAAATAACCAGAGGGAGACTTTGTACAAAAGTCGATTGCTTGGATACCTCTGTCCACATCATCACACATCATCATCATCATACCAGCTTTTAACTGTCCACTGCTGAACATAAACCCTCTAAGGAGGTTTTACCAGTAATTCCGCTTGGCAGGCGGATTGGCAACCGAAGTTAAGATTTGGAGATGTTTTAAGAGGAACGCTGCTGCCGATTCCACTCCCTACCTTTGTCGTCACTTATTGCAACCACGAGAAAGGAAGGGGTGGCCTATTCTATGCCGGGACCACACGGAAATCAGAAGAATTACACTAAGTATGACATAATCACTACGTAATAACATGTGGCGTCTGTAATTCCCAATTTCCTCCGAACAACTACAAACACATGACTATTAATGAAATATATAACATATTTCTATTTAGACATAAGATTATTGAACTGTTTAAATGAATTTTGATCTTATTACTTGTACACAAAAGTTTAAAATTGAAACGTGACAGTGGCAGCCTTCGTTAACGCTCCAATATCATTGATAAAAAAAAACTATAATATATTTATTACCTTAACTAATTGCATTTAGATAACAATTATACAGCTGGCCAATAATGAACAATGAGTGCAATTAAAAAAGTACCCTTTTACCATAATTTTAGATTTTTTATTTGCAAAACAAAAGATTATTTTGACCGTATAAGATTTAGGCCTTGTTTTTAGGTTTATGAGTAGAAACATAGATTATAATACTCTAGCAGTAGTGTGGTGGCGTGGTCCCGGCATAGAATGGGCAAATCCATAAGTGACGTAAGGAACGACTAAAGGAATTTAACGGTGGAGGGGTGAGCAGCAGCGTCCTTTTAAAAACATTACCAAAACTGCAGTTGCCAACCCGCTTGCACCCGCTTGCCAAACGTGGCAACTACTGGCAAAATCCTCCTAAAGGGAGACCTATGTATAACAGCGGACAGTTAACGGCTGGTAAGATGCTACTAGTAACATAAATATGGAAGTGACGTAATTTCCAACCGACTTCAAAAAGGTTTTTAATTCTGTTATGTTTTTTTTTTATGTTTGTTACCTCATAACTCCGTCAGTTATAAATAAATTTGGAAAATTCTTTTTCTATCTAAAAGGATATACTCACAGATTAATCCCATGAAAATTTTAACAAAATCGATTTAGTAGTTTAGTTTTAAAATTGAAATAACTGGTGTTCTCAGAATTTAAGTCTGTTTTTTTGTAAAACAAAACCTTTAATTACTTAAATCTTTATTCGTTTATGTGAGTACTTAAGTTGCAGGTATTACTGTTAGCATTATATTTAATATACTAGTTATCCGCCCCATACTTCGTACGCGTGGACTTCAAAAGTGGGATAGTCAATGAAACATACTAGAATGAAACTCCTAGGTGGCGTATCAAGACAAAATATACACCAAATTTTGAGTTAGACCTTCACGAGCGTAACTGTGAAAACCGCATCCAATTTGGTGTAGTAGTTTTTATGTAATGCTAGAACAAACATAGAGATTTTTTTTTTTAAATTATTAATTACTGTTATTATTAACCTTACGTATCTATTTTTCTTAAATATCTCCCATGTACAGATACCGTCTTGTTACATTGTAAATTTTATTATAATTAGTAACATTTTGAAGTGGCTTCCAAAAGGGATTTTTCAATTGGTCTGTTGGGGGGGAAAGGGATTGTTAGTAATGGAGACTGAGAATCCCATTGCTAGCAATATACCCAAACAGGTCGACCTCCTCGCGGTTCTCCCTGGAAACTATCAGGGTTAATTCTTGTTGAATTCATCATGATGGGCTAACTGGCCTGTTTTCATTCTCATCTATCACCCTTCACTGGTGCTTCGCCAGCGTATACTGTTAGCGCAGGCGGGGTTACCATACCATTTTCAACAATAAAAAAAAATTGTTCTGTATATTTTTTTTTTGCTATCCACGTGGCAAAAAATTATTATATATGCGATTTCTGAATTAATTAGTTTGCTTATTTAAATGTACTCGTGTAAAGTTTATAATGGTTTTACCATATATATTTTTACTGTTTCTAACAGAATAAAGAGTTTTCCACACTTATGAATTTATTATAGTGACGATAATATGCCTTTTAGGGTTCCGTAGTGAAATATTACCCTTATAGTACAACTTCGTCCATCCGTCTGTCTTGCCTTGTAAATTTCGAGTTAGGACAGAAAAGTTGAATAAGTAGGACTGTGTTTCACAAAGAAACAGACATCCATCGTGGCTAAATAAATTGTTTTGTTTTAAAAAATCCAGTAATTTTTAATTAAAAACTGGACTACTAAAAATATATTGATAATTTTTTTATGGGACCAGCTTGTAAGTATATCCTTTCAGATAAAAAGAATTTTCCAAATCTGTTTCAATATAAAATTTCAATATAACTGACGGAGTTATGGGCCCATAAAAAATTTATCAAAATCGGTTCAGTAATTTAGTTTAGAAATCAAAATAACTAGTTTTGTCACAATTAAAGTCGGTTTTTTGTGAGACAATTTAATTATCTGAAGTCAAGTTGAAAATACAAAAATGTTTGAGAAATTATGTAAAAATTAATTAAATAAAAAAAAATATCAGACAATTATACGCTACAATTTTTAACCATAGTTATTGTTCAAACAATAAACAAAAATAAAAATAACTAGTTACCTATAGTATTTCATATAAGAAATAAAATAAACACGTTTAAACTGATGTTTATTTAATTTCATATAGATTAGGTATATGTACGTATATATATATATAGGCCACCCCTTCCTTTCCCGTGGGCGTCGTAAGAAACCACTAAAAGAGCGTGGGAGATGGGCAACAGCTTTTAAGATGTTCGGCAAAAGCAGAGCATCTTAAAACATCTCCGAAGCCTAACTGCGGTTGCTAATCCGTCTGCCAAGCACGGCAACTACTGGCAAAACCCCCCAAGGGGGAGGCTTATGTCCGGCAGTGGACAGTTAAAGGCGGATATGACGATGATGATGTATATATGTAAATAAATTTTTATCTAAAGAATACGAAAGAATAAGAATACATAGGCTACGGTAACCGCTTACCATCAGGTGGGACGTATGCTTGTTTGCCACCTCAGTGGTATAAAAAAAAATCTAAAGAATACAAAATTCTACTATTCACTTAGATTATTTTTTTATCTACGGAATCCTTTGTTTACGAGTCCAACTCGTATTGGACTAGTTGTTTTTTTTTTTTAGTACAGATAAGAATAATAATGTGGTTATTATTATCACACTAATCTCCCGGTAAAATAATGCTCAACTGTATGAGGACTATGCCCATAAATTACACTGTAGATTAAATAAAATATAAATATAGATAAAATATCATTTTCACATTAATACTGCATTAAGAAATATGTATTATATTGAAGCGGTTGTGTTTGGGTGAGTTGGATATTATATTTGTTACGCTTTTTTTTTCTAATGAAATTAGATTAGTAACCTCTTTTTTTTATACAACTTAGAATGGCAAATAAGCTGACGGTCGACCTGATGAAAAGTGGTAACCGTCGCCTATATACATGAGCAGTACCATGGACATAACAGAGTATACTGTTTCGCCCATGATACCCCCATGCGTTGCCATTCCTGAGGACTCAGGTGTTATTCCTCTGTACCCAGTAAATTCACGCCATATCCCACCCTTCAAACCGAAACACAGCCATGCAAACACAACTGCTTTACGGTTGAAACACGAATGGGACAGAGGTACCCAAGCAAAGGACTTTTGTACAAAGTCTCCCTCTGGTGAAAAAATTAGATTACTAACAGTAGTATATGCCGGTCAGGCACCAGTGAAAGAGGTTAGATGTGGATGGAAGTAGGTCCGGTGGCCCATCGTGACGAATTCAACAAGAATTAACCATAATATATCCATATACTGGGAGGAAAGGGATTGTTAGTAACGAGATCTAACTGACCCATTGCCAGCAATACACCCTATCACCAGAGGGAGACTTTGTACAAAAGTCGATTGCTTGGGCACCTCTGTCCCATTCGTGTTTCAACCGTGAAGCAACTGTGTTTGCATGGCTTTGTTTTGGTTTGTTAAATAATAGTTAGTTGGACAGATTACAATGAAATTTTATACACAGATTGACTGTATTCTATATTGGTACATTTGAACTCCTATTGTCTAATTTCATGTGAGCAAAACCACGGCCTAGAACTATTTCTTACAACAACCGTGATAGTTTGTACGTTTGAGTTTGTTTACTACCTTTTTTTTATGCAACTTGCAACAGCAAACAAGCTAACGGCCCACCTAATAGAAAGTGGTAACCGTCGTCTATAGACATGAGCAGTACCATTGACATAACAGAGTATACTGTTTCGCCCATGATACCTCCTATGCGTTGCCATTCCTGAGGACTCAGGGGTTATTCCTCTGTAGCATGTAAATTTACTGCCATATCTCATCTTTAAAACCGAAACACATCCATGCAAACAACTGCTTCACGGTAGAAACACGAATGAGACAGAGGTACCGAAGCAATCGACTTTTGTACAAAGTCTCCCTCTGGTGACTTCCTCGCAGATCGATCAATTGTCATGAAATTTAACATGTTTTTTTTTAAAGATTTTCCAAAAGATTTTTTTTATTTTTATTGATAATTATTTTTACTGAGTAATATACATTATAAGTAATATACATTCTAAATATCTCCGTTCAATACAATACAATAAAAAAGACTTGGACTCTTTCTGGCGTAGCGTTTGTATTGAGACACTGTAATGTACTGTTTAAATGCCTTGTAGTCCCGGCGTAGAATCGGCCACCCATTTCTTTCCCGTGAGTGTTGTAAGAGGCGACTAAGGGAACTTAATGGTCGAGATATGGGCAGCAGCATCGCTCTTAAAACATCACCAAAGCCTAACTGCGGTTGCCTACCTGCCTGCCAAGCGTGACAACTACTGGCAAAACCCCCTCTTAAAGGGGGGATAGTGTTCTATCTAATATGATTATGAATTTGTTTTAATGGAACTTAATGAAAATATAAACCAACATAGAATTGATCAAAATGATGATGATGATGATGATGATAAGACAGTCTACTGATGTCGAAATTGTAGTACAAATTAAAAATCAATTAATTGACTTGTATGTATGTTTCAATTTGTTACTATTTTCATTTAGATAGTAATGATGACTTTAATCGACTAGTGTCTTGACACATCACTTTACTTTCCGATGATCGAAAGTTCGATCCCTGCACAATGCAAAAATCGGTGAACGGTCTTATCCCAACCAGTCTGGAACAACATCTCAGACGATTTGGATTCCAAAGCCGCTCACTTCCGAGGAAGATGCAGATAGAGGTGCTCTTGAGTACTACCCGCATGATACACCGGTTTCTCTCTCTGGTCTGGCCTGGGCGCTGAACCTCGACGTAATGTGCTTCTGCTGTGGTATAGTTTGCCCTCTTAAGGAGGGTAGTTGTGAATTTTGTTTTAAAAAATAATATTCCACTTTTATTTCTGATCACAATCCATACCGTGTTAGTTCAAGACTTAGAAAACTATATTAGTTAAAGACGTTATTCAGTTCATACATCGCTGTCCACCTCCAGCTACACTGGACCCGTAACAGTACATAGCATTCCAATACCTCTGCATTGGACAGTTCGGCTTCTACGCAATTTCCTTTGGGGATACTCTTAGCGCTACTGTGGATATTATGCCACAAGACTGCCGTTCTCTTGCGCGTTATGGTTTGAAACCTATCGATATGTGTTTCCTTAACATTCCCGGATCACTGCAGTCTAAAAGTATTATTATACTAAACGCGAAAAGCTTTATAGGCCCTTTGCGAATAACTAAACCACATGTTGCAGTTACAAAATGCCTTAAATAATGTACAAACTTTTTCCGCGTAAACGGATATATTTACTAAATGGGATAAAAAGTATTCTTCTCCATCCTATCACTATCCTACAAACACATTTTCGCATTTTTCGATATTGTTAAGAATTATGTGTTTATTTTAATGTTTCTATAATAATTTTAAACTAAATGCTTTCTCTCTGTATTGGATTGGCTGTCTTATCTACGTAATTTACAACAACAACAAAGTATATATAATCTTTTCATTAAGCTCTTTTGATCGTTTTGGCTACCCCGAAGATAAAGTGAAGCTGGCATCCAGAAAACTCAGTGTGCTTAATAGAGCGAAGCAATACTTCACGCCGGATCAAGAATTAATGGATCTAAAATCGCAAATCCGATCTCATATGAAGTATTGCTGACACTTATGGGCGGGAGCACCTAGATACCATCTTGAACCATTTGACTCAGTGCAGAGACGGGCTATAAGAATTGTCGATGATCCCAGGCTTACAAGTGGTATCGAATCCTTGTCTTAGGAGAAATTTTACCACACACTGCGTGTTCTATTACTTGTACAACGGACTGTGCTCATAAAAATAGTTCAATATGATGCCCATAGCCACTTTCTACCATCGTATGGCTCGCCATCGATGAGGAATTCACTCCTTAGATCCTAGATGTGTGCATACAACGGGGTTTCAAAAATGTTTTCTTCCAAGAATGCTCAGGTTATTGTATGAACTCCCTATCGAGATTTTTCCAAGTGACTACAGCATGGGGTTTTTCAAAAAAGGGGTATAGAGGTTTCTTCAGGGTTGGCAACGCGCGCAAAATTTCTCTGGTATTGCAGACGTTCATAAGCTACGGTAACCGTTTACCATCAGGTGGACCGTATGCTTTTTTTTTCACCTCAGTATTATAAAATATATTGAAATAGATATCTAGTGTTTTTATCCTTATTTACGCGGTCAAAGCCACAGCTTGAGGGTAATCGTTAATATTATTATTTAATTTTTAATTGAGTCTAAACACAGTCTTATCATGCACTTCGTTGTGAACACCTTTAACCTTTGGCAATATTACTCACTGTTACGAACTGATTATCTCCAGGAGAGAAGGGATTATGAGTTATGGAGACCAGCGACTTTATTACTAGCAATATCTTTAACTAATATTATAAATGCGAGAGTGAGTTTGTTCGTTACGCTTTCACGTCTAAACTGTTGAATAGATTATGATGAATTTTGGTATAGAGATAGATGGAACCCTGGGCTGGTTATAGGATACTTTTTCTCCCGGTAACTAATTCGGTGAGTACAAAAATATCAAATAAAAAAATTTTTACCACACAAACAAATGTTGCACTTACAAAAAACATAGTGTTGTCTTTTACACAGTCCAGATGTTATTATGGAATTAAAGTGGTATTATAGTTCAATCTTATTAATATAATAAATGCGATATTTTGATTTTGAATGCGAAACGATTGATCGATGGATGTAACTCTTTTCAGCATAAACTACTGGACGGATTATTTTTTTTTTTTTTTTTTTTTTTTTTTTTATAAAACTTAGAATTGACGGCCCACCTGATGGAGTGGTAACCGTCGCCTATACATGAGCAGATTTTCACCATGGACATAACAGAGTATACTGTTTCGTCCATGATATCCCAACCATCTGGACGTTGCCATTCCTGAGGACTCAGGTGTTATTCCTCTGTACCCAGTAAATTCATCCATATCCAGCACAGTATTTCAAACCGAAACACAGCCATGCAAACACAACTGCTTCACGGTTGAAACACGAATGGGACAGGGTTACCCAAGCAATCGACTTTTGTACAAAGTCTCCCTCTGGTGATTAATTTAATGTATAATAATGGAATGGTAACGCCTGCGCTAATAGTATACGCTGGCGGGGCACCAGTGACAGATGATAGGTGAGAATGAAAAGGCAGGTCAGTTAGCCCATCGTGATGAGTACACTTGGAATTCAGCACGATGGTTTCCAGGGGTTATCACGTGGTAGTCGACCTGATAGGGTAGATTGCTAGCAATGGGACTAGTAGTCCGCATTACTAACAATCCCTCTCCCCCTACTGGATGGATTTTAATGAAATTAATATACTGGTAGGTTATGTCCTAACTTGGCACATAGGATATTACGCGGGCAAAGTCGCAGAATACTAGTAGTATATAATTAAATAAAACTGACAACTTAGTCCACCAGTAGTTTACTAGAGGGAAACTTTGTACAAAAGTCGTTTGCTTCGGCACCTCTGTCCCATTCGTGGTTCTACCGTGAAGCAGTTGTGTTTGCATGGCTGAGGTTCGGTTTGAAGGGTGGGGATATGACAGTGAATTTACAGTCCTCAGAAATGGCAACGCATGGGAGGTATCATGGGCGAAACAGTATACTCTGTTATGTCCATGGTACTCCTTTGGTACGACATGTTACTGGTAAGGTGGGCCGTCAGCTTGCCCGTCTAAGTTGCATAAAAATTTTTTCGTAACAAGTAACTTTTAATATTTTTTGTTTTTTTTTTTTTTATACACAGAATAAAACTAAATCTTTGTACAAATAGGTAGATTTGTTTACAAGTTCTTTTCAATCGTCACTGTTTATTATTTTACTGCCGGGTTTGGAACACTGTTATCTGCTGTGAATAAACCACAAGAAACTCAACATTTAATCCTTTTAATTTGCTTATGTATAAGATAACTTTATATATGACACGATACTGTGACTATAATTAGCACTGAGTTTCTATTGTGAATCGTTTAAAGCTACGTTGTTACCACCTAAATATGAATTACGTAACTGTGGTAAAGATTAGTAGTTTATAATAAGTGCTTTATATTATTCTCAAATTCGTGTATAATATAGTATATATCATATATGTGTAAGTATATTTGTTATTCATATATATTTATTTGTTTATATATGTAATTTTAGTGTGTATGTATATCAATAATTAGTAGTACCGCATTCGAGTATTCTGACATTTCCCTATGGTTGACTGGGAGAGAATGCTTTTAGCATTAAGTCCGCCATGTACACATATTTGTACTAATGAATAAATAAATAAAAATAAATAAATACTAAGGTTGTCTGTAGGAGATCGTCCTAGCGATAAGACCGCCTTTGTACCTTTATGTATATATTTTAATCTATAGTTTATGCTACTGTATTTTGCTTGGATTGTTCAATTGTCATTGTATATTTTTACGTTAGTGGTGTAATAAAGAGTTAAATAAATAATTATATACTAAACTCTGATGTCAATGAACTACAATATCGATTTTTTATAACACATACGACTACACAGTTTATTTTTGTCTCATTCAATTAACATGACAATATTCTAATCGCGCGAAAATGACACGATTTTTTTTATTTTAACAATTTTAAAGTCTCTTCTGGCCTTAGCTTCTGGCTAACTGATTTTCGATCCATTTTTAATTTTCAATCTTTCTGTTCAATTAACTAGCTGTTCCCGCGACTTCTTTCTCTTGCTAATCGGTCGTTATTACCTAATATACAGTCAGATGATTTGTTTTTAATATATTAAACTTTATTTTTGGGTATTTTTTTACTTTTAAAATTTCTACGTCACGGTTTGAAATCGCTCTTATAAGTAACCAATTACTTTTTTCCTTTTTAGAGCTCTGATCACCGCGAGATTATGTAGCAGTGAATTGTCATTCCCTCCAGGATTTAAATTCGGAGTGGCGACTGCAGCATACCAAATAGAAGGAGGATGGAATATCAGTGGTTTGATTTTTTTTTACCTCTTCAAATTTTAATATGCCTTTTTTCCCGCGCAAAGATTTTTTTTTTTTATTTTTTCCAAATCGGATATGATCAAAGAGCGTAGCCCATACAGCCTAATCATAGACGGCTGAATATTTATTGGCGCAATTTTTTTTTACATCTATACTTCTACATCAAATTGTACAGTTCAAATAAATAAATCGAATCAAACCTACGTGAATAAATCAAAAATATTGGACTTAGTTCTTACTTGAGTTTAGAAATAAATATAGTTATATAATTATTTGCAATAAATTTATAATAGAACTGTGCGGAAAAAAATATATATTATTTAAATTAAATCATGTAAGATTTAAACATTAACACGAAAAGGACAGGCATAAACGTTGTTGATTTAAAAAAAAACATAGATTAAAAAAATACTGGCAAATTTAGAATATAATTTTTTAACTTATTTAAAAAATTAACGATTCTAAATATTAAACTTTTTAATATATCGGTTTAAAAACATTTTTAGATAAGAGTCACAGCATATGGGACACATATACACATGAACATGAAATGGGAATAGCTGATCACTCCACGGGAGACGTCGCTTGCGACTCCTACCATCTTTGGAGACGAGATATTGAGTTGTTGACTGAGTTAGGAGTCGACTTCTACAGGTAATTAAAAGAGACAGTAAATATATGTTTATTAGATAACACACACATGAAAATACACAATAATTTTAACTTTAAAATATTGTACTTAAACCTACATACGAGTATATCGAATAAAATAGGCCTCCGTTCAGCTTATATAAATAAAGAACTGTATTTATTACCTTCCCCCCCCCCCCCCCCCCCCGCATTTATCCCCACCCCTTCCTCTTGCAGTGCAATGCGTTAGATTCGAGAATAATGAAACACGCTCGTTGATGTAAACTGGTGTACTTCAGATTTACATGAGGAATACTATTGTCTCAACTATTTACAATTTTCTTTTATAGTAACTGGTACGTGATAATGCATATATTAAGAAGTTATTTAATGTTCCATGCATTCCAACATGTTTCATGGAACGTGCCACAAGCTACAAAACCATATCACAGCAGTGTTTCTCTATAGACTCTTTAAACCACGTATTATAAACATTGTTTTCTCACTGTGATTATTTCTTGTAATTGTTTATATTTATAATAAATTTACTATTGTAATCTTTTGGAGGAAACAATAAACAGTATCTATCTATCTATAACAAAAAAACTATGTCTATTGTAAATGTGAATTTAAAAATGTTTCAATGGAAGTTTATTATTCAGTCACGGTTGAAGTGGTATGAATTACAAATTAGTACACAGACAGAGTCTTCTTTTTTTATACCACAGAGATGGTAAACAAGCATACAGCCTGTCGGTTATTGTAGTCTATGGACGCTGGTAACACTAGGGATGTCACGTGCGCGTTGCCAACCCTAAAGAACCCTTAATATACCATTTTTGAAAAACTTCATACTGTAGTCTCTAGGAAAAACCTCGGCTGGGAGCTCGTTCCACATCCTGAGCGTTCGCGGGAAAAAATTACATTTTTTTTTATACAACTTAAAATGGCAAACAAGCTGACGGCCTACCTGATGGAAAGTGGTAACCGTCGCCTATAGACATGAGCAGTACCATGGACATAACAAAGTATACTGTTTCTCCCATGATACCCCCCATGCGTTGCCATTCCTAAGGACTCAGATGTTATTCCTCTGTACCCAGTAAATTCACGCCATATCCCACCCTTCAAATCGAAACACAGCCATGCAAACATAACTGCTTTACGGTTGCAACACGAATGGGACAGAGGTACCCAAGCAATCGACTTTAAACGATAAGTTTAGACAAGTGACGCTTCAGAATCGACCCCAACGACGGACTTATTCCTTAGAGGATCTCTTACAAAGATCAGGAATATTCATTCATTCTTTCTTAATTTTCATTTCTTTTCTCATATTTATTGTGAAATTTAAGGTTCTCTATATCATGGACCCGTCTAATGCCGTCTGGATACCCAAATCGAATCAGCAAAGACGGGACTAAATACTACAATAATTTAATTGATGAATTACTTGCAAGAGGAATCGAACCTATAGTCACCCTATACCATTGGGACCTACCCCAACAATTGCAGTATCTTGGTAAGAAGTAAAATTACAGGATAAGAGAAAAACCACCCTCGGTTGTTGGGTATGATATCACGTGAAAGATACTATGATCATCACAGTGTATACGAGTCCTTGATGCTGTTCTAGTCTATAGGCGACGGCTACCACTTCCCGGATTCCTTTTCCCCACTTTATTTCATACCTCAAGCATCCCAGGGATGAAACCTAAGCAATAATGGCAACTAAGGAAACCAGATACCAGATAGCCGGGTACAGGGCACAATATAGGATATTCTGTCTTGAGGACCGGGCGATTACGTGATTTATATTTCTCTCTCTCTCTCTTTTCATTTAAGAGTTTCTTCTTGTCGGTGCAATTAATTCATGCATCTTCTTCCAGCCAGCTCTATCCCAGGCCATATCCTTGACCTCCCTATACGACATGACACCTAGTGTTTCTTTTATCTGTCTCATGTAGTTATTCCTCGGTCTTCCTCTTCCTCTTTTGCCATGTCAATTCACATACCGAATTATAAAATCCAGAGTGTATTCAACAGACAAAACTCTATAAGAGGAGGGTCTATTATTTTTGTAAATAGAAATATTAAAGTTAAAAAGCGTAAAGATATAGTAGCATCTCTATTCTTCCTTCTACTATACTCTTTAAGAAATCGTCATGTCGTATAAGGTGGCCCAGCATTTTGCCTCTTCTATTCTCTATTGTTTTAATTAATATTCGTTTCTCGTTCACCCTTTTCAAGACTTCCTCGTTGGTTACTTTTTCTTTCTGGTAATAGCCGGTAAATAATCATCCAGCTATTAATACGGGATATATTAAGAAATAATAGAATTTCATCGTGCCTCCGATCAAACCGTTTATAATTACTCCTCTCCATCCAAAGGTTGCCTGGAAGAAATCGCTTTTAGCGATAAGGCCGCCCATTGTTTTCTCATTGTGATTATTTCTTGTAATTGTTTATATTTATAATAAGTTTACTATTATAATCTTTTGAAAGAAACTATAATGAGTAGTTTCTTCCAAAAGATTACAATAGTAAAGTGTGTTAATAGTGGCGTGAATTTACAGGGTATAGAGGAATAACACCTGAGTCCTCAGGAATGGCAACTCATGGGGGGTATTATGGGCGGAACAGTATACTCTGTTATGTCCATGGTACTGCTCATGTCTATAGGCGACAGTTACTACTTTCCATGAGGTGGGCCGTCAGCTTGTTTGCCATTCTAAATTATATAAAAAAAAGAGTATCAATGTATCTATCTATCTATTCTGTCTTAAGGATCGGGCGATTGGCGTGATTTATATTTATATTTTCTTTTTTGCAGGCGGCTGGACGAATCCATACATAACTGACTGGTTCGCGGAATACGCAAGGGTCGTCTTCTCTTTATTCGCTGATAGGGTAAAGATTTGGGTCACAATCAACGAACCCGTTATCATTTGTGATGCCTCATACAGCACTCCGATAATGGCGCCGGCTACCTTGATCCCAGATAATATTGGCACATATATATGCAATAAGAACGTACTAATTGCTCACGCCAAAGCCTACAGGATATATGATAAGGAATTTAGGCCGAAATATCATGGTGAGTTTAAATCATCATCATCACATTGTTTTTTGTTGGGTGAAAATGGAATGATAACCCCGCCTGCGGTTACGGTATACACTGTCGGGACACCATAGATTGATAAGAATGAAACCAGTTAGCCCATCATGATGAATTCATCAGAAATTAACCATGATAGTTTCCAGGGCGGACCGCGTGGAGGTCGATTGCTTGGGTACCTCTGTCCCATTCGTGTTTCAACCGTGAAGCAGTTGTATTTGCATGGCTGTGTTTCGGTTTGATGGGTGGGATATGGCGTGAATTTACTGGGTACAGAGGAATAACATCTGAGTCCTCAGGAATAGCAACGCATGGGGGGTATCATGGGCGAAACAGTATACTCTGTTATATCCATGGTACTGCTCATGTCTATAGGCGACGGTTACCACTTTCCATCAGGTGGGCCGTCAGCTTGTTTGCCATTCTAAGTTGTATAAAAAAAAAGGTAGCGATAATTTTAATGCCTAGTCTATTATGATTTACGGAAATGATAGACGTCTTAACATTATAGTAGAGGATTTAAAAATCGAATTGACAGTAGCTGCGTTCAAATAATCACGATACCGTCACAAGCGCGTCGGGATCTTATATATTCATAAATACCCATTCTTCTGCTGTTTTTGATGCGATGTACATATTGACGGCGTTTCTATATTATATTATCCAAGCAAGACATATTTACAACAATTCACAAGTGCATCGTGTGTAACGATCACGAATTGATAACACTAATATTTATATCAATACCCAGATTACGGCAATAATAAAACTCTTATGATTATTATCGTATCGATTAATAAACTTAAAAAATACTTTAAAAAGAACATGTTCATTTTTAAAACGCCCGCAGTACACCTGCAATGCCGCTGGTGTTGTGGCTGATCATGGGCGGCGGTAGTCACTTACCATCAGGTGAGCCGCATGCTCGTTTGTGTTGTAAAAAAAATTGGAAAAGATAACGATGAAAAATATAAGCAAATTGAGAACCCCATCTTATGTTTACCAGAGGGAGACTTTGTACAAAAGTCGATTGCTTGGGTACCTCTGTCGCATTCGTGTTTCTACCGTGAAGCAGTTGTGTTTGCATGGCTGTGTTTCGGTTTCAAGGGTAGGATATGGCGTGAATTTACAGGGTACGGAGGATTAACATCTGAGTCTTCAGGAATGGCAACGCATGGGGTATCATGGACGAAGCAATATACTCTGTTATGTCCATGCTACTGCTCATGTCTATAGGCGACGGTTACCACTTTCCATCAGGTGAGCCGTCAGCTTGTTTGCCATTCTAAGTTGTATAAAAATAAAAAATGTTTGAACTCAGAAGAATCTTTTAGTTAATTTTGATATCTAATATGTTGATAAAATTAGTATAGAATGAATATGAAAGTAAAGCTTTTATGTTTAGTATTTAATCTCGAACAATGAAAGTTTTAGATTTGATGAAAATATCACGTTCGAATCTTTTCCATTGAAGTCAGATAAATAATAATGAATATAAACATTAAGGGCCAACAAGAAGGGCCAAATTAAAAGTACCCGTAACCGGCGAGCATGTATGAAAAGATTGATGAATGTGGAAGAAGCGAAAGAGGTTTGTTTGAATCGAAGCATTTGGCGTTCCATTGTTTCTGCCTAACCTAATGGGAGACAGGCGTGACAGATATGTATGTATGTATGTATAAACATTTGAATATTTAAAACTGTACCATTGTTTTGGTATACATAAACGTTATTTATACAATTTCCTTTGCAGGAATGGTATCAATTGTCAACAACATTATATGGGTAGAACCAGTAAGCAAAGAGTATACGGACGTAACAAATCTAGCATTACAAAATTTGGTAAGCATTCAATTGAAGGTAATATGCTTTTTTTTTTAATATTTTGAAAACATAGTTGGACCAAGTGAGAAAACTCCTGTATTTCTCTTGGTGATCTTTTCATTATTCTTCTCTTCCATCAGAATATCTGAATTTATTATACAGATTTTCCAGACAAAATTGTACTCATTTAAATGGGTTTTTAATGGATTTTTTCCACATATTTGACAGCATTTTGACACTCGTTTTTCCTGATACAATTTTCCACTTAAACATAAGAAATTGTACCACATATTTTGCAGTGGTCCCGGTATAGAATGGATAACCCCTTCTTTTTCCGTAGGTGTCGTAAGAGCTGACTAAGGGAACTTAATATTAGAGGGATGGGCAGCAGCGTCCCTCTTAAAACACCATCAAAGATTAACTGCCTGGTAATAATTGCCATTATTGGCAAAATCCTCTTTATTGTGAACAAGTATATACAGCAGTGGACGGTTAACGGCTGATATGTGATGATTTTAAAAGTTTAATTAAACCAAATTCTGCTTATTTTAAATATAGATCTTAAGCGAACCGTCATTTTCTTGTGCTCTTTCAATTTTCCCACTAAACATGAATTTAACTTTTATACTATAAAAGTGGTAACCACTACCAGTTTCCACCTGGTGTACCGTAAGCTTGTTACCATTCTACGTTACATAAAATAAATATTATTATTATGATAAGTATAATTTAACTATTATAAAGATAAATGAATGAAAGAAAGAAAGATTCTGAGTATAAATATTAATCTTCCAGGCAGGGCGATTTACTCACCCCGTGTATTCGAAAGAAGGCGGTTGGCCCCCGGAATTTGAGAAGTTAATCGCTGAAATAAGCAAAAGTCAAGGATACCACACAACGAGACTACCCGCTTTCACCAAAGAAGAAGTTGAGTTAGTAAAAGGTTAGATTTTTTAAAGCATTGCAATATCCGTGGTACCCCACATGAGTGATCATTTCTGAGGGCTAAATTATTATGTCTCCATACCATATAGATAGATAGATAGATACTCTTTATTGTTTCCTCCAAAAGCTTACAATAGTGAACTTATTATAAATATAAATAAATACAAGAAATTATCACAATGAGAAAACAATGGGCGGCCTTATCGCTAAGAGCGATCTCTTCCAGGCAACCTTCGAATGGAGAGGAGTAATTATAAACAATTTGGTACATATACAACCATATCATCATCATCTCAGCCATTATCTGTCCATTGCTGAACATAGGCCTCACCCATAGACTGCCATAACAGTCCTGAGCCACCTGCATACACTTACTCCCTGCAATGAATTTCAAGTTGTCACTCCATCTAGTGGAGTGTCATCCTATACTGCGTTTGCATGTATGGGGTCCACTCAGGAACCTTTCTTCCTCATTGGTTATCGGTTTGCTACTTCAACTTGCTTATACTTCGAGCTATGTCGGTCATTTTCTTTTGCGGATATCGTCGTTTCGGATTCCGTCACGCAAAGAAACTCGGAGCATAGCCTTCTACACAGCTCGCAAAGTAATTTGAAGCTTTCACATATGGGCAACCGTGTAGGACCATGTTTCAGTTCCATAAATCCTCACTAGCAATAAGCAATACAACCGTATTTTTTTTTACGCTAGTGGCGTCGACTTTACAAAGCTGATTCCGTGTGTCCCGGTAGGTAGGTTGGCGTGAATTTACTGGGTACGGAGGAATAACACCTGAGTCCTCGGGAATGGCAACGCATGGAGGGTATCATGGGCGAAACAGTAATCTGTTATGTCCATGGTTCTGCTTATGTCTATAGGCGACGGTTACCACTTTCCATCAGGTGGGCCGTCAGCTTGTTTGCCATTCTAAGTTGTATAAAAAAAAAGCTTTTTAATATATTATATTAGTGCTTTTCGATATTTCATAGTATTTCACTATAAAATATTATCATAGCTTTATATTGAATATTATATGATTTTAAATTAAAAAAAATGTTCGAAATTTTCTTGATAAAATTTTCACTGGTTTTCAATTCAGAATAATAGTCTGAATTCATTGTTTCGATTTTTGCTAACCTGCCCCTTACACCCTGTATATATATCCAATGTTACTGGTATAAGAGATATTAAAAAATAATGGATAGGTACGAGGAGTTTTTTTTTTAATGGGTGATAATGGAATGGTAACCCCGCCTGCGCTATCGGAATACGCTGACGGAGTACCAGTGAAGAATGATAGGTGAGGATGTAGCAGGTCAGTTGGCCCATCGTGACGAATTCAACAAGAATTGTTCACGATGTATTCCAGGAGGAACCACGTATAGGTCGACTTTATAGGGCATATTGCTAGCACTGGGGCTGTCAAACTCTATTGCTAACAATCCCTTTCCCCCCGATACGAGGGGTTGTAATAATACCAATAATATTATAATATAATCAATAGATACAAAAACAATATTTTTTAAGAATTTTATTTATGTTTGAATTTGTGAATACGTTTTCTCCAGGTTCGTATGATTATTTTGGCTTGAACCATTACACCAGCAGGCGGATACGAAAGACTAGACCTGATGAACACCCGCAACGGAACTTATTTTTAAGCGAACCGGATCTTAATTATATTTTTGAGCTTGATCCTGACTGGACGATCGGTTGTAACGGTTGGCTTGCGGTGTGTATATTTAAAAATATTCTATAAACAAAATCTGAAATTAAAACATGAGACAAAGAATCGAAGCACTTACCATATAATACTGACTTATGAAACTCTTAAAGTCTGTAAATTGAAATAGCAATAATCCGATCATGGACGGCGATGGTCACTCACCATCAGGTGAGCCGCATGCTTGTTTGCCCCCTGTGTTATAAAAAAAAATCTTTTTACAAAATTGCCCATAAAACAAATATCATATTTTCATACATAAGAGTAAATATTATCGTTATGGTTCTTGTATGTATATATTATTTCTTTTTATACACGCTTATTATTATATTACTAGAAACAAGCTGACGGCCCACCTGATGGAAAGTGGTAACCGTCGCCTATAGACATGAGCAGTACCATGGACGTAACAGAGAATACTGTTTCGCCCATGATATCCCCCATGCGTTGCCATTCCTGAGGACTCAGCTGTTATTCCTCTGGACCCAATAAATTCACGCCATATCCCACCCTTCAAACCGAAACAGCCATGCAAACAACTGCTTCACGGTTGAAACACGAATTGGAAAGAGGTACCCAAGCAATCGACTTTTGTACAAAGTCTCCCTCTGGTAAATGGGATGCATGCATTACCATTCCTGAGATCTAAGAGTTATATCTCCGAATCTTGTAATCTTACAACCACATTACCCCAAAACCGAAATACAGCCATGCTGTGCTTAGCAGAAACACAAATAGGACAAACATACTCATGTAGATGACGTATTTTTTTAAAGGAACACCAACAACATATTGCGCAAGTGACTTTGTACAAAATCTTTTTTTTTTTTTTGTATAATAATCAAAATATTTGCAGTTATACCCTGAGGGATTTCGTCGCTTGTTGACTTGGATCAAGAAGGAATATGGAGATATCAAAATATTGATCACAGAGAATGGATACCCAACAAAGCAAACAAATTACTTGAATGACGAAGACAGAATACAATTCTACAAAGATTATCTTAAACAGGTAAAGATTTAATATATTATTCTACAAAAAAAGAAAGGGTGCATCGAGGGTGTAAACAGTTTTTAGGTTTCCGTACCGAAAAGATACAAAGAAACGCTTATGGTGCGACTTTGTCCGTCCGTCCGTCTATCACAGCACTATATTATAGCAACCGCTAATGCTATCGATTTGGAATTTGGAATAGTTTTAGATATTTGAATAGAAACAACTGAAAAATATTTCTGTTTTCTCAAAAATCCAAAAATTTAAAATTGAGCAACTTTAATTTGGTTGCTTGAAAATTTTTAAGATTTAGAGGGTTTTTTTCTTTATTTTTTGTTTATTTTCCGCTTAACTCGTCACCAGTCCTAAACGTTACACTCCTCTCAACTTCGCCCCTCGACAAAATAAATATAAATACAGCAATGTGAGCAACAATGTGTAACCAAACAGTTAATACTAGGCTCCAATCAGCGATCTAATAGATCCTTTAAATTTCTTGATAATGCCTCGTTTAAAGATCAAACACATGTAACAACATGTGCGTAGACTAAATAACGATTATAGATTGACGACTAACGGAGACGGTCGTAGTACTACTACTAATAATAATCAATCTTTAAACGTTAGCAGTTGCCCACATACTAATGGTAGTGGAATTAAACAAAATAATTCTAAACAAATAAACAGTGATATTTTTTTTTATACAACTTAGAATGGCAAACAAGCTGACGGCCCACCTAATGGAAAGTGGTGACCGTCGCCTATAGACATGAGCAGTACCATGGACATAACAGAGTATACTGTTTCACCTAGGGGGTATCCCTATGCGTTGCCATTCCTGAGGACTCTGGTGTTATTCCTCTGTATCCAGTAAATTCACGCCATATCCCACCCTTCAAACCGAAACACAGCCATGCAAATACAACTGCTTCACGGTAGAAACACGAATGGGACAGAGGTGCACAAGCATTCGACTTTTTTACAAAGTCTCCCTCTGGTGGACTTCCACAAGATGGAATCTAATTCAGTGAACTAATTTTTGTATTCCTAGACAATAATTCTGTTTGAATATACAGTGAGTAATATAAATTCCTTACTGACAAGCGTATTACCAATATTACAGATGATGCTAGCTATCTATGAAGACGGAGTGAATGTCATAGGATATACTGCCTGGAGTTTGATAGACAACTTCGAATGGATGGATGGATATAGGTGAGTAAATGTTGGCTCAAACTATATAGGTATATTTTATTTAATAAGTGAAAATGAACTGGAACTGAAAATGAATCTGTTTCCTGGAGGATAAAAATTAAGATGAGGATAAACTTAGGTCAGTTGGCACATCGTAATGCACCAAGAATTAATTCCGATATTTTCCGGTAGGCGCCGCGTGGTGATCGATCTGACAGGGTATATTACTAGCAAAGAAGTAACTAATTCACATTACTAACAATCCCCTTCCTTCAACTTCCTTCTTCTGACTGTTGCCCTAATTTATTTGGGGTTCGACCAGATCCATCTCCCTAGAACCACGTCTATCATATATGTATGTGTGTTAAATTTTTTGTGATTATTATTCCTCTCCACCCAAAAGGTGAAAGAGAAAGATGAAAAAGATCGTTTTCCGCAATAAGGCCGCCCATTGTTTTTTAACAACTCCTTCACTTTATTGGAGGAAGGGGAGAGGTAAGGGATTGTTAATCCCTTACTCCTCCCCTTTCCTTCATATTACTATGATTGTTATTGGATCTAAAATCTCGTTTGCTAGCAAAATACCCTGTCAGGTTTCTCTTAGAAATCATCGCGGTTAATACTTGACGCTTAGATACGACTATGTGGTATTTTTTATTATCTATTGAATTGGCAGTTTTTGTTCTTTTATTGGCACTTTTATTTTTATAGTGGCACTTTTTGTTCCTATAGTGGCACTCTTTATTATTATAATAGTACTTATAATAATTACATTTACTGTTTATTTTTAGTATCAAATTTGGCCTATACGAGGTGAACTTCACGGACCCCCAGCACACGCGTACACCCAGAAAATCAGCCAAATTCTACGCGGACCTTATTAAAAACCAAAAACAGATTGAGGCACAAAATAAAAGTCGTAAATTTTACACGTTGTGTTCATATTTACTCCTTATAATACTGATTGCACTGGCAACTGTGATGTTTTCCGTCTGTTGGAAAACAAAAGCTGATATTAATGCGAAAAAACGGAAAGAAATGGAAGCGAATTCTGAGCTTCTCATGGAAGAAGTGTCTAAATTTTCTTAGCATCATTCTTGTTATTTTATAATAATAAAAAAATATTTATAAAATGGAATGTATTCTTTTTTTAACATAATAATTATAATATTAGCTTAAAATTGTCAAATATCGAAAACAAAGCATAATTTGAAATAGTACAAGTTTTTGTTTTCATTTAACTGGAATTAAAAAAGAAAGAGGTTATATATTCGATTGTATATTTTTTTGTATGTAGGCCCGCTGATTTCTCCATTATGAACCGATTTCAAAAATTACTTTCTTATTCGATAGAGTATACTCCTGAAGTGGTCTATTTGGTACCAAGTCAGGATCTAATGATGGGATTCCAAAGAAATCGAGGGCAATTGTCAAATTTTATAGGCGCATATTCGGTGTTCTATATTTTTTTAGAACTCAATGATCAACATGGAGTATTTGAAAATCCTAATGCTAATGATTGTAAAAATTATAGTTTAATACAAACATACATAGTTTGAGCGTGTTTTTATTAAGGTAAGAAAAATTTTAATGGAAAATCCTACTAATTTTATGAATGATTCAAGATTTCTTTTTTTCAAGATTCAAGATTTATTTATTTGTAAAACATGCGTATAAATACATGCAGATGTTGACAATATAATATCGTTCGACATGTTTAGCCTGTACGGCATACAAACATATGTAGTACACAGTACACAGATAGTTCACATTATACATGATGTTTGAATGTATAGATTTTTTATAACATACGGGACAAACAAGCATGCGGCTCAACTGATGGTAGTTACCGCCGCAACGGATCAGGCAGGTGTGTTGCCGGTCTTTTAAGAACGTATAACCCATAAGTTTGTAGGGAAGGGATTGATAGCCATGCAGATTACCAGTCGCATTGCTAGCAAAGTAGACAGATCGACCTCCACACGGCCCCCCCCTGGAAACCATCGTGCTGAATTCTAGGTGTATTCATCACGATAGGCTAACTGACCTGTCACACCTATCATCCCTCACTGGTACCTCGCCAACGTATACTGTTAACGCAATGGGGTTACCCTTCTATCATCGTCCATTAAAAAAAAGATGACCCGTTATTTTTGTACTTCATCACCACATGGAGAATGGTTATTTCATTATAACAAAATTGTAAAGATAGAAGAAGAAGAAAGAAAGAAATAATTTATTCGAAGAAGCATGCGGCCCACACAGTAGCGCACAAAACAAGAACAAAAGAAATCAAAACAAAAGAAAATAAATAATAAAAATAAAAATAAAAAGGATAAAATTTATTAGTTAAAAAAAAAGTTAGTCTAAGTTGCTGAAAACTATTATCATAACATTAAACATGCAAGTAAACCGAAGTAGGTAATCTAAAAAACATGCTTAAAACCACATGACATGAGAAGGGAAAGGGATTGTTAGTAATGGGAACTAACAGCCCTATTGGCGGCAATACGGGTTCACTTCCACGCGGTGCCCCGTGGATGCCATCGTGGTTAATCTTATGACATTCATTTTATTTATTTATTCATTAGTACAAATATGTGTACATGGCGGACTTAATGCTAAAAGCATTCTCTCCCAGTCAACCATAGGGAAGTGTCAGAATACTCGAATGTGGTACTAGTAATTATTGATATACATACATACTAAAATTACATATATAAACGAATAAATATATATGAATAACAAATACACTTACATATATATGATATATACTATATTATACACGAAATTGAGAATAATATAAAGCACTTACTGCCCGGATAAAGATAAAAAGTGAGCGTGAACGCTTTTTTTGAAAGAGGGTTTAGTCTATAGTCATTCATCAAGGTGGGCCACCTACCATCCCTCACTGGTGCTCTACCAGTGCATACCGATAGCGCAGGCGAGATTACCATTCCATTTTCATTCATTAAAAAAGTCACGTGTTAGTAAAAACAAGAGCTGGAAATCTTACTTCATAACTTTTTATAGCAGAAATAAAAAGTAAGTAAATTGTAAGGTAAAGAAATAAAAGCGTATAAAACGTTCTGTGCTCTGTTACAAAAAACGTTCTATATTGTTTTAGGGTTCCATTATACATGAAAGAAGGTTCCGTGCATATTTCAATGGATATGTCTATTGTGAGACGGGACCTTTTTAGAGTAATTTTGTCAGTTTTTTTATAACTACACTTTACATGAAAGACGTATACCTATAGTCTATTTATATAATAAAAGGTAATGGAAATGTAAACAAATGACCAATGTATGTAAGTAATGAGAAAAGATTACAGAGGAGTTTGAAAAGCCTTGGCAAGAAGGGCACTCCGGTTGTGGAGTGATCTTCTTGCCAAGGCTTTTCCTAGAGACTACAGCATGAAGTCTTAAAAAAAGTTATATTAAAGTTTCACAAGAGCCGGCAACGCGCGCGTGACATTCCTTGTTTTACAGGTGTCCACAGGCTACGATAACTCCATTTAACATCAGACGGGCCGTATGCTTATTTGCCACCATAGTGGTATAAAAAAGTAGTTGTATTTGACCACAATATAAGTAATAGTACTAAAGTACAGTATAAACACCGCAGCCCGCTGCGACCTCAATTTTATTAAAATTTTAATTATATAACAGTTATCACTTTAAAAATACATTTCTATCTATATATATTTTAACCCATGATGTCCCACTGCTGGGCAAAGGATTCCCTCATCTCTTTCCAAAACTTAATACAAAATTTTTATTATTTATGCATTTCAAGTAATCATTGAATGCAGCTGGCTCAGGTCCATTCCTTATGGCACTCTATGGGGGAGGCCTATGTCCAGCAGTGAACAGATAATGGCTGAAATAATGATGATGATGAAACTATAACAATAAATGAATCAATCAATCAATTTCCCAAAGATCCCCATTACGCTTGAAGCGTTTCCACGTTGGATCGCCGGTCGTATCTTTTGAACCAGGTAATCCGGAACGGCGACTGTGGCCGCTATCCACAATAAATATATTGTAATTAATTTTAAACTAACAGACGATGGGTACCTCTGTCCCATTTGCGTTTCAACCGTGAAACAGTTGTTTGCATGGCTGTGTTTCGGTTTGAAGGGTGGAATATGGCGTGAATTTACTGGGTACAGAGGAACAACATCTGAGTCCTCAGGAATGGCAACGAATAGGGGGTATCATGGGCGAAACAGTATACTCTGTTATGTCCATGGTACTGCTCATGTCTATAGGCGACGGTTACCACTTTCCATCAGGTGGGCCGTCAGCTTGTTTGCCATTCTAAGTTGTATAAAAAAAAAGACGACAGATAATACTTATTTTTCTTTAGCTATAATTAATTGTGCATTAATTATGAATAATTAATTGTTTTGCCATTGTGTATTTACAGCTTAGATACAAAATATATAAAGCGTGAACAGCGAAGGTTTTATCTGTTATTATAATAATGTGTTACATTGTATTGATTGTGTTAACGTAAGTACTTGTCTTATACTTTTTAATCTAATATAAACTGCCGTTACTCCACGAGTTTACTGTCGCGATAATAACATCTAAATATATATTTATTTATTTAAACTTTATTAGCCAATAAAATTTTGAACATAAAATAAACAAAATTGGCCCTTCATATCCCGTGGGTGTCGTAAGAGCCGAATAGGGAGGACAAGGGATGGGCAGCAGCGTCCCTTTTAAAACATCTCTAAAACCTAACTACGGTTGTCAATCTGCCTGCCAAGCGTGGCAACTACTGGTAACGCAACTTAGAATGGCAAACAAGCTGACGGTCCACCTGATGGAAACTCGTAACCGTCATATAGACATGAGCAGTACCATGGACATAACAGAGTATACTGTTTCGCCCATGATACCCCCCATGCGTTGCCATTCCTGAGTACTCGGGTGTTATTCCTCTGTACCCTGTAAATTCACTGCCATTTCACTCTTGAAACCGAAACACAACCTTTAAGCATTTAAATGGCGATTTCGAGTCCATTTTTAATTGCCCTCCCCCCCTAACTATCAAATTGCCCCCGTGGGGCATGGGCCCCATGTTGGAAAACACCGTCTTAATATATGAAAATCCCGTGATCGCTTATTTAATTTTAATGAACGTATATTGTTTATAACATATATAATTATATAAATACCATAATATAAATCTCGTCGGTTACAGTGCGTTGGTTACCGTGGGACAGTGCGCCAGTTATCCGTCTTTCCCCCCTGGATTCAAGTTTGGGGTAGCCACAGCCGCTTACCAGGTCGAGGGAGCGTGGAACGTCAGTGGTTAGCATCCATGCATAAGTCTTAATATATTTTTTTTTTTGATTGGTGAAAATGGAATGGTAACCTCGCGTGCGCTAGCGGGATACGCTGGCGGAGCACCAGTGAAGGGTGATAGATGAGAATGAAAACAGGCCAGTTAGCCCATCATGATAAATTCATCAGGAATTAACCATGATAGTTTCCAGGGGGAACCGCGAGGAGGTCGACCTGGTTGGGTATATTGCTAGCAATGGGATTCTCAGTCTCCATTACTAACAATCCCTTTCCCCCCAATCTTAATATCATTTGCCTGCTTCTCCATTACATAGAATATACTAACTTGAGCAATTGTGTAGCATTTATCATTTTATGTAAAAAGTTACCCTGGAGTTAACAGTTACACTGGGGTAAAAAGTTATACTAGCGGGGCATCAGTGAGGGATGATAGGTGAGGATAAAAAGGTAGGTCAGTTAGCCCATCGTGATATAGTAACCTGTGATTCAGCACGATGGTTTCCAGGGGGAACTACGTGAAGGTCGACCTGACAATGTATATTGCTAGCAGTAGGACTGGTAGTCCGCATGGATTGTGCTCAGAGGAGGAGAATTGTTCAATATGATGCCCACGGCCACTTTCTACCATCGTACGGCTCGCCATCGACAGGGAGTTCATCCTCATGTCCTACAGCCTCAATGGTCGTGTACTGCGCGGTTTCAGAGATGTTTCCTCCCACGAACACTCAGGTTGTGGGATGAGCTGCCTGCCGAGGTTTCCCCAAAATACTACAGCATGGGGTTCTTCAAAAGGAGGATAAAGAGGTTTCTTCAGGGTCGGCAACGCACGTGTAATACCTCTGGTATTGCAGGTGTTCATAGGCTACGGTAACCACTTACCATCAGGTGGGCCGTATGCTTGTTTGCCACCTCAGTGGTATAAAAAAAAATACTAACAATCCCTTTACCCCTATAAATGGGTGTTATCACTTGATATAAGATGCTTTATACTTCGATTTTACAAACTTAACACATTCCAGATAAGGGAGTCAGCATATGGGACAAGATAACGCACGACAAAAGCCATTTGATATTAGATGGTTCATCGGGAGATGTCGCTTGTGACTCGTACCATCTGTGGAAACGGGACCTTGAGATGCTAACAGAACTTGGCGTGCATTTTTATAGGTAACTACCCGCAAATGTTAATTTTATTGTTAAAAGTGTCGTAAGTACATATTATATTTAAATATAGTGACTACCGGTTTCACTTACTTGTAAATTGTTCGAGATAACTCGACTAGTTTCCGGACAAAGTCATAGATTACTATTTGCTCTTCTATTGCAGTTGTTTTATTTAATTGTTTTATATAATAATAATTTATATATTTATTGTATGTATATATTTATTTATTCAATATATTATGTGTATGTTCATATCATATGAATTTATCAATTATTGCATTATTGTTTTCTCTATTCAAAAATGCACCGTCTACGTATTTCTCAGTTTGCCCAATGGTTGACTGGTCCCGTGTGGTCCCGGAGTAGAATGGGCCTCCCCTTCCTTTCCCGTGGGTGTCGTAAGAGGTGACTAGGAGAACTTTTTCTTTTTTTTTTTATACAACTTAGAATAGCAAACAAGCTGATAGCCCACCTGATGGAAAGTAGTAACCGTCGCCTATAGACATGAGCAGTACCGTGGACATAACAGAGTATACTGTTTCGCCCATGATACCCCCCATGCGTTGCCATTCCTGAGGACTCGGGTGTTATACCTCTGTACCCAATAAATTCACGCCATATCCCACCCTTCAAACCGAAACACAGCCTTTCCTTTCTAGAACACCACCAAAACCTAACTGCGATTGTCTACCTGCCTGCCACGCGTGATAATTACTAGCAAAATTCCACTTATGGGAAAAGCTTATATTCAGCAGTGGACAGTTAACGACTATTGTAATAAAATCACCATATGCTATACCCATAAGTCCTTAGTACCAGAAGAAACCCAGTTGAAAACTGTGAAGATAGACTTTAATGATTATTTTTAATCGAGAGGACTCACTTCCATGTTGCTTCTTTAAGAAAATTAGTTTTTTTTTTAATATATAGCTAATCTGGCAAATGTCGTTTCACTCTCTACTATCACCTTCTCAATGAAAAGGAGGTTCAATACGGTTGTCTTTTTTACGTTTGTTACCTCATAACTACGTCAATTATAAATCTATTTGGAATCTTTTTTTTTATCTAATAGGATATATTCACACATTGATCCCTTGAATATTTATCAAAGTTAATAGTTTAGTTTTTAAATCAAAACAACTGTTTTGGCCACAACTGAAGCCGACTTTTTGTGGAACAAAATCCTAAATTATTTCATTATCATCATATCAGACTTTAACTGTCCACTGCTGAACATAAGCCTTGCCAGTTTTGCTAGTTGTTGCCACGCTTGACAGGCAGGATTGGCAACCGCATTTAGGCCTTGGAGAAGTTTTAAGAGGGACGCTGATGTCCGTCTCTCGTCCTCTGTTAGTCGCCTCTTACGACTTCCACGAGACAGGAAGAGGTGCCATGCCGAGACCACACGGCGAATGAAAAAAAAATGTAATCAATCTAAAATAATTATTCGTATTTTAATTCTTATTCCTGTTAGAATTTTTACAACACACTTTAAATAAGTTACTATTAAAATATAAAAATGCATTTATTCATTGTTTTTTTTTTCTACGTATTTCTTTAGTTTAGTACTTTATTATTAATTATTTTCAACCCCTGTATAGGTGCTGTTGGATATTTGTTCAGAATAAAGTTTCTTTGTTTTTTCTGATGTAATAAAATTTTATATTCAAGGATTTCATTATCCTGGCCCCGGTTACTGCCAACTGGCCATCCGAATCACATCAGCGAAGACGGCAAAAGATATTACAATGAGCTGATCGATGCCTTGCTCGAGAAGGGAATAGAACCAGCAGTCACGATCTACCACTGGGATATGCCGCAACACCTTCAAGATCTTGGTAATAAACATCTTCTTTATACAGTCTTCCTAGCTTTTAGTCGCGACTCAGTTCGCGAGACATGTTGACTCCAATAATCGAGGTGTGAGCAGCAGCGTCCAATTTAAAACGTCACCAAAGATCTAACATTGTTAATAATTTGCACACCGCATAGAGGCAGATTATTTTTTTTTATTTACACTTTATTGCACCGTTTGTTAAACAGTAAATACATTTAACTGTAATAAGAAATGATACAAAAGGCGGCCTTATCGCTAAGCAATCTCTTCCAGACAACCTTTGGGTAGAGAACATTGAGAAAAGAAAGAAAAACAAAGGGTAGGTGGCGCACTACTATATATAAACAAATATATACAAAGATATATACATATATATGCGTGTGTATATATATATATATATATACATACACAAACTTAAAAGCACACATACAACAGGAGAGAGTGACACTGGAAGAAGAAATGGGAATATAGTTGCTTACTTAAAGGGAAATTAAATTACCTACATTCTAGCAAAATAAATTCATTTCATTTTATAACTGCAGTTGCCAACCCACCTGCCAAACATGGCAACTGTTGGAAAAAAAACAATTATGAGAAACAATGGACAATTAATAGCTGATAAGGTATAGTATAAAGAACTACTTATGAAGACTCCTTTATAATACTGTCATATTCATATTGTTAGTAATGGAGACTGAGAATCCTATTGCTAGCAATATACCCAAACAGGTCGACCTCCTCGCGGTTCTCCCTGGAAACTATCATGGTTAATTCCTGATGAATTCATCATGATGGGCTAACTGACCTGATTTCATTCTTATTAATCACCCTTCACTGGTGCTCCGCCAGCGTATCCCTTTAGCGTGAGCGTATCCTTTTTGGGTAAAAATGGTATGGTAACCCCGCCCTCGCTATTGGTATACACTGACGAGGCACCAGTATAAGATGATAAGTGAGAATGAATGTAGGCCAGTTGGCCCACCATGATGAATACGATAAGGATTAACTATGATGGTTTCCAAGGGGAACCGCGTGGAGGTCGACTTGAGAGGGTATATTGCTAGCAATGAGGCTATTAGACCTCATTACTAATAATCCCTTTCCCCCCATTATATACCCTGTTAGGTCGACCTTCATACGGTCCCCTCTTGAAATTATCGTGGTTAAACCCTGGTGATTTTATCACGATGACCCAATTGACATAACTTCATCATCACCTATCACTGGTATTCTACTTAGAACTTAGGCGAGATCACCAATCTACTGTCTTTACCACACGTCATAATTTTTTTATGTTTTCCAGGAGGCTGGACCAATCCCCTCATAGCCGACTGGCTGCTTGCATACGCCAGAGTAGTATTTACCTTGTTTGCTGATAGAGTGAAGATCTGGATCACCATCAACGAACCCGTAATGATTTGCGACTTGGGTTACGGTTTAGGAAAGCACGCGCCGATGTTGATGACTCCAAATGACATAGGAAGTTATATGTGTAATAAAAATCTACTCATCGCTCACGCTAAGGTTTACAGGCTGTATGATGAGAAATTTAGACCCAAATATCATGGTAAGTACCTTCCTAAGGTAAGGTGACCTTGGCAGTTAAGAGATGGAATTGCTAGTAATGAGTTTAAGCGACCCCATTGCCAGTAATATACATACTTTATCAAGTTTCTCTTATAATTCTCATTTCAACAATATGACGACTCTGACAGGTCGACCTTCACGTGGTCCTTCCTGGAAACCATCGTGCTGCGTGGCTAACCGACCTGCTTTTTCATTCTCACCTATCATCACTCACTGGTGCCCCGGCAGCGTATACGCGTACCAGGAGGGATGATAGGAAAGAATGAAAAGGCACAATGGATGTAGATATTGGTGGGAGCCCAGGACCGAGAGTAACCTATTATGATCAGACAGGCTGTGTTATTTCATGCATAAGACAAATTATGAAATCATGAATGTGCAGGAAGCAAGAAATGTATTTAAAGATAAAGGTCTTTAGCACTCCGTTCCCTCTGCCTACACCACAAAGGACGGCGTAAAAAAATATATATAGATATTTAATTATTCTCTCTAATTCAACAGGAATGATATCAATTGTAAATCATTTAGCATGGCTAGAAGCATTCACTGATGACGATTCATACATGACATACTTGGCAATGCAAAACACTGTAAGTATTTGCGACTTTTTGTGTGCAAATAAGAGTGTGGAATATTAAATCGACAATTATAGTCTAGATAGTGTTTATAACAGTCAGAATGGAAAACAAGCTGACCGTTCTTCTGATAGAAACTGGTAATCATCGCCTATACTCATCCCATCGCCTCCGAAGTACCAGAGCGACACTTTGTACAAAAGTCGTTTGCTTACCCACCTCTGTCCCATTCGTGTTTCTACCGTGAAGCAGTTGTGTTTGCATAGCTGTGTTTCGGTTTGAAGGGTGGGATATGGCAGAGAAATTACAAGGTACAGAAGAATAACACCTGAGTCTTCAAGAATGACAACGTATTGGGACTATCATGGGCGAAACAGTATACTCTGTTACGTCTATGGTACTGCTCATGTCTATAGGCAATTAGTTACCACTTCCCATCAGTTGGGCCGTCAGCTTGTTTGCCATTCTAAGTTGCATAAAAGAAAACTCACTCCTGGCAAAACTGCAGAAAGCGGTACACTTAGATGTTGTCCGCATAGTACGCCGATTTCTCTCCCTGGAGCCCTGAATCCATATTTAAAATACACTAACGGTACTTAAGATATCTGATTGTTATTGCCGACGTTTCGACATGAAATGAATGGCGTCTTCTCTGGAAGCCCGCACAGTTTCTTCGGCCACTCTAACATTATCACTATTATTGTCTTTATCCACCCTATACACATGCAGTCCTGTCGTGACCACGACGTGGTACAAACCACGACGAAACGTCGACAACAAAAATCAACCATGCAGGTACTATTTACCTACAAACGTGTCGAATTAAGTCCTAATAGTGTATTTAAAATCCAATTTTATAAAGAACTAGCACATGGACTAAGTACCTGAAGACTCTATGTCTTAGATTCCCACTATCACTTAAATATACATAAGAAACGTTCCAGGCAGGAAGATACAGTCATCCCATCTACTCCAAAGAAGGTGGCTGGCCGCCAGAAGTGGAGAGGATAGTGGCAATAAACAGCGAAAGACAAGGATACCCCAGGTCGAGGTTGCCCGCTTTCACCAGGCAAGAGATTGAGCTAGTAAGAGGTTAGAATCATAGGTGTTTTATACTTAATACCTTTATGTTTTGAACCTACTATGGACTCTCCCGTGTGATCCCGGCATAGAAAAAGTCACCCCGTTCCTTTCCCGTGGGTGTCGTAAGAGGCGACTATGAGAACTTAATAGAGGGTGAGGGGTAGGCAGCAGCGTCCTCTTAAAACATCTCTAAAGCCTAATTGCGGTTCCAACCCGCCTGCCAAGCATAGTAACCACTGGCAAAACTCCCTTTATGGGGAAAGCCAACGATATAAATATTACACTCAGTAATATAATGATTTTTTATTACCGAGTTCTAGATCGGTTCGTGGAGAGTTCAAAACCGTCTTCTCGATTGAACCTTTTATTCTTCTTTATTTTTAACCGCTGCCGTCTCTTATTTGCTAACAATGGGCTACTAGTATCCATTACTAACACTCTAACATAAAATACATTTAGGTAAAAACATAGTTTTGTCTTTTTCTCAATGTCCTCTACCCAAAGGTGGTCTGGAAGAGATTGCTTAACGATAAGGCCGCTTTTTGTATTACTTTTCATTAATATTTACTGTATTTATTAATTTCTTACTTGGTGCAATAAAATGTAAAATAAAATAATAAAATAGTACAATTATTTTCAGGTACATTCGACTTTTTCGGGCTAAACCATTACACCAGCAGAGCTATCCGAACTCTGGATCCGAGCGAGAAAAGAGGTGCCCTCTCGTTCTTCGGCGATGGTGAATACAACTACACTATCACTGAACGTCCCGGCTGGACAGTAGCCGGCAACGGATGGCTTATAGTTAGTACCCAGATCTAACTAGCTTCTATGCTTGCTACCTTGCAGCTCTAGGGTGAAGAGATCTAAAAAGAACTCCATACAAGAAACGAATCAAGCGTATTTTTTCGCAACCGACTTCAAAGAGAAGAATGTTCTCAATTCGGTTATATTTTTATGTTTGTTACGTCATAACTCCGTTAGTTCTAAACATTTTTTTTTTATCTAAAAGGATTATATATTTACAGATTACCGAAATAATTTAAAGACTAGTCCCATAAATTTTAACAAAATTAGTTAAATTTAAATTATTAAATTAGGGTAAATATCTATCTATCTATTACACCTACAGCCGTATCCTGAAGGATTCCGTTACCTTTTGAAGTGGATCAAACAAGAGTACGGAGATGTCAAAATATTGGTCACAGAAAACGGATACAGTACAGAGGCTGTGAACTACATCCATGACGACGACAGACTCAAATATCACAAGGATTATATTAACCAGGTAATTGTCAATTTTTTTATACAACTTAACTGGTAACCGTCGCCTATAGACATGAGCAGTACCATGAACATAACAGATTATACTGTTTCGCCCATGATACCCCCCATGCGTTGCTATTCCTGAGGACTCAGATGTTATTCCTCTGTACCCTGTAAATTCACGCCATATCCCACCCTTCAAACCGAAACACAGCTATGCAAACATAACTGCTTCACGGTTGAAACACGAATGAGACAGAGGTACCCAAGCAATTGGCTTTTGTACAAAGACTCCCTCTGTTTAGAGTGTTTCTGTAATAATTTTAACTAAACTTGGTTACAATTTCATTAAATTCTAATTCTACTGAAACAAAATAAAATTAACAGATGCTGCTAGCCATTAAGGAGGATGGTGTGAACGTCATAGGTTACACCGCTTGGAGTTTGATGGACAACTTTGAATGGACAGACGGATACAAGTAAGTTAATTAATATAGTGACCTTCGATACTGGCCCCTAAAGAACTATTTTAACTCCTCTAAACATCTTTAAAGAAATATTGTAACTCCTCTAAATATCTTTAAAGAAATATTGTAACTCCTGTAAACATCTTTAAAGAAATATTGTAACTCCTCTGAACATCTTTGAAGAAATATTGTAACTCCTCTGAACATCTTTAAAGAAATATTGTAACTCCTCTAAATATCTTTAAAGAAATATTGTAACTCCTCTGAACATCTTTAAAGAAATATTGTAACTCCTCTGAACATCTTTAAAGAAATATTGTAACTCCTCTGAACATCTTTAAAGAAATATTGTAACTCCTCTGAACATCTTTGAAGAAATATTGTAACTCCTCTGAACATCTTTAAAGAAATATTGTAACTCCTCTAAATATCTTTACACAAATATTGTAAGTCCTCTGCGAATGGTGGTACACATTACATACTTCGTCACCTAATAGCGAAAAATATATTTAATTTTATTTACAGAGCTAAATTCGGCCTTTACGAAGTGAACTTCACGGATCCTCGCCGCACACGAACCCCAAGGAAATCAGCGAAGTTCTACGCGGAACTAATCAAGCACCAGAGATTTATCGAGATTGATAGTGGAACGAGCAGTGCGCTTTACGCTTTATCAATTATAATGGTGGTGATAATCATACTAGCGTCCATTGCCGGCTATTATATGTACAACAGATCCAAGGCACGGCGGAGGATGTACATCAAGAAAGAATTTGAGGCAGACTACGAACTGCTTATGGCTGAAAAGCCCATAATCAAAGAGTGATTTATAATAAATTGAAGATATAAATATTTGTTTTTATTTATTTATATTATACTGTACATACTAATAATACGTAAAAAAAAATATAACAGATATAAGCGAATGTAAAATAATAAATATAAAAGAATTCTCTTCAAGCAAACCCAAAGTGGAAAGGAGCATCAATGTCAGCGGGTAGAGCGGTGTACAATAACGTAACAGTTTTCAATATGACTTTTTTATCTCAAAATTTTTTATTTAATTGAACATCTGTCAGTTAAGCATTAATTCATATATATTCAGTTTTTCTATATGACTAATGATGTAGGTACACTAATGCCTATTAACCAAAGTATTAGAGACATCATTTTGTTTATTTCTCCGATCCTTTCCCATAATTTAAATGCAATTTAAATTTAAATTCTTCGACACTAACTAATTTCAAGTTTATATGAATTTAGATTTATACAAAGTGCTGAGGATTTTCTTCTACCCGCCGTATTAGTAGAAATAACTGTATCACGGTCAAGTATGAATCCATGTTTGTGACAAGACATGTAAAGAGACATTGTATGTATACATGCATATATATGACATAGATATATATATATATATATATATATATATATATATATATATATATATATATATATATATATATATATATATATATATATATACAAATAAATTATGTTCATAAGGAGAATAAGGAGAAGATGCTCTTTAAGTCTATTCTTAAAAATATTTACAGATTGACTCTCATGGATTTGCATGGGAAGAGAATTCCTTATAGTCGGTAAAGGATCCGCTATAGCGCATAGACAAGAGATTTTTTTAATGGATGATAATGGAATTGGAACCCCACCCGCGCTAACGGTATACACTGGCGGGGCACCAGTGAGAGATGATAGGTAAGAATGAAAAGCCAGGTTAGCCCATCGTGATGAATATACCTACCTATATATTAATAACAATCCCTTCTCCCCCTCACCATAGGAGGGATTTTGAGGATAAGAGATTTCGTCGATATTAATTATACAATAGGATGCGCTATGGAAAGCGAGAAAATCAAATCATTTACGAGGATAGGATGGACAAGGATTGTATAGAACGGAATATAAAAATATCATTTTTTGGCCCCATACATAAAAACAATTTTAAGGAAATGTCACTCAAAATTAACACAAATAAAACCAAAATACTCAGTACTTCTAAAAAGCCAATTGAACTGCAAACCCAAAGTCAAATTAAGATAAATAATATACCTATCCAAAATGTTAGGAACTTTAAGTACTTGGGAAGTATAATCACAGAAGACGCTAGGTGCACATTGGATATTAAAACTAGAATAACAGTCGCAAAACAGGCCTATGACAAGAAAAAACATATATTTACATCAAAAATATCCAAAATAATCCTTAAGAAATTTATAAAAACTTATATTTGGAGCATAGCATTATATGGGTGTGAAACATGGACAATGACGCAGAAGGAAAGAAAGATGCTTGAGGCATTCGAAATGTGGACATGGAGGAGAATGGAAAGGATAAGCTGGACGGAAAAACTAACGAACGAGGAAGTCCTGAAAAAAGTAAACGAGAGGAGAGCGTTGATTGAAATAATAAAGAGTAGAAGAGGCAAAATGCTGGGCCATCTTATACGACATGACGATTTCTTAAAGAGTATAGTAGAAGGAAGAATAGAGGGCAAAAGAGGAAGAGGAAGACCGAGGAATAACTACATGAGACAGATAAAAGAAACACTAGGTGTCATGTCGTATAGGGAGGTCAAGGATATGGCCTGGGATAGAGCTGGCTGGAAGAAGATGCATGAATTAATTGCACCGACAAGAAGAAACTCTTAAATGAAAAAAAAAACATAAAAACAGATTTAGGATAATTACTACGATCCTGATAGATATGACACACAATGACAGTAATAGAACGAGACATCATTATAAGCAAAATACGGAAGTATGAGCGAGATGGGGAGTATTCTTGTTTTGTCTTGCTGTGCGTGCGCTTTTTTTTGGATGGCTTGTATGCGTCAAAAAAATATGTTTTTATAACCCGTTCAAATTGTTTAACTATGTCGTGAATGAAGCAAATTTTTAATTGGTTATTTGCTGCGTCATTACGCCCAAAGATTTCGGAGTAGAAATTATGGAATGCATAATTCACATAGTGTGTTGCTCGTTGTATTTATGACATTGGCAATGCGTTAAAGAGGGATAGACATATAAAAACGAATCCGCCTTTTGACTAGTCCGTAGAAGTCAAATTCATTATGATATGTCACTTCATTTTATTGGCCGTATAACCCTACCAAATTCAGATATAAAATGCTTGCATACTTTCTACATAAACTGTGTCGAATATATAATCTAGTAATGTAAATGGACATAAATTTTACATAAATATTTTCTATACACTAGCCCGTTATGAATTGAGAAAAATAGCAACTGGTGATGTATCTTTCGTCCTCTTTTTACTAATTACATTTGCATAAGAAGAATGAAGACAACCATATGACTTACAGTTTTTATTTTATCATTCCTTCTATGTAATCGCTTGTTCTTAGATTACGCTTTTCTATTGCTGTTTCATAATTACACTCATACCATTTCTATGGTATTCTCTATCTACGGCAAAAAAATTATATGATATAGCTATAAAGTTCCTTTGTCTATTTTTCGAATAAAAAAAAATGGGTAATTAAAAACGAATAATTACACGTATATATTTATTTCTTTAACGCTTTCTGTAGTTTTAATAATGGAGCATTTTTGCTTTTCCTTTTCTCCTTTTTCAATTCTCCAGATTGAATGGCTTTCTTCATGACCTGAAATCATTATAAAATACATAATCATAGTAAAGTGACGTTTAAGAATTTCGTATATAGATGTATATGGATTAAAAAGTATGTTAAAATATATTTATCAGTTGAGTGACATCTAGTTCCCAAACCAAGCAATACGTATATTATGGGAGTCTGTATGGGAGTGTGTATGTGAGTGTGTATGGGAGTGTGTGTGAGAGAGTGTATGAGAGTGTATATGAGAATGTGTATGAATGTTTGTACGAGAGTGTGTATAAGAGTGTGTATGAGTATGTGTATGAGTATGTGTATGAGAGTGTGTATGAGTATGTGTATGAGAGTGTGTATGAGAGTATGTATAGGAGTGTGTATGAGTATGTGTATGAGAGTGTGTATGAGTATGTGTATGAGAGTGTGTATGAGTATGTGTATGAGAGTATGTATAGGAGTGTGTATGAGTATGTGTATGAGAGTGTGATATTATTACTGATCTTACCTGTAAAGCATTATCCTCGCTCTTAACAAACATAGCAGGGTCGTTCAACGTGGGATACTTGAACGAGAACCCTCGGGGGAACAGGGGCCGAGAGAGGAGAGATTCCAGTTGCCTCTTCTTGGACTTTAAGGCTTTTTCTGTAGACGGAACCACGTCCTTGACAGGACTGTGAGTGAGTTAAGGTTTTCTAGAAGCTTTTTGATTGTTATTAAAATATATACTTTTTTTATTGTTATAAATATTTTTTAATTGTAGGTTATTAATCATCCGCCATTTTGAATGTCCCATGACCTTAACAAATTGACGCCATTTTTGGATTACAATTAGGAGTTCGGGGAAAAATAATGGTAATAATCATCAATTTTTATTACATTTATTAAAATCATTATACCCTGTCCAGTTTACCATCACCTCTGGAAATAATCGTGATTAATATCTGGTGAAGTTGTCATGATGGATCAACTGACTTGAAGTCACTAGTCTTTTTTTTTTTGGGTGAAAATGGTATGGTAACCTCGCCTGCGCTAACGGGATACGCTGGCGGAGCACTAGTGAAGAGTGATAGATGAGAATGAAAACAGGCCAGTTAGCCCATCATGATGAATTCATCAGGAATTAACCATGATAGTTTCCAGGGGGAACCGCGAGGAGGTCGACCTGGTTGGCTATATTGTTAGCAATAGGATTCTCAGTCTCCATTACTAACAATCCCTTTCAGCATCACGCTGTGCCCCCTAGAAACCATAGTGGTTATTACACCATTCAAGATGAAACCATCACGATGGTTTAACTTACCTGCCTTTTCATCCTGATCTATCATTCCTCATTGGAGCCCCGCTGGCGTATATCGATAGCACAGCTGGGGTTACCATTCGATTATCATCCATATAAAGAAAAAGGACTTGAATTCACTATCATTCCTCACCGGTACCCCGCTAACTTATAACTTTTACCAATGGAGCAGGGGATGGAGGGTAGGGATTTCCCATACCATTTTCATCCGTTGAGAAAAAAGTTCTTAAAAGGATACAGTTCGTCGTCATCTATAATCATGTCCATTTCTTTTGCGAGTTTGTCCCGCCAGCCCAGCGCCTGCACAACGCGGCGCTTCTTCAGCATCAGGGCGTCAAGTTCGCGAGCCACCGCCACCAGCTCCTTGAGGGTGGACAGCGCGTGAGCGGGCACCGGGAACGTCGGCAGTTCAGATGCTAGAATAGAATAGAAAAACAATTATTTTTATTCCATTAAATTTAATTTTACTTCCCACGCTTTTAGAAGTAGAAAAACCTAAAAAGCCACCCACTTTCTAGAAGATGTATCAAGATAAAACATATACCAGATTTTAAGTTACCAGAGGGAGACTTTCTACAAAGGTTGTTTGCTTGAGCATCTCTGTCCCATTCGTGTTTCAACCGTGAAGCACTTGTGTTTGAAAGCTGAAATATGGCAGTAAGTTTACAGAGTACAGAAGAATACTTACGTATGTAAATTCTCAGAAATGGCAACGCATAGGGGGGGGGGGGACATATATCCAATTTTGTGCAATATTTTTTTACTTTTTATTTTCTTTTATTTGTCTGTTTCCAAAAATTGTTATTTTCGCATCTATGGGTCCTATTAAAATCCCCTTACATTATTTTATCTTAAATATCCCCAAAGTAGAGACAATGTTAAGTTACAATTTTATGTACTAAAGAATCTTATTAATATAATAAACACAAAGATCAGAACAACAAATTCAGACCAAAAATATTGTACACTCCATTGCGCTGAGAGATTAATCTTTGTTGTTTATTTTTTAATTGCCATAATTATTAGTAGAAATATAAAAAAAAAAACTATTATCGATGTATATACCTATCAATAATTGTAATTTAATATGTATTTGTTATTTTGAATAATTTATTAACATAAATGAAGTATACCTACTTTAATTGCCTACAACGCTTCATTCCTCTTTCAATCATAATGAAATGAAATGAAATGAAATGAAATGAAACGAAATGAAATATTTATTTGCTTTAAACAGACATTTGACATTATAAGGGCCATGTGACAAAACTTTTTGGCATCTGTTTAATTGCCTTAAAATTGTAGGCGTGCAAATCTAATTTATTCCTTAAATAAGGATACAAATTTACATAATTACATCCTTACACACTTATAGTGTTTTCTGGAAATAATGTATATGGCAAAACAACGTTTGCGGGGTCAGATAGTTTTATTATATTAATAAGATTCTTTAGTACATAAAATAATCATCCAAGTGTATGTGTCCCGGTTGCATCCTAATTGGAGCCCAGGGTACGCTTGCAAGCGACACCATATGTGACTTGACAAGATCAGCTTTTTACAAGAGCGACTGCCGTCTGACCTCTTAACCTGAAGGAGAATGCTTTCCCGTTATATGGGTGCTTGTAGGTACATACGCCTTTAAATTTCTTCTCTAGCATATGCAGGTTTCCTCACGATGTTTTCCATCACCGTTTAAAGCGAGTGATAATTTAGAAAAATTGATAAATCCGTACATAAGTTAGAAAATAACTCATTGGTACAGGCCCCAGCCGTGACTCGAACCAAGACCCTCATGCACGAGAGTACGGTACAAACACCGCTGGGCTATCACCGCTTTCTTTAGTACATAAAATTTGTACAATTAAAATGCAATACTTACTTTTGTTAAGTGTCTTGCACAATTTGGCGTAAAGATACGCTTCTGACGGCTCCATCATGAGTATTGTGAGACCTTCCTTGTTGGCGCGAGCGGTGCGTCCGCTGCGATGCACGTAGTTCTAAAATAAAAAATATATAATCTAATCGACGATACCAGAGGGAGATTTTGTACAAAAGTCATTTGCTTGGGTACCTCTGTACCATTCGTGTTTCTACCGTGAAGCAGTTGTGTTTCGGTTTGAAGGGCGTGATATGCCGTGAATTTACAAGGTACAGAGGAATAACACCTAAATCCTCAGGAATGGCAACGCATGGGGGGTATCATGGGCGAAACAGTATACTCTGTTATGTCTATGGTACTGCTCATGTCTATAGGCGATGGTTACCAGTTTCCATCAGGTGGGCCGTCAGCTTGTTTGCCATTCTAAGTTGTATAAAAAAAAAGGATTGGTTGAGAAAAAAATAAACAATCAGTTTGTTCAACAAACTGATAAAGACAAGACAAACAATTTTAAAGTAATTTTATGAATGATTTTACCTCAGCAGTTTTGGGCACTTGGAAATGTATGACGTGGTCCACGTTAGGTATGTCCAAGCCTCGCGCCGCCACGTCGGTCGCCACCAATACACCATGTGGGTCATCTCTAAATCTGTTAAAAGAAAATATTTTTCTAGCTTTTATCTGCGATTTCACGTAACAAGGTTATGTCGATTAGCTGGAAAAAACAGTAAGGTATGCACGCTTCTCCATCCAATATAGCACATATACTAATTTCATAGTAATCGCTATGTAGGATTAATTGTAGGCTTCAACTTATATGTTTCTCAAACATGCTTGGAAAAGTGATCATTATTTTGACAATCTTCTTCGAGATAAATCAAAATTGCCGTACTTGCCAGATACATGCGGGCAGCGGCCGGCAAAAGTTGTATGAAAATCCATATCTGTCATGTTTTGCGGCCAGATAAATTACTACGTAAACTCATATCTGTCCTGTAATTTAAAAATGGAATAACCTTTTACTTCGAAACATGGCTACCAAGGAGTTAACTAATAAAAGGGTTTATTTAAATTTCGAATTGGCTTGCAAATATAAAGCTGTTTATTGAAAAATAAAACAAAGGCACATTATGGCGCGTGAAAAATTATTATTATTCGTTATTCGTCATTGAATTTAAAAAGTAAAATTGTGTTTTTGATTTCCGCGCATTGTTTGAGAAAAGTACTATACAAGCCTTGGCCACAACTAGGCATTGATGACTCACGTATGTGCCTCGGCTATGCCTCGGCCCACATTTGCACGTTCGTCCATCAATGCCTCAGTTGCTGGCCGCTGCAGTAATGTAATAATCAATATACAATAAATATTTTACAATAAAACAAATAAATTTTGAATCGTCCAAGTCAACAAAACACTCTCTCTGGTCGCTGCCCGTGCGCGGTACGCGCGCGCTTCCAACAATCACAAAGCGCCTGCACGACCTGCGCGCACATCTTGCGAGTGAGTCCCGTGACCAAGTGTCATGATATAAATACGAGGGTCATTTGAAAAGTTCTTAGCCTAACATGGTTAAAGTCATTGTTTTTTTTTTATAACTACCCTCATTTTTTTTATAACTATCCTCATTCAGTAATTATAGTCTAAAGACATGAACAGAATCATGTATATCTCAGAATTAACTCGATTATTAACTTATACTTGCCTTTCGAGGTTTTTTAGACGCTGTCTTTGCGGCATGCTGGCATGCAGTGGCAGTAGCGGACACTTGAGTAAAGAGAACAGTTGTGCCAACCTGCAAATAACAATATCGTTACCGGTGTAGGATATTTTTTAAGTTTTCCTTTTCTCCACTGGTATATAGGAGTCATAAATATAAAAAAAAACTACTAGCTTTTACCCGCGACTTTGTTCACGTGAGCGGGATATGTTCACTGACCGAAATAAAAAGTAGCCTAAGTCCTACACCATCGTAAATAGTATACCAAATTTCATTAATGACTAATTGAGGCCCCATGAAGTAACAAACAAACACACTTTTACATTCATATTGTTACTAGAGATATAACCCGGTTACAAACGGTGTTTAAGAAATGTATTTTTATATCGAAAATTTAGTTGGAAAACAGATACTAGATGGCGTTGTTGACAATGTGAAAGTCGCTGTTAAGGTTTTCCTGTATTTTGATGACCTGCCTTAGAGAGAATTAATAGAAAAATCATATCATTCCTACTGTGTTGTGTTGTTTCATTCGACACCATCGGTAGCAGATTTTTGACTCACGGTACTTAGTTATTCAAACGGTTAGATAGAATTTTCGAAAATAATACACAGTCAATGTTATTCGCTAATAATTTAACTTTTTATAGGTTAAAGATTATTTAAAATCGTTTAAGCTTATCCGTTGCAAACACACACAAAATAAAACCTTTCTTTAAAAATATTAGCATATTTTAAAGGAAAATTACATATTAATACATGATAAAGTTGTAAAGTTTTACTAGCTAACACACAAGTTTGCTTTATATGGCACATTGTAAAAAAATGAAAAAGTTTTCTCTTGTAATCGCCTGGTCCGTAAGTTCCTATCATTGAACTGACATTCCCAAAAACACTTGGCTTTGGCCCGTGTCTAAAACTACCTCTAAATGAGAGATATAACAAATTAAATAAAAAAAATAATAATATTTATTAAATCCAAAAATACATGTTTCAATTTTAAATTTGTTCCCAAAACTTCACACTAGAATTCCCTGTGTCGTGAAGTCTTGAAAGGGCACAAGACTGCTTACAAAACTTATTAACTAATATATAAACTTGCTACCTAATATACAAACTTTAGATACATAAACAACTTAGATTTATGGGTTTTACATGCAAACCTCTATGCTTGAATTTAATTAAATTCCCTTAATCTCTTCTTACGATACCCAAGATAAAATATTTATTTATAATTTATAATAATTTAAATACAATTTCCATTATTTATATTATGTTATTATTCATATTGTTAATATCTTTACTCGTATAATGACATTTAATAATTTAATTCTATTTTAATGTTTATCAAACACAAGGCACGCTGTGGTCGCCTATAAATGTAAGAACAGTTAGATCTAATCTACCAGTGTGTTGTATTGAAATGTTACGCTGTATCTTATGTTGATAATACTATAAATAAATAAATAAATAAAAGAAAGGGTATCCCATTATAAATGGGGACCACACGATGCAATTAAATTAATATATAAAAAAATCTAATTGCAACTCACCTCCTCACACATCCTATAGAGTTGCAAAACACTATTGTACGGCCTGGATGATTTTTCAATATGTAGTAGAGGTATGCGTCTTTCTGTTCCAGCGAACACGCTATCCGACTCTCCGTTAACGTTTCTGATGTACCTGTTAAAATATATTTATTTACATTATTGTTATACACAATAATAGAATGTATAATTTATTATTTCATTTCAAATGTATTTTAATTATCGAGTACCTAAATGATAAAATTGTACAAGAACCGGACTGTAAATGGCAATGAATATGGACTAACTTAATTAGCCACTCACTGACTACTACGATATAGGCCTGCGAGCCTAGTGTAGTAATCACTGTTTAATAAATTGTGTACCCGATTTTTAGCTACAAAAAAAAAATACAAGATAATAGTTTTTTTTTATACAACTTAGAATGGCAAACAAGCTGACGGCCCACCTGATGGAAAGTGGTAACCGTCGCCTGTAGACATGAGTAGTACCATGGACATAACAGAGTATACTGTTACGTAATGATACCCCTCATGCGTTGCCATTCCTGAGGACTCAATTTTATTCCTCTGTACCCAGTAAATTCACGCCATATCCCACCCTTCAAACCGAAACGCAGCCATGCAAACACAACTGCTTAAAAATTATACCAAAAAAATATTATGAAATCGACAAATAGGTCTTAACCCCATCGATCCATCGTAACCCCTCGAGCGTCTATGCATCATACCGAACAAAAATGTGGTACCGCGCGCTAATGCAACAGCGTCTGTTGCATAACTAGAATTTGCAGCGTCGTTTTCATTAAATTTATTTAGATAAGAAATCCATTTATCCATAACCTCTAATCGAAAATTGGTAATTTCAAAAATCGGTGACGCAGTGGGTGTAGCGAGCTAGCCTAGAGCCGATCGTTCCACAACTTAATATTGTTACAAGTAGATAAATATATATAATATATAAATAAATAAAATATAAAAGATAATGACTAGCTACTATTATTATATAGTAGAATCTCGATTATTCGAATCAAATATAAGCAGGTTTATTCCGTATAATCGAAAATCCGGATAATCGATTTCGAAGTCAAATCGAATAATAATTAAATTTTAATATTTTTTGTTATATAAAATGTTATATATATGTTATTTAGACAATACGATATAAAAAAAATTATGAGCTATAAAGATAATGGATTACATAAATACATAATTACCCAATTAATACTATAATACTATTTCTAAATCGGTAATTAGAGCTGTGAATAATAAGTCCGGATAATCGAATATACGGATAATCGAAATTCTACTGTAATGAATTATTGTAGATATGTGCCAGACTTAATTTAAATTTAAGAGGAAACTAATGAATTTAATATCACATTGCATGTAAGTTCGTACCTAGATTCTGCACCGTTATATCCACAACTTTGGGGTCGGTCATGCCCAGCATGTTGACGAGCCTCTTGATCTTCTGTTGGGGAGTCATCTTCTCTATCTTTCTGTTTATAATTTTTCCTCTCTTCGTTACCTATTATTACAATGGAATTTCAATTGCGTCTTTTAGCACATAATCATGAAGAATGCCCAGTGGATTCATGCGATTCGGATTAATCGGAAACATTAATAATTAGGAAAAGCCATTCGTGTTTACGCCATGAAGCAGTTTTTTATAACACTTATCTGATAGTACCGCCGTCTATGACCACCCGCAATACCAGAAGCATTGCAGGAGTACTGCGAGTCTTTTAAAAAGGAATATGCTGTTTTCTTGAAGGTTATGATGTCGGTTAGGAAATACTGCTGCTGGATGTTGATTCCAAGAAAGGTTGTGCGTGAAAGAAAGTGCCTTGAAAAACGCATAGTAGTGGACCGCCACTTATACCGCCCGGCACGGCAAGCAGCTGCGGTCGGCGGCGACGCCACACATATCCTCTCGGAACACAGAAGTTGACATACCTCAACACCTGGTTGATGCTGATTTTATCCCTTATTTTACTTGTTTTTATATGGCTGTGTTTTACAGCGCACGAAGGGTATTATGGGCGACCATGGTACTGATCATGTTTATAGGCAACGTTTACTACTTTCCATCAGGTGAGCCATCAGCTTGTCTGCCATTCTAAGTTTCTAAGGGAGACTTTGTACAAAAATCGATTGCTTGGGTACTTCTGTCCCATTCGTGTTTCAACCGTGAAGCAGTTTTGTTTGCATGGCTGTGTTTCGGTTTGAAGGGTGAGATATGGCGTGAATTTACTAGGTACAGAGGAATAACACCTGAGTCCTCAGGAATGGCAACGCATGGGGAGTGTCATGTGCAAAACAGTATACTCTGTTATGTCCATGGTACTGCTCATGTCTGTAGGCGACGGTTATCACTTTCCATCAGGTGGACCGTCAGCTTGTTTGCGATTCTAAGTTGTAGAAAAAAAAAACATAAAAAACACACAGTAGTTTCAGGTATGCGTTAATTATAATCACCAGTTAGTTGGAATTATTTAGTTTAATTCCGCTACCATTAGTTACCTATTATTATCAACCAGTTTCTGCTTACAATGACATCTCTATTACCTTCTTCCCCTTCATATGAGCGGGCAGCTCGTGCACCATGGTGAGAGTGGCGGAGAACACGAAGTTCTGGCGAGTGCTGCATCTGACCTCATCGGAGTTCAGTCGCTCCAGTAGCGGCTGTAACTCCTCGAAGTGTCCTCGCTCTATCATGCGATCCGTTTCGTCTATGGCTAGGAATCTATGACATAAATACAGAGTGTCCCAAAAATATGCACATACTAATATTAATGTAATAACTACTAGTTTAACTTATGTGTTATTAGATCGAGAAAAGTCGACTAGTTTCGGAGTCAAACCGTGGTCCTTATTCACATTCTAATTGCTAGTAACGAAGACTAAGAGCCCCATTGATAGCAATATACCCTGTCAGGTCGAAGTCTACGCGATCCGCTCTTAATAATCATCGTGCTAAATTCCAGGTATGTTTATCACGATGAGTTAACCGACCTGCCGTTTCTTGCCTGACTGGTGCCTCGCCAGCGGATACCATTAGCGCAGGCGGAGTTACCATTCCATTGTCATCCATTAAAAAACTGATATACTTATGTATACATAAGAAGGAGTGGACCGCGTCCACCTCAGAAATATCTGGTGACCACCATAGTGAAGCCACCACTAAGTGGAGCTTTTTATACCCAAAAACATGTCTGACAGTACATATGCGTCTTTTCTAAGGAGTCAGGCCCCCCTGGAACATTATCTCAAATACGCCAAAGCTGATGATAATATCGTAAAAAAAATCGCATTGAGAACCTCCTTTTTCGAAGTTGGTCAAAAATATAAACCAATATTGCTCACTTGACGCAGTCGAGCTGTTGCAAGTGGGGCTGTCCTTGCTGCAGCAGCTCCCAGAGACGGCCAGGCGTGGCAACCACCACCTCGGGACCTCGCGCCAGCACCCGCTCCTGCTTCACCGGCGCCAAACCACCCACAATTGTTGCTATTTTTATACCTAACAAAAAAAAAAGATATATACTATTTTGAATGATAAACAAGCATCCATATGATGGAAAATGACACCGTCGACTACAGACATGATCAGTTCCATATTCGTGTCTATGTTTTACATACTATTACAGTAAATTCAACTATCTTTCAGATTGAGAATTTAGCGTAAAAGTAAAAGACAAAGTAGTTCAATAACTAAAATAGTATGGTAGGGTATGTTTGCACATGGGAGGTATTTAAAAAAAATTATATAAGGGGTCTTAATAAGAACAATAGATGCAATTTTTTTTTTTTTTTTTTTTTAATTTATCTGATTGTCTGTTTTTTGTTTCGACATCACACAAAAACTATTGCACCAAATTGGATGCGCTTTTCGATGCTTTTGTTGATTATTGATATTGATGATTTGATTGTTTTTGATGACTTTCAACTTAAAAATCAGCATGTTTTATTTTGTCATATATAAATGGCATAATGTGTTTTTTCTATTTGTGAAATTTACGCGTACGAAGTAACGGACACAAAGCTAGTATATAATAAAATTTGGAGTGGTTATTATAAAATATATAGACACATATTTATATAGACACAAAATAGAACGGAAATAATAGAAAACTGTTACCAGAAAAACAGTCTTCTTCTAAGTTTAAAATATCTGCATAGAATAACCCCATGGCCGTAATTAAGGGGGGGGGATTGAGGGGCTATGCCCTACTTTAAAAGGCCCAATGTCCTACCTTAAAATGAAAGGCCTTAAGAAAATTAGACAGGATCGCTTTTGCAAAGTCACTTAATTATGGCTTCTGTCTTAACAAAAAGTTCTTTTGCCCTACCTTAAACTTAGGTCTAACTATGGCCCTGGATGACACACAAGGAACTAAACAGTTGCTTAATATGAATAGACCTTAATTCTGTTGAAATAAAGATCATTTCTAACACCGTGTAATTTTTACCTGTATATTTAGCGACCGCGATCAAATGCCTGCTAATCTGTATAGCAAGCTCTCTTGTAGGCGTTAAGATCAGAGCATACAACGGTTTTCCCGTCTTAGTGACTATATGGCCTGGTAACTCCACATTGTCTATGACCTTTACGCATCCAATGCCTGCAAAAATTTTTAATGATTACAAAATAAATTCTAAAATCAAAGTACAACTTTATTGTTAAGTTTTGTAAGTACACATTATATTTTAATTTAGTAACTGTGTTAATAATCATCTGTTTAATTTACTTGTTATTTGGTCGAGAAAGCTCGACTAGTTTTAGAATCATCTAGGACCAAGGACTAAAGGTCCCAGATGGTTCCGAAACTAATTGAGCTTCTGCATCCAAATTACACATAAATGAAACCAGTAATTACTACATTAAAATATTTAAAATGTTAACAATTTTTTACCAAAAACACATAACTTAAAGTTGATGACATAAATCGTAATGAAATATAATCAAGTCAAACATTTACTTTACTACATTTACAATAACTGAATAGCCTTCGAGATATAGACATATTTTATAGAATCAATTTAATAAAGTATATAATAATTTACTAAGAATTATCACGTTCGTATTGTCTTTATGACATAACCAATCATTTATAATATAATCATTGTAATCATGAAATTAAAGTTAAAAAAAATATGGTCATAATTTATATATTTTATTTTAATACAATTTGATGTATAATTGTGATTAAAATACTAGAACACTTACTGAACAATATATGAAAATAAATTAGAAAATAAATTTATACCTTCTTCATTCTCCTCTTCACTTTGACGAATATCACTTTCATCTCCTGAATCTTCACCATGCGAGTCTTCACTGGCTACTTCTTCATCATCACTTCCTTTATCTTCACTAAAAGCATCGTCACTCTCAGTATCAATATCATCTGATACTTCACTTCTATCAGTAACTGCTGAATCATTACCTGTGGTTTCATCATCACTCGAGTCCACCAAATCATCGGAGTCGAGCATCTCTGAGAGATGTGTGTAATTATCACTGTCATCACTGTCTATGTCTTCATCAGACATTTGTTTTTTTCTTATAGGCACGTCAAACTCTTCTATAAAATCGTCATCATTATTTCTATACTTTTTAATGATCTTTTGTTTTTTCAATTTTATATCTTGATTTTTATCATTGGAATTAACTTTAGTAACTTGCCCACTTTTATTTTTTGTACCTTTTTTCATATCAATACTTGTTTCTTCACTGATTTCTTCATTATTGCCATCATCACTATCACCACTTCCGTAACCATCCTCAGATGATTCTTTCTCCTTCTTTTTCACTTCTTTATTTTTATTTTGCCTCTTATCTTTTTTAGATGGCTTCTTTTCCTCATTTTTTCTTTTCACAGATGTCTTTTTATATGGTATTTCATAAACGTCTAAACCAGCATCAGCTTTTTCCTTCAATTTCATAATACCAGTGAGTATGGGAAGGCCAAATGCAAGAGTTTTACCACTCCCAGTTTCAGCAGCACCCAAGATATCTCTGCGACCTGTAACAATGCAAAAAATTTAAGTCTCCATTGCTTGATTCTGCATCACTTTGAAGTTTTGAAATAGTGGATGAGACATTAACTAACAGTATTCCTTCTCTGATGCTTCTGGGAATGCAATTAGCTCAAATAAATCAATATATTAAATAAATAAAGTGTAAAATAAATAAATAAATATATTTACGAGCCTTCATAAATTTAGCTTACTGGATGTAAACATCTGTCAAATTTTAAAAAAGCAATTGAACGCTTTTTAATGTTTCCGATTGCTAGTGAACTAAAATGTTAATCATAGAGTGCATTGCATAAAAACTTAACACTAAAAACTTTGCACCTTTTTTTATTATAACACAACATGTGATCACATCATCCTGAACAAACACAGACAATATGGTCTATGACATGATCAACTGAAAAGAGTATGATTTACTCTCTGTGCTCAATCATATGTCAACTTACTAAGTACTTTTTCATGCTATGTTTGAAGGACCTCATGGTATAGGATAAAGAAAAATCTCGGAAAAGGCTATTTCATATTGTTATAATATGTGTAAAGAGTTGACAAATTTAATTGTACATGAATGCAAGCAATCAACCATATATGGATGTAATTGCTGGACCATCCCTATGGTGTAATTTCGATATCTACCTCATATTTTACTCTAGAATTTTTAGATACCAATTTGCCAAAAAATAAAAATTTTGAGTGATAGCTGAATAAGAATATTGTATGAATAATGTTTTGATTTGCTAGCAAAGCAGAGAGAGAGTGTTTTCAAATAGCTACTTAGAATTTTTTTTTTTAAATAGACTAAGTTGCGAAGTTACAGTACTTCAGTAAGCTAAATTTATGAAGGCTCTTAATAGTGGAGGAGTAAAAATGATGTCTTTATACTAAGATATTTGTTGTCTTACATGATCAAGCGGCTTGAGTTAAGCACACATCTTTTGTCATTTGTAAAGTAAAGAACAAGGAGCAACAGGACAATGTGCATATGCTTAATGTTAACCACTTTACCATTAAAAGACCCTTTAACATACCATGAATAGCAGCTGGCAAAGTCAACTGTTGTATTTTTGTGGGCTTTTTAAAATTCAACTCCATTAGCGCTTTCAATATTGGCTCGGGGAGTTTAAACTCTGCCCATGTCAACATATCCTCAGGTGTCAACTCTGACACAACTTTTGTGATATCTTCCCCTAGTTTCATTTTGAGTTTTTTATTATTTTCAACCTCTTTTTGTGCATTTGTATTAGATATTTCTTTATTGTCATCCTTTTTAGGTGCGTTACAATTAGACATGTCTTTCTTTTTCTTTTTGTGTTTTTTATTTTTTTTACTATTTATCCCTCCAATTTGTTTGGCTACATTATCAGTATTATTCAATGATGGTGTAACTGTATTACAGCTTTCAACAATAAACCCATTGCTTAATTTAACTTTTTTTGTTGGAACTTGAGGTACTTCTTCTGCCTGTGTTAATGTTTTGCGTTTTTTTGCTTTCTTCTGTATTTTTTTCTGTAAATTAATTTTAGCAATATTATTATTAATTTTTCTTATTATTATTATAATAAGAAAAATTTTATTTATTATCAAAGTATGTTAGTATAAATACAGAATTTATCATTGATTTCTACATTAGGCTGACCATATCCTGTAGGAATCAGGAATCATAATACTGTATACATGCCTACAGAAATTAACATAGGCTTTCTACTAGTATCAATAATTACCTACCCTACTAATTTGTAAAGGCCTTTGCCAATAGGTAGTAAGTATATAATTTACAATGTGTTATAAATATGTAAATTATGTACACAGTAAATACATCAAATTAAAACTAAAATCAAATTAAACTTTACATATACTTAAACAGTTCAAAATCATATATGTTTATGTATATATGTATATGTATTATTGTATACAGGTATGTATGTATTTTGATTTCAATTATATGAGTTACTTTGTATATATTACAACATATTTATTATTTCTTAATAGAAACAGCTATACTGTTTCCTCCTATTATTGTATGCATACTGCCCGCCAGTAATTAATGCTCCTTTTCACTCAGGGTTTGCTCGAAGAAAACTCTTAGAGTTAAGCTCGCCTGTTGTACACCTTTATTTAATATATATATTATATGTTTGTAATTTTTTGTGTACAACAATACAAGAATAAATAAATAAATAAATATATTGAAACCTTTAATTTTTTATTATAGATATATTACGTTTTTATTCAAAATAAGAAATTACATTTGGCCACTTTGATTGTCATAATAAGTAACAAAAAGTTATAATTTTAAAAACACCTTTTATTAACTTAATCATACTTTCACTAGTGGTTTAATAGTTTTTGACGTCTTAAGGTTATTCCACGAATAACCTTAAGACGTTAAGACGTCAGGTATTTATTTCATATCTCAAAATTACTAAAATCAAAGATTTGTAATCTTAAGGGAACTAATGTTCGACTCCTTGTACATGCAGGATTTTCCTAGCTACAAAGATAAGCAAACAAGGGTAGAGACTATTTAATATTTAAATTAAAATAATGACAAAACATGTGATTTTACCTTTCTGGTACAATTGTTTGTCTCTCTATCAAAACCATAACTTGTACATTCTTCGAGGCCCACGAAACCTTGAAACTTATCTGTCATTGAAATAGGAAAACCGTCCAACGAAACAGGATCCCATTTCATATTTTTTAACTTTTTACTCATGTTTTATGAATTAAAAAATAGTTTACTGAAATAATAAAAGCACGGCGTGAAAATAAACATAACCTAAAAATATGTTTTGACATTTTTGTGACACAGCAGCCAGTAGTCACAAGTCACTTCGAAAAAAAATGTTTATATAAAGAAGTCTATGCTAAATTCATTGAAGATTAGGTATACATTATATAAGCCAAATGCTTTCTGATACTGATTATAAATACCTAATATAAATAACAATCTAAATATATAAAATTTTGGAAAGAGGCATTAATATGCCTACATAATTAATGTGTTCTAGATCTATTTTATCAAACGAGCATTAATTTATTTCATTGGGTTCATTTCATTAATGCTTGCAAGTGGTTGCATAGATATTTTACAGTATTATTAATATGGACAGTTGGTACCCAACTCTTAAATAATATGAGACTACCAAAGATGTTGAAATAGTCCTTTTTCGTAGGGCAGAATCTTGAAACAACAGATATATAATATATATAATTATAGCTAATAAATATTTTATGTTGCCTTCCTATTATGTTGCATAAAAATATACCTATATATAACATGATAATAATATTATACTCATAAATAGAGAGAATATGAGTTAAGTGCGATTAGTTCAAAATCTCTTGTAATTTGGGCATTAATAGAAAATTACATTCATCATTTAAAAGTAAGTAAAAAAGTAAGCACAGACACTTGCATTTTTATCAATTACAAATACCGAATTAGACAGTGGAAATATACATGATTTTGTCTTTGGATATGAATTGTTGATCTTAAAAGATATCGCCATAACAATTTCATAAAAAAACATTTAAAAATACATTTCTTAAAATTGTGAATAATTTTTATGTATTCAATGTAATATTTACCTTAATGTTATTAATTAAAAACTGACAGAAAATAATATAGATTTCTGGGATTATTCTGTTGCCTTCATTTCATGTACTGTAAAAAATGAAATAGCACGCTGCCGATCATAGACAAAAGAGGGAGGAAGTTTGTAAGTGATCGATTTTACGCCGGCCTCAACTTCTCAACGGCATTTTTCTTTGTTTGCTCGTAAGCGTGTGGACAATAATTAAACAGCATCCGCGCGTCCGTGTCCAACTATTACAATGGCGAACATGTTTCGCGGAGTTACCGTCTCCGCTGTAAACAATGACGGCACCCAGACTCCGCGCTTCAATTTTCCCACAAACGTAAACGTGGATTACGATCCGCAAGGGCTAAGTGTTAAAGTGATACGTGCTGATCCAGTGTTAGCTCAAGAAGTGCTCGAATTCCCCGTCCACAACCAGAGCGAGTGTTCCCGCGTCGTCGGCCAGTCGTATATTTTTACGATCGACAATGAAACTTTATTTTTCAAGTTTGCGTCCGAAGTCGACTGTCAGAATTTTCACCTGCTCGTTAGTAAAATTAAGGCGGGTCGATCATCTTCAGTTTTCACAGTGCGCACTGAAGATTCGTCGGCGATGCAATATTTTCAATTTTATGGTTACCTAAGTCAGCAGCAAAACATGATGCAGGATTATGTGAGAACGAGTACGTATCAGCGAGCCATACTGTCTAACATCAATGATTTTAAGAACAAAGTGGTGCTAGATGTGGGAGCTGGTTCAGGTATTTTGTCATTTTTTGCCGCGCAAGCTGGTGCACGGAAGGTATATGCTGTAGAGGCTAGTAATATGGCCCATCACGCCCAAGCTTTAGTACGCGCCAACGGCCTCCACGACCGCATCACGGTCGTAGCTGGCAAAATAGAGGAGATTGAGTTGCCAGAGACTGTAGATGTGATCATTTCAGAGCCGATGGGATATATGCTGTATAATGAGCGTATGCTGGAGACATATCTTCATGCAAAGAAATGGTTGAAGCCCAACGGCAACATGTACCCAACTCGTGGTGATTTGCATATAGCACCATTTACTGATGATGCATTGTTTATGGAACAATACAATAAGGCAAATTTCTGGTACCAGACATGCTTCCATGGAGTTGATCTCAGTGCACTACGCACGGCAGCTATGAAGGAATACTTTAGGCAGCCTATAGTTGACACATTTGATGTTCGTATCTGCATGTCAAGATCTGTGAGACATGTGGTTGATTTTCTAAATGCACATGAAACTGATCTCCACCGTATTGAAGTACCGTTCAGATTTGAGTTAACACAGTCTGGCACATGCCATGGTCTTGCATTTTGGTTTGATGTTCTCTTTGCTGGAAGCACACAACACATATGGCTATCAACAGCGCCAACTGAGCCACTCACACATTGGTATCAAGTTCGTTGTTTGCTTGAGACACCAATATTTGCTAAACAAGGCCAAGCTTTGACGGGCCGTGTGCTTCTATTAGCTAATAAGAGACAGAGTTACGATGTTACCATGGAGGTAAACTTGGAAGGAACTAATATATCATCATCTAACACACTAGACTTAAAGAATCCATACTTTAGATATACTGGCGCACCGGCGGCACCACCGCCAGGCGTGAACAGCACTTCTCCCAGTGAATCATACTGGAACTCACTGGAGACCACTGCCACCCTTAGTAATGGACAGGGTGTCATACTCACCGATGGCACACAGCAGTATTGCTCTACCCCAGACCAGACCATTGCTTACAGTGCCCATCCTAATATGATTAAGACAGTGATGCTGCAAGAAGAATTCATCAAGAGGATCGGGATTAGTCAAAATGGGGACATATAATCCGCGAAGTCGCGCCGAGCGCGCCTTAGGGCTATAAGGAACCGTAATCGGTTGTGAACACTCTTCCGTTCAGACTCTATTAGTGTGTAAGAGAACTTATTTATTTCAAACGAAACATCACAGTGGAGAGGACTGTATCTAATACTAGAAGTTCAACTGGCCTTGTCAATGAAAGTGAAATGCAATAAGAACCAAGCGCCTTCTAGGTCAACATTTTGTTTGATCATGACGCTTACTAGTGTAATTTGATGACAAATCTGCTCGTATGTTAATTATGAAAAAATTATTGTAAATAATCTGTGGTGGTTAGGAAATAACTGGCCGAAATGTTAAGGGTTGCTCTAGAATTAGCTAGAGTTGAAGTACACTTAGTATAAGCAATAAGTGCTGACTTTCAATGATAATGCTTATCATTGTCAATACTCATTTATCATTAGATCAGGCTCAATCATATTAGTTAGGTAGGGGAATCAAGCATTATAAAGGCAGGTAGTGATGTAAGGATGTTCTTAGTTTGGTCACAATTATCTATGGTCCATATATTTCATAATTTGAATTTAGAATGGTATATTATATGATAATGGCCATACTGAAAATCCTTACATAGGTAACAGTTGAGACTGGTTATGATTCCTTGTCTGCCGATCAAAAAAAAACTCTTGAGAGATTGTGGATAACACCTGGAGAGCAGCAGTAACGAGATACTTTGCTGATATTTTTATACATAGCCATAAATGTTATGTTAATTCTGTAAATATTTTAAATTTAGGATAAAGTTAGTAACATTTCTATTTTTTTTTTGTTACTGAAATTTATCAGTATTGATTTTGTGTTCTATTCTCTCTTTTTTGTCAGGCAGGGCCTATTACATTACATAATAGCTACTTATCTAGTTAATTTATAGGACTAAATAATGTGATTAATTTATATTTTACATGTGATATCACAATTATGAAATCTAATTTAAGATGACACATTAGTAATTAAAAAAAAAAAGTGAATATACAAGTTTCCTTTCTCAAACATGTGATATTAAACTTTAAAAAAATCTCTGTATTGTTTATAAAAAAAGTATTTCTAATATGCCTAAATATTATTATTTATAAAAGACAAAGCACTTCAATAGTTAAAAAAGGTTTTTGTGGGGCATTTCTATAAATAAAGAGATAGGTATATTGGTATAGTTAAGAAATGCAATGTTATAGTAATACAAGATTTATTTGGAAAGAAAAATCATCCAGATTTTGATGCAGGCTGTATGTAATGTGATATGACCTTATTTGAAATAATTTTCCTATTCACATCGTAACTAGGGTTACCATTTGATTTGAAATGTCCCAATAAAAAAATTCGGATATTTTATTCGCAAAGAGATTTAACACTGGCAAATTTAATAGTTGCCATATAAAAAAATAAATCGCACGCAAAGCGTATGTTTTCATGTTCAACGCGAAAAATCAAAAGCTGGACGAAGATGGTAACCCTAACAGTAACCAGCTGAGATCTACAATCTTGCGTCATATAGCTGATAAACAATGGAAATAATTTTGGTGCTGTACCTGTTTGCACAAATAATAGTTTTCTTATAACATGACTACCTCACGATTTGGCAGACAATTGGAGCTTTATAATCGTCCATCATTTAACGGCGAGGTGCAAATTAACTTGTCAATTTATATGGTTTTTATCTATTGTAAGTTCCATTTGAAATTGGACTTATTTAACTGTTTTTTAGGTGTTGTTTTGTAGTAAGAGAGTGAGACTCGTAGTTTTACAAATTACTTTTGTAATGTTTATACCAGCTTCAGTAATACTCATGATTAGTATTTAAAAAAAATGTGTTTTAAACGTTCACGAGCTGAGTTGGCCACGTACCATCAGGCGGGCCGTCTGCTTGACAATTATAAGTCGACTATACAATTCCAATTTCGGTTAATAAAATATAATCTATAATTTTTGTACCTCGACGTTAAATGAGAGGACTACTTTTTATTATATACTTTAAAGCGATTGTCAAAAAGTCTTTCATCGATTGGCTATGTTAGTAGGGTTGCCATGTTTAGGAAAAATTCGCAGCGTCGAGCTGCCATATCATAATAAGGATTTGATGACACGCTTGTAACTTGTAACTATTATGGAGCATGTTACGTTAGATTAGTTGTAGGTAGTCATAGAATTTTTAGTTATCGACGTCAGAATACAGTTGGCAACCCTGTTTGTGAAACCTATAATAAAGCCAGACTCGCTTGCCATTAAATCAATTATGTTATTAAGAGCAATTCACTTATAAAAGCCGACTCGGAATTGTAAAGAAACAATCAAGCAGCCTGACTTGACGATTACAATTAAAATGTGATATGCTTTGTCATTATTAAGCTAATAATAATGTCCCCCTATTAAACATATGGCCTCCATAAAATAGAGAATTTTTTTTATGGAATATAAATTGTATGGTATCTCCGCCTGCATTGTCTTTATACGTTGGCGGTCCACCACTGAGTTTTAGGAGACTAGAACGTGATAACTTCGAAACGTGTAGCGTTAAAGTCGAAAAGTTAATCCTGCACCCGTGATTCCGTGGCAGGTGCGGATGAAATCCGGTCAGAGGGACCATTATGACAAATTCACTAGATAACAGCTACGATATTAGGGGATGGTATAGACGTTGATCTGATAGGTATTGCTAGCAAGTGGACTACTAAATTTTACGACCTGTTCCCCCAATCACCAGAATTTTGGTGTAGGCGTTTTTTTTTAGTTTTTGTGTACAATATTTTGTTTTTCTAATTGCAACACATTCTGGGGATGAATGGGAACAGTGATAAATATACTACACAGGGTTCTTATTAAACATCTACTTGTCCGTAGAATATTATTTATAGCACTTGCTTTGCTTGCGTTGACATACGGTTTGAGACATTTATTTCTCTAAAGATTTACATGAATCATTTAAATGAGAAATTTCAAAACTATGAACATGCACTTAATATCTACTGTTAGCGAGCGTAATTTATCAAACATCAACTAGAAATAAAAAATAATGTGTAACTACCTTCATTTTATAAAAATTATAAAACAATGCGACTCGATACAACAAGTTGCTTATAATGTAAGGACAATATCTACAATCTTCGTTTAACTTCGGTAAAGTTATCTTAAAACCGATATAAAAGTGGTTTCAAGTACTATTGCTTTTCATATAATTTACTTTACTACATAGTATAAAACAAAGTCGTCCCGCTGTCTGTCTGTCCCTATGTATGTTTAGATCTTTAAAACTACGCAACGGGTTTTTTTAATAGAGTGATTCAAAAGGAAGGTTTATATGTATAATACATGCATAATATTGTAGAGAAACACTGATAAATTTAGAGGTTTCTAATGTGACGTAAATAAACACATTTTTTTGCGCTTACATTGCAAACGCTAGCTGAACCCTACGAGATAGATCAAAATAATGTACTACAGTATTGTAAACCTTAAAAAGGTCAACAAAAACACCGCGATGGTATATGTCTATCTCTTAGGGATAACCCACAATAACCATTTTTTATCCTTTACTTTTTACGAGGAATAATGGCTTTTACTAAGCAATTTTAAGCAATACAGCATTAATCCTTATCCAATTAAGTATTTTAAATATGTTACGTTAAAAAAAAAAAAAAAAAAATACATATTTGAAATTGTATTCTGTATATTTAGTATCAACATTGCACCCGTGTGAAGCCGGGTCGGATTGCTAGTATATTATAATTTATTATTACTTACTAGCGGCCCGTTCCGGCTTCGCACTGGTGGACATTTTTACATTTAAAAAAGTGGCCGTTTTCTCAACATTTCCCTTCACTGCTCTGCTCCTATTGATCGTAGCGTGATGAAAAGTATACTATAACCTGCCCAGGAGTATGAAGAATAATTGTAACAAGTTTCGTTAAAATCCGTCGAGTAGTTTTTGTTTCTATAACGAACATACAGACAGGCAGACAGACAAAAATTTTATTGATTGCATTTTTGGCATCAGTATCGATCACTAATCACCCCCTGATAGTTATTTTGGAAATATATTTAATGTACAGAATTGACCTCTCTACAGATTTATTATAAGTATAGATATATATAACCTAATAAAATCGGCCTTCGTATGGGTTTCAAATTGTTTATAGGAAGTAAAGGGAGAAACAGACACGTAAACAGCGGCTTTTATGTTATTTAGAGATTTAGACAAATGATCTCTTCGTACGTACACTGATAGACAGATAATCCACAATTTTAGTATTAGTTCTGATGCTTGAATTAGACATGGCAAGTCAGAAGTGTTAAATACCTTATTTATACAGTTTTAAAGTTGAATTTACAATCTCTCCAATCGAAATACCTTTACTGAAAAGTGGGAAAATTTTTAATTCAAATGTAATTTTTTTGTGTACATTACACTGTGTGTTGGCCAATTGCCAAAAGTAAAGTAATTGTTATGATTATTTTTTTTAAGACTTCAAAAAAGAAAGATTTTCGAATATATATATATATATATATATATATATATATATATATATATATATATATATATATATATATATATATATATATATATATTGTTTATGTTAAGCGATTTATTTGATAATGAAGTAATTTTCATGACATTTACAGTCTATTAAATAGATTTTTTTTTTGTAACAAATGTTTAGCGAAAAATATTCTAGTTTTTTTTTTCTTGCAACTTTGAATGGCAAACAAGCTGACGGCCCACCTGATGGAAAGTGGTAAACGTCGCCTATAGATATGAGCAATACCATGGACATAACAGAGTATACTGTTTCGCCCATGATACCCCCCATGCGTTGCCATTCCTGAGGACTCAGGTGTTATTCCTCTGTACCCTGTAAATTTACTATTGAAATGTTAAACCATAACGGGTTTTAAAAGCATTTTCAAAAGTATTAGATTCTCAATTCGACTTATTTTTTTTTGTTGTGACTACGTTATGCGATTAAGTCGCCGTTTTTGAACCGATTCGGATTATTCTTTCAATAGTTGATAGAGTTTGATTTAATTTTTTTTCTATCGAATCCGCCGTTTTGTACGGAACAAAAAAGTTTTTTTTTAGACCAAAGTCTACTTATACGATTCCGTCTTCTTAATTCAAATATTTTTATTCTGTCTACTTAACTAATGTGATGTTTTGTTTCAATTGAAATCGGCCATTTAATTAGTTTTTTTTTATGTTTATAAAAAAATCGTTTTGTATAATGGAAGGAATTATTGGTTGAGACCGAATCATGAATCATTCAATCTAAATATTTGATCAATCAGCCATGATCTTAATAAACGAATAGGTAGTCTGTGTACATAATTGTTACTTCAATAAATGTATTTGAAGTACGTATAGTTTAAATAATGACAATGGAATGGTAAACTCGCCTGCGCTATCGGTACACGCTGGCGGGGCCTAAGTGAGAATGAAAGGGCAGGTCGGATCGCCCATCGTGATGAATATACCTGGAATTAAGTACGATGGTTACCAGGGGGACCACGTGGGGGTCGACCTGATAGGGTATATTGTTAGCAATGGGACTAGTAGTCCGCATTACTAACAATTCCTTTTAAGCTATATAGATTAGCCCATAGCGTACTAGTTATTTTAATTGCCCCAAGGAAAATAATCTATCGGACGGGCCGTATGCTTGTATCTATCATAGTCTCTTTCCGTTTAAGAGATCCTCTTGTCGATGCACCTAATTCATGCATTAATATGAAATTATTAATTTGTATGAATTCCACTACGGTACGGGAAAACTACCCATGTACCCAACAGAACCTCTGTTCAAATGATTTTTTTTCTTTTCCAATATATTGCAATTTTTTTTTCATTATGCAGTTGACAATAAAAAAAATGGTGATTAGAAAAAGATAGATATACATATATAGAAAGACTGTTTGATTGTTTCTGATAGTCGAAAACGTTTCTACCGTTCTTATAAATTCGTCCCGCTTCTTACCGTATGCGCATAAATCAAAATTAAAACATCACAAGAGATAAAATAAGTCAATAATTTTAATTTAGTTTTAAGTTATGTGATACTTTATTTTAAATTGAAGACATGAGTGGATGAAGGTGATATGTTGTATTTACGGATTTTCCCTATTCTGTAAATGGATAGAAGTGTTAGCAGGTGATATGGACATACTGATATAATTTACACACGATTACTGTAACTTATAGCCTTAAATATACATATAGTATACTATATGTATATATTTTTTTACATACATACATACATATCTGTCACGCCTGTCTCCCATTAGGGTAGGCAGAAACAATGGAACGCCAAATGCTTCGATTCAAACAAACCTCTTTCGCTTCTTCCATATTTTTTTTTGATGGATGAAAATGGTATGGTAACCCCGCCTACGCTAACGGGATACGCTGGCGGAGCACCAGTGAAGGGTGATCGATGAGAATGAAAAACAGGCCAGTTAGCCCGTCATGATGAATTCATCAGGAATTGATCATGATAGTTTCCAGGGAGAACCGCGAGGAGGTCGACCTGATTGGGTGTATTGCTAGCAAGGGACTTCTCAGTCTCCATTACTAACAATCCCTTTCCCCCCTGTGTATATATTGGTCGTTTGGTCCCGGCATAGAATAGGCCACACACTCCTTCCTGTGGGTGTCGTTAGAGTTGACTAAGATAATGGCGAGGTATGGGTAGCAGTGGTCATCTTAAAACATCCCTAAAGCCTAACTGCAGTTGTCAATCCATCTGCCAAGCGTAACTACTGGTAAAACACCTTTAGAGGGCTTATGTTCAGCAGTGGACAGTTAATAGGCCTCACCCATAAGGGGGTTTTTGCCAGCAGTTGTCATCCTTGGCAGATCGATTGTTAATCGAAGTTGAGCTTTGGTGATGTTTTAAGAGGGGCACTGCTGTCCATCGCTCGACAAATTAGTTCACTTAGTCGCCTCTTATGACACTCACGGGAAAGTACGAGATGGGCTATACTATGTCGGGATCGTATGGCACCAATCAATGTATATAATAGCAAAAATCCGGAAAAAAATATACGAATGAAACACATTGTACGTGCCTATAAAATTTGGGGGTTACCTTTCATTTGTCTAGGATTCTATTATCAGATCCTGACTTGTCACCTCAGGAGTAAAGATTTTTTTTAAATTTGTCGACATTTGAATGTAGTATCGGTGGGCATACATAGAAAAAATATACAGTCGAACATAGAATCTCCTCTTTTGAAGTCGGTTAAAAGTACGATATATCGCCTTTACCTGTTCTTGTTTTAAATTATTATGTACTTTGATATTTTTACTATATTGTCACTGCCTGCCCCATGGCCTCGTATTACCGCGGCGTGATGATAGTTATAGGATATTAGAGATTTGTGTGCATACGATAATGAAATCGGAGTAAAAAAGTGGGGTTCTAATGGCCACTTTGGGTGAATCATAAAAGCATCCAAAACGATTCATTTTTGCATTAACATCTGAACGTCAGTATTTGTAAAATCGTCATAGTCGTAGAATACTGATGGATCTGACAAATATTACATATAAAAATCCGTCGGTATTCTACGATTATGACGAAATGACTCTATTTATATGAATTGTGTTGAAGAATCTCGTTATTTAATGGATTTATATATAATCGTCCATTTTGGGGATTTTCATTGAAAAGTGTCGTTTAGATGTTTAGCAAATATATATCTTTTTAGAATTCTGTTTGTATTCTTGGGCCTTAATAAACATTTTACATGATTCAATTCACTCGTTCATCGATTCACGGAACTTTAGGAAGGGCATCGGTAACAGATGACGCGAAGTGCCTGTTATAGTTTCCCAAGTATACGAAATGAATAATAATTATTATGATTCACTTAAAGTGGCCACGTGGCTGTTTTAACCCCATAGTTGAACCATAAAAACATGAAGTGTGTGTAAATAATTTACAGATTCGACATTGGGACCAATTTTGAGGTGTTATTTTCTCTAAACCCATCTCTCATATTTTTATTTTATAGATAATTTTGTAAAATTACCACAATTTAGACTTAAGTCTATTAAAAACTGAGTCCATTTTGTTTTTTTTTTTTACAGTAAATATTTGTCTATGGTATCAATTAAATTTTAAATTTAGAGATTGGTTTTGGGTAAATGGCGCTTCAGAATCGACCTCATTGGTTTTTCCATAACGGCACTTTTTAAGAATCCAAAAGTAATTATGGTTGTGTATTTAGGTGAATCAATTTAATCATGAATTCAGCGTTGGGCCCTGATGCTGTAAACTTTGAAACTGATATTGTTTGACAGCATAAATGATTGCAATCATTCTGATGACATAATTAAAATTAAATATTTCTCGTGGAAATTGTATTATTTATCGTTCATTTTTAATGGTTTCCGAAAGACAACAGATTTTCAATTAAACTATATTTGTTTACTGATTTTAATGTGGCTTTTTAAATCGAATGTTCTCCCGTGTTGGTTTCATGATTGCCAGATCATTAAGTGTTATATCGTTGGTACTTATACTCTATGTCCAATTACAAGACAATTTAAAATCATATTTTAACCTATTTAAAAAAAGACCTCAAAATTTCCTAGTTAAAAGGAAAGAATGGAGAAAACCGATGTATCTGGAAAAATCCTTAGCTACAGTAATAAAACAATTCATACATTACATACATAATACATTTTTATGATTGCCATGTACAGTACAAACACTGTCCATAAAAGAAACTGTTTATTTTATTTTTATATCTGTCTTGCTAAATGTTGCGATATGTCGCTAACAAATCGACAATATCAAAGGCAAAGTTTACATCAATCAGTGTTAAGAATGTGCAGTGTTTAAATGATTTTCTATCGCTGCAAAGCCCAATGGGAATTAGAACAATTTTTGTTATGAAAAGAAAAATGTTATTTTTGAAGTGAAACAGTGGCAAATTTTGTGCAATCGTATACACGCGTTAGTGCACGTATCAAGTCCAGTATTAAATAAGGATTGTCCATATTACAACGGGCAAAAGACGGTCGGGCACAAGGGGTGAAATATAAATGTTATCAGTGACAAACTACACAGGGTTTGTCACGATTCAAAAAATTCTTTGTTTATATAAAATTGTAGTTATTCGTAATAAAGCGTATAACAAAATATCTTTATAAATCCTTACCGAGAATCGCCCTTTGGATAAAAAATTTAAATAATAGTGAAATATTAAATTTCAACTTTGTTGAATTTCGTTATTTAATTGAAGGGACTTGGGGAATATTCAATTATAATACTAAAACTAGGAAAAAATTGTTCCTCGTCTACCGTAAACGCAAGACGAAAATAATTCTTGACGTATTTTCTGTTCGAATCTGAGTAATGATTCACATGAGTTCGTGGCAAATTCCAGGTAAATAAAACCTTTAATATTATACGTGTAGAATTCCAAATTAATTTGTTACTAGATGGATCGAATGCCGGGATTTCTTTGCCCGTGAAATAATAATATTTGAGCATTTTATATTAACCTTGTCGTGCCCGCCCGTTCTCTGCCCGCTGTAATATGAATACTCCTTTACACTTTTTGTTTTCTAAAACAATGCACGTCCATGTAAATCGTTCCTTCTGATGACAAATGTATCTCACTTTATTACGATTATATGGAAAAAGTTTGGACGGCAATTTTTGGTAATTATAACAAGTAATACTAATCTATAATATGTTTGTAGTTTGATTTTCGTTACCTTAGTTTAAGTGGTCAGAAGAGAAAATGTTCCCAACGTGAATGGAGAAAATGTCGGGACATTTGATACGGCACAACGAATTTTTTTAACATTATAATAAAAGGTAAAATAGAGGGAAGGAGGGAAAGGGAGAACAAGGCAAATCAAGGAAAAACTTGGTGTCGTGTCGTATCAAGAGATGAAGAGGCTAAAAATCGTGGCGAGTCGCAAGAGCTGAATGAATAGATTTAAAAATTAAAATTTCCATTCAACGTTTAAATTTTAAAATTAGGTTATATATTTGCCAATTCTGAACCGATTTTGACAATTTTTGTATCTACAATGGTTCTGAACCGTCTTTGATTTCATGAAACTCTAACCGTAACACAATAAACCTTTGGGGTCTAGATCTCTATCAAGTGGTATGTAGAGTACTTGGCGCTTTAGGCGTTTGACTATACGTGGCCGCTCAAGGACCTTTATCGGTTAGCGCCTTTTACATATTTATTTACCAATAAGGGGACATGCCCCATAAAAAGATAGCGTAATTATGTGCTCTTAGACATCTTTGCACGTAGTTAAAAGTACAGCTCGCATCCTGAAAAGACCCAGGAATTTCCTGGTGCCAACCTATCCCAGGTAGTCCACCCACTTCATCCAACCACGTGCCATTATCATACATTTATAGTAAATCTTTCTGCCACCATTGCTCGACTATTTTTTATCCTAGTCTGCAATGGCAATATGTTTTTCTCAAACATGCATGCATTATTTTGACAATCTTCTTAGAGATAAATCAAAATTGCCTTACTGGCCAGACACATGCGGGCAGTGGCCGGCAAAAATTGTATGAAAATCCATGTCTGTCGTGTTTTGCGGCCAGATAAATTACTACGTAAACTCATATCAGTCCTGTAATTTAAAAATGGAAAGACCTTTTACTTCGAAACATGGCTACCAATAAGGTAACTAATAAAAGGTTTTATTTAAATTTCGAACTGGCTTGCAAATAGAAAGTTGTTTATTGAAAAAAAAAAAACAAAGAAACATTATGGCGCGTAAAAAAATATTATTGTTCGTTATTCGTCATTGAATTTAAAAAGTAAAATTGTGTTTTTGATTTCCGCGCATTGTTTGAGAAAAGTACTATACAAGCCTTGGCCACAATTTTATATTATTTATTATACATTATTGATGGACTCCCTCCATCAATTCCTCGGTTGCTGGCCGCTACAGTAATGTACTATTTGCCAATCTTTGGGGGTATATCTCTAGCTATTGAAGTTTCTTTTCTCTTTTTTTTTTAATAAGAGTTATTAAGGTAATTAATATATCTATTAAGAATGATAAATAAAACAAGATAATAATCTTATAAATAATTTAATTGTTGAATAATCTCACTATCTATTATAATAATAATAATAATTTTTATTTCGGACTTTTTTGGTTCATTATATTATATAAACAAAACTATTTGTTGTCTGTTTATTGTCTCATCGATACAATGGTACACCATAACTCTATGAGATCCAGACAATACCATAAATTATATATAATAATTTTATACAGAAGTTGCATAAAAAAAAAACCGCAAACTAAGCAAGTAACTGCCATTTGGCAGATATTGTTACTCTAATAAAGTTTAGAGGCTATAGATAAAGAAAGTTGGCGATAAACTATTTTTGACCGACTTTAACAAGAAGCAAGGTCTTAATTTGGATATTTTTTTTTTTGTATCATAATTTCGAGTTCTAAATCTATTTGGAAAATTCTTTTTTATCTAAAAGCATGCATTTACAGATTGATCCGACAGAAAATTTATCAAACTCGGTTCAGTATTTTTTTAGATCTAAACAACTGGTTTTGTCAAGATTGAAGCTGGCTTTTTTTTAGGATACAATCTTTAATTATTTCCTATCTATTGTGGATGTGTATAGTACTTTATAAAATACAAGCTGTAACCTACGGCTTCGGCCGTGGTCTCGTCGAGATTGAGTAACCTATAATTTTAAGAAATAAACTATAATATGTAATAAAAAAATTTTCAAATCCGACTGCTAGTTCCAGAGTTGAAACAAACAAACTCTTTTGCTTTATTATATTAGTACAGATGGGTATCGGGCGAGTATATAAAAATGAAATGGTCACTTGATTAACATCTTATCCATAATAAATAATCCATCTTCCACCTTGACTCCTACCAATAAAATATTTATGTTTTGCATATATGTTATTTGACAATAATGTTGGTTGAACTTGATTACAGCTTATTTATCGTTTATTATTATATCTATTATATATTTTTTTTTATACAACTTAGAATGGCAAACAAGCTGACGGTCCACCTGATGGAAAGTGGTAACCGTCGCCTATAGACATGAGCAGTATCATGGACATAACAGAGTATACTGTTTCGCCCATGATACCCCCCATGCGTTGCCATTCCTGGGGACTCGGGTGTGTGTTCCTCTGTACCCAGTAAATTCAAGCCATATCCCACTCTTCAAACCGAAACATATATATATATATATATATATATATATACATATGTAGGTGTATACAGCTGTTTTTATTGTATTATATATTCAATTTTTTACTGGGTATTATTTAGTTTATCTTTAATTGTACGGTTATTACCCTTATACATTCTATAGTTTTCTTTCAGCTTCTCAAAGGTTGACTGTAAGAGATCCCTTTATGGGATAAGTCCGCCATTGTATATTAAATAATATTTCAGTGCTTAATTTGAATTATGTACAATAAAGATTTTACAATATAATACAACAGGGGGGAAGGGATTGTTAGTAATGGGGTCTAATGAAGCCTTGCTAGCAATACACTATCAGGTCGACCTCCACGTGGTTCTCCCTGGAAACCATCGTGAACAATTCTCGTTGAATTCGTCACGATGGGCTAACTGACTTGCTTCATCCTCATTTATCATCCTTCACTGGTGGCCCGCCGGTGTATACGGATAGCGCGGGCGGGTTACCATTCCATTATCACCCATTATTAAAAAAAAAAATACAAAACAAATATCTACTTGGTATTAGGTGATAGCCTTTTTCCATCATCAATGTACAGAGGTACCCTACATATATTTATCAGAAATTTTTTCACTTATCAAGTACCTCTATGACAAAGTCAGTACATATTAATTCAACAATACTGTTATTACATTAACTGAGTTTTAGGCACTCTAACACATTAGGTATTGTATCACTTTTGTATTTACACAGCATGTTCAACAAATTCAGCTTCTTTTCGTTTGTCTTTGACGATTCTAATTCGTATAACGTGCAGAGGTTGATGAGTAGGCTCTCGTTGAGACCTCGCTCTGGGTCCGAGTTTATCGCCTTCTGGAGTACAGCGATGGCCTCCTTCAATCGTCCCATGTATAGCAGACAGACCGACAGGTTGTTGGCAACCTGAAAATAATATTATAATTATTATTAGTAATTGTAACCTGGATTTTCGGGGGGAAGGGATTGTTAGCAATGCCGAGTAGCAATCCCATTGCTAGCTATGTACCCCCCGTCAGGTCGACCTCTTCGTGGCCCTCCTGGATACTATCGTACTGAATTTATAGTGTATTATTCATCACGATGGGCTAACTGGCCTGTCTTTTCGGGGGGAAAGAGATTGTTAACAATGAAGTTTGACAGCCCCATTGCTAGCAATATGCCCTATTAGGTCGACTTCCACGTAGTTCCTCCTGGAAACCATCGTGAACAATTCTTGTTGAATTCGTCACGATGAGCTAACTGACCTGCTTCATCCTCACCTATCATCCTTCACTGGTGCCCCGCCGGTGTATACCGATAGTGCGGGTGGGATTACTATTCCATTATCACCGATTAAAAAAAAAGAGACCTGTCTTTTCATTCTAACCTATCATCCCTCACTGGTGTCCTGCCAATGTATACCAATAGAACAGGCCGGGCTACCATTCCATTATCATCTATAAAAAAAAAAACCTGTTAACACCGTTATTAGTAATCCCTTTCTCCTTTTAATAATCATCAATGATAAAACCAATGTGCTTCTTACCATAATATTGGTGGGCTCCTGATCTGCAGCTCTGGCGAAGTTGGTGTACGCCTCTTGATATCTCCCATGGGCTATGTCAATCAATCCCAAGTCTACATACTCCCGTACGTCAGGTGTTGGACATCTGAAGTGTATGAGATATATTTAACTATGTAGTATATAATAGGTACTTTACAAACAACCAGAGGGAGATTTTGTACAAAAGTCGATTCCTTGGGCATCTCTCTCCCATTCGTGTTTCAACCGTGAAGCAGTTGTGTTTGCATGGCTGTGTTTCGGTTTGAAGGGTGGGATATGGCGTGAATTTACAGGATACAGAGAAATAACACCTGAGTCCTCAGGAATGGCAACGCATGGGGGGTATCATGGGCGAAACAGTTATGTCCATGGTACTGCTCATGTCTATAGGCGACCGTTACCACTTTCCAACAGGTGGGCCGTCAGCTTGTTTGCCATTCTAGTTGTATAAAAAAAAGGTGGTAAAAAGTCATATGTTTTATAGGGGTTAGGCATCATCAGACTCTGTGTTGCGGCCTCTTTGACCGGTTTTCTCGCTGGCCGCTAAGACATTCTACAATTAAAACTGACAGTTCGGCACAAAAACAAAAGGACTTAGACAAAAGACTGAAAAGAAGACGGACATAATTTTGACGACAAATTTGCCTTTTAATTTTTAATACTTTTTGACGACAAATTCGGACCTTTCGACCCTTACGAACGGTCCATCGACCTTTCACTCCGGGTACTACATAGGGCTACATTTTTTGATGAGACAAACCAAATTAGCTCAAATTGTTTATAGATGATTTATCATGAGTAGATTAAGAGTTCCAACAGCCACTTTTTGTATTCATCATCAGACCTTACTTGTCATATGTACTTACATCATATGTTACTTGATTTGAATTTTTACTGAACTTTTCTATTACTATCGAAAATAGTACAATCAGATATTGTAGGGCAGGCAGAGAGAACCGAGTGTCAAAGAATGAAATTTCTATGGAACAATCATTCTGTATTCTTTCAAATAAAAAAATAAATTTCGAAATCGTTTTATAACTGATAGAGTTATTAGGTAACAAACATTACTTTAACAACTTTAATAATTTGAACAAATATAAATATGAATTTACAGAGTACAGAGGAATAACACCTGAGTCTTCAGGAAAGGCAACGCATCATGGGCGAAACAGTATACTCTGTTATATACATGGTACTGCTCATGTGTATAGTCGACGGTAACCACTTTCCGTCAGCTGTCAGCTTGTTTGCCATTTTGAGTTGCATAAAAAAATACAACCGAATTGAAAACCCCTTTGTTTTTGAAGTCGGTTGATAATTAAAATTTTGTAAAGATGGTGGAACACATCCATACTCTTGCTCCAGAAAACTGTATTGAAAACAAAATGGTAATTCACTAACATATGATGTCTGATCTCCCTCGCTTGCTCCATGAAGACCTGGGCGGCCTTTATATGCCCTGCCAACAGCCACAGTCGACATAACGCGCTGGAGAGGGCCCGTCTTTGTACTGACGATGTGGCTTGCTGCTGGAGAGATAGTAGTATCTTGCCAGCTTGACGGTAGTCCTGGAAACAAATTGCTGTTTTTTGTACAACTAGGAAGGGCTGATCAACTGATAATCATTATGCAAACTGGTATTACATTACTGAATCATAACTTCATCATCATCATCATATCAGGTTTTAACTGTGAATTTACTGGGTACAGAGGAATAACACCTGAGTCCTCAGGAATGGCAACGCATGGGGGGGGTATCATGGGCGAAATAGTATACTCTGTTATGTCCATGGTACTGCTCATGTCTATAGACGACGTTAACCACTTTCCATCAGGTGGGCCGTCAGCTTGTTTGCCATTCTAAGTTGTATAAAAAAAAATATAAAAAATAAATAAATAACTGCCCACTGCTAATCGTTTTGCTAATTGTTGTTAAGCGTGTTGAGTCTTGGCGACCCGTACGCGTGCTAAAAGTAAAGGAGTTAAGGGGCCGCCTGAAAATCAGCGCTGTATAGGTACTTGTGGCTGGAACTGTACATATATAGCAACAGCTGAGGCGGCTCCTATTACCAGCTAGATAGATAGATAGATATCTATCTATCTAATCATAAGATTCCCCCTAGAGGGATGGGAGGGGGAGGGGGTTGCCAATAGTTGTCACGCTTAACACGCAGGCGGGTTTACAACTGCAGTTAGGCATTGGAGATATTTTAAGAAGGACGCTGCTGTCCCTCCTTCTATCATTAAGTTCCCTTAGTCTTCTCTTACGATACCCACGAGAAAAAAGTGGCCCATTCTATGCAAGATCACATAACAACACTTTTTGTATGTTTGTTTATATAAAGAATAAATTAAAAACTACTCAATCGGTTTTAAAAATTCTTTCACCTATAGGAAGGTACATTATCAGCGAGTTACAAAGGCTATATATTATCTAAAAAAAAAAATAGAGATCCTTATGAAAATTACAACAAAGTAACCCTAAGTGTCAATTTATCTATTAAAGTACAATAAAATTAATAATAAAATAATATCTATTATTCTTATATATATATATATATATATATATATATATATATATATATATATATATATATATATATATATATATATATATATACAGTGGACCCCCGATAATCCGGCCCCTGTCTAATCCGGCGCCCCCTGTAATCCGACATGACAGAATTATGTTTGACAATCTTTGCTAATATAGATCACGCAAGTTTGAACAGGTCACAACTCGTACGCGCCACCGCTATCGACGCATATGCATTGTTTTACTTAGTTTGAATTTGACTACTAGTGATAGCGATACGGCCTAGCGTACGTTCATTGTTTACTATTTATTCATTGTGTATTAAGTATATGTAGTACCTAGTAATGTCGTCACAAACCCAGAAGCGAAAGCACAAAACGTTGACAATAAAGAAAAATATATATATATATATATATATACAATATATATATATATATATATATATATATATATCAGGAAAGAAACAGGCATTCGGGACCCATGTTACTAAGTTTTTTTATAAGGAAATAACAAAAAAAGATGATTTTATGGCCAGCAAAGGATGGCTAGAACGTTTTAAAAGTCGTCATGGCATACGTTTAATGACTATTACAGGAGAGAAACTTTCTAACGATGCCACCTGCATAGAGCCCTTTAAATTAAGATTTTTGCAAAAGGTGAACGATTTTAATCTTGACCCGTCACAGGTGTATAATGCAGACGAATCAGGGCTTTTTTGGCGTGTGATGCCTAACAAAACTTTCGTTTCTTGTAACGAAAAAGACGTACCTGGACGAAAAGTGAGTAAAGAGCGTGTAACCATACTACCATGCTAATGCTGCAGGTACACACGCGCTTAAGATGGTGGTCATTGGGAAATCTAATAAACCAAGGGCATTCAAAAACATTGATTTACCTGTACACTATTACGGACAAAAAGTGCATATATATATATGAATGCTTCGTACCTGAAGTTAGAAAATATCATAATGATAACGCTCCCGGTATATGCATCACTGCGATGTTTCTTAATATATGATTACCAATGGACCAGAACATCATTCAGTTTGTTAAGCAAGACTATAAAAAAAACCTACTTTTGAGAGCCGTATCAAAAGACCAACCAATAGAAAAAACTTTAAAAGAATTTAATATGAAAGACTTGGTTTTTGCTCTTAGTCAGTCGTGGAGTGCGTTACCGTCATCAACTATTAAATCGTCTTGGAAAAAGTTATGGCCAGATATAATCACCACTCCTAGCAACGATCCACAAATCAGTGTAACTTCGGAAGTTATAGAACAAGTCTCTACTGAAACACAGATAAGTCCGGAAGATTTGAAGTCTGGTACCGTGGAATGGATAAAGAAGAAAATGTTTTTCTTGAAATGTCTGACAAAGATATTATAAAAGAGGTTTCTAATAATACAACAAACGATCAGGAAGATAACGACGACGTGATTGCAACTGCTCCACAAGTCACAGATCAAACGCAGTTAACGCTTTTGAGCTAGGTTTACAATGGGCTGAAGAGAATGGTACATCCTACAACGAACTTTTACTTTTGAGAAGACTGAGGGACAAAGCTCTGATCTCGCGTTATAACAACCTTAAACAAAAAAAAATTGATGAATATGTATTTCAAAGCTTCATAATTTGATATAGTATTCACTACATGATTTTGATTAATAATTCTTGATTATTTTGGTAGATATATATGTGCATTTATGCTTAATTTTATAATAAAACGTAATCTCTCAATTGTTATTTAATTTACTAAATTCGACTTACATAAATTAAGTCTGATTTGTACTTCAAAGTACATACATATGTACGTATAATATAGTATAGACTCTCGTCATTAGATATGTAATTTGTCGGATTACAAGGTACTCTTTCGTAAAAAAATACGGACTCTAGGGGTCTTAGGCAGTGGTCTATAATATCGATAGTATATAATGCCGGATACCGGGGGTCCACTGTATATATATTTTACAACTTAGAATGGCAAACAAGCTGACGGCCCACCAGATGAAAAGTGGTAACCGTCGCCTATAGACATAAGCAGTACCGTGGACATAACAGAGTATACTGTTTCGCCCATGATAACCCCCATGCGTTGCCATTCCTGAGGACTCAGTTGTTATTCCTCTGTACCCAGTAAATTCACAGCCATATCCCACCCTTCAAACCGAAACACAGCCATGCAAACACAGCTGTTTCACGGTTGAAACACGAATGGGACAGAGGTACCCAAGCAATCGACTTTTGTACAAAGTCTCCCTCTGGTGCTTATATATATTTATTTGTTTATATATGTAAATTTTAGTAGGTATGTATATCAATAATTACTAGTACCACATTTGAGTATTCTGACACTTTCCTAAGGTTGACTGGGAGAGAATGCTTATAGCATTAAGTCCGCCATGTAGACATATATGTACTAATGAATAAATAAATTAATAAAATACTAAAATTTGAATTATAACTAATTCATCTTTCCACTTGTATCATCGCACCCGTGCGAAGCCAGGACTCATCGCTAGTTCAATATATTTACTTTAAGCGCGATACTGCAGTTGACTATAGAATGCAACACCCTCGTCTCCCGGCCGGTCCACAGCCTGATGGACTCATTACGGTCCTGGTCCGACGATAACGTGGCTGTACCGTCCTCAGTTTTACCCGCACGCAGGTTTGACAGCATCTGTAATAAAAAAAAAAATCTTTTAAGTAATGAGACAAGATCTTTTTTAATTAATTATGAACAGATGAAAATAGAGGTCTTGATAACGGAATAGTAACCCCGCCTGTTTACCAAGGGGCTGCTCGTCCTGGACTTCTGGTCCTAAGAGGCCTCCAAACGCCTCCATTTTCCTTATTCACATCCATACTCCATGTATGTTTCATGACCTATCCATATATATAAACAGGGGGAAAGGGATTGTTCGTAATGCGGACTATCAGTCCCATTGCTAGCAATATACCCTGTCAGGTCGACTTCCACGTGGTTCCCGTAGAAACCATCGTGCTGAATTCCAGGTGTATTCATTACGATGGGCTAACTGACCTGCCTTCTCATTCTCATCTATCATCCCTCACTGGTGCCCTGCAAGTGTATACCGTTAGCGCAAGCGGGGTTACCATTTCATTACCATCCCATAAAAATAATCCACATTAACCATATCCTATGTGTACATTGATGGACTTAAAGTCCATCTCCCATATTTGGGATTATATCCCCGTATCCAATAGTGACGGCGGATTGCTTTGTCATTTACGCGACTCAGAACCACAAAAGAAAACTCATTCCATGTTTATTTAAATCTAATTTAAAATGTACTTAAAAGCTCTTATATAAAACAGGGGTGGTCGTCTCGACTAGACCCAAGATCTACAATTTACTGACAGAGCTGATTGTTCTAGACGTTAAAAAATACCTGCTGTATGACGTCGAGCATCGAATATAATCTATCGACAGCCTCTTCCGATTTCCCGACGTGCCCCGGCAGCTCAGCGATCAGTAGGCGTAACGAAAACGGCACCAGGCTACCGGTTCGATTCTCGTACGTGTCCGGATAGAACTGGAAATTAAAGCAGAAATTTAATTTATTAATTACATTTTAGGGAAGCTGTAATAACTTAATAAATAATTATACATGACAACAATAAGCTAATTAGAATTGGGTACATTTATCCCATTTGTATTTCAACCGTGAAGCAGTTGTGTTTGCATGGCTGAGTTTCGGTGTGAAGGGTGGGATATGGCAATGACATTACAGGGTACAGAGGCATAACACCCGAGTCCTCAGGAATGGCAACGCATGGGGGGTATCATGGGTGAAACAGTATACTCTGTTATGTCCGTGGTACTGCTCATGTCTATAGGCGACGGTTGGCACTTATCACCAAGTGGGGCGGTGGCAAGACAATAAATAAATGAAATCTAACCAGTACCTGATAAAACATATCCGGCTTGTTGAAATCACCGAACTGCTCGGCCTCCTTGAGCAGCGGCTCATGCAGCTTGATCCTGAGCATGACAGCGAACCTCGTGAGCCACAGTTGCAGCGAGCGGGGCGTGTGCTTCGTAGGACGGTGCATGCGACCGACGCCTGGGTAACACGAAGTAGTCTTTACCAATATTATGAACTGGGGGGAGGGATTGTTAGCAATGGAGTTTAACAGCCCCATTGCTAGCAATATGCCCTATCAGGTTAACCTCTACGTGGTTCCCCCTGGAAACCATCGTGAACAATTTTTGTTGAATTCGTCACGATGGGCTAACTGACCTGTTTCATCCTCACCTATCATCCGTCACTGGTGCCCCGCCGGTGTATACCGATAGCGCGGGTGGGGTTACTATTTCATTATCACCTATAAAAAAATATTATGAACTAGTGGTCCAGCCCGGGTTCGCATGGACAGCCACTTCCTTTCCCGTGGCTATCGTAAGTAGCGGCTAAGGAAACTTAATGATTGAGGGATATAGCAGCAGCGTGCCTGCCAAGCGTGGTAACTATAAGTAAAGCCCCTCCCCCCCCCCCCCCCCCAAATGGGACAAGCCTATGTTTAACAGTTATCAGCTGATATAAATAATTAAAAGCTTATGTTACTCGCTAATAATGTCAGGGGGGGAAGGGATTGTTAGTAATGCGGACTACCAGTCCCTTTGTTAGCAATATACCCTGTCAGGTCGACCTCCTCGCGGCCTTCCCGTACGCCATATATTTGTCACCACAGCGTTATAAAAAAATCATTAAAACTATAAGGGATGGAAAAGAATATAGACTACTTTTTATACCAGTCGGTAAACGCATCCCAATCACGCGGACGAAGTCGCGGGTAAAAGCTAATATTATATATAATTTATATTGCTTTGAAGAAGTAATTACCAGACTACAGGATAAACCAGGCAATTAATGAAATTAATATAGTAGTAAAACTTCAATAAAAGAGCATATTCCTTTTAAAAAAAACCAGCAGCACACCTGCAATGTCTTTCATGTTGTGGGTGATCATGGGCGGCGGTTAAAACGTTGTCTATCTAAATCTATCGCCATATATATATCTCGCATTTCAAGTCAAATCAAATCACATTAATTCGCTTGCTACATGGTACAATAAGAAGTTACATACATATATAGGCACACAACATGCAGCACCTCGCAAAGGTATGTAAATGTTAAAATGGTTTTAAGTCTACATTATATTACAATTATGAAGTCCAAACATTTTCCAAGTTACAATATTCTTTATGTCATTATCATATAAAATTATGGTTTATATTTTACGTATTTTTTTATATATTACATATTTTATTACATTTTTTGGTCATTTAAATATTCAATAACTGTGTAATAGCATTTTAACTGTCCACTGCTGAACATAAGCCTCCCGCTTGGAGGGTTTTGCTAGTAGCTGCCACCTTTGGTTGGCGGATTGGCAAGCGCAGTTAGGCTTTGGAGATGTTTCAAGAGGGACGCTGCTGCCCATCACACGACCTCCCTTAGTCGCCTCTTACGACACAAACGGGAAAGGAAGGGGTGGCCCATTCTATGTCGGGACCATACGGCGATAAAATACTATAACCTTAGGTTTTTTTTCTGATGGGTGAAAATGGTATGGTAACCCCGCCTGCGCTAACGGGATACGCTGGCGGAGCACCAGTGAAAGGTGATAGATGAGAATGAAAACAGGCCAGTTAGCCTATCATGATGAATTCATCGGGAATTAACCATGATAGTTTCCAGGGAGAACCGCGAGGAGGTCGACCTGGTTGCAATGCGTAAATACTTATTTTATATATTAAATAATACGTCAAAATAGATTGTGTGCGTAAGTATACAGAACACTGATAAAACAACGAGTCAGCTGTTTTCATAATTATATATATAAAAACCAACTGAATTATGTTAAATAAAAAAAAGAAAACCATACATATAAATTCTAAATACTTAAAGTTTAGGACATAATCGGCAACCAAAGGAGGGTCGTTTCATATTTTAAGACAATAAAATTACCTTAATACAAGTACGTAAATAAAGAACTGTTTTTACTACCCTCTATTATTATATCATTTTTTAGTTATTATAATTACTCGATAGATGTCAGGATATTAAATTAAAACGCGATATATTTGTGTGTTAATTTACAATACAATGAATCTAAGAGTGCAAATCTTTTTACATAAGATGGTTACACTGCATTAAAAATATATATTTGTCTTGTGAGGGCTACAGTTTGTCGACTAGCTGTAGCCTTAAGAAATTACATTAATAATTTAATTAATTAATAGTAAAAGTAATATTTATTCTATTAAATGTTCATTAAATTGTCTCGATATAAAAAAATCATTATTTAATAGTTGAATTAATATTTATTTTCATTATCAACTTATTAGCCGTTATCAGTCTACTGCTGGGGGAAATGGGATTGTTAGCAATGGAGTTTTAATGGTTAAATGATTCACAGTGGACTGTTTTTTAATGGATGATAATGGAATGGTAACCCCACCCGCGCTATCGGTATACACCGGCGGAGCACCAGTGAAGGATGATAGGTGAGGATGTAGCGGGTCAGTTAGCCCATCCTAAAGAATTCAACAAGAATTGTTCACGATGGCTTTCAGAGGGAACCATATTGCTAGCAATGGGGCTGCCAAACTCCATTGCTAACAATCCCTTTCCCCCCAGCAACCGCAGTTAGGCTTTGGTGATGATTATAGAGACTGTTGCCAATTCCTCGACCATTAACTTACCTTAGGTGTTTTTTACCCACCTATTAAAAAAAAAACCTCCCCATTACTAACAATCCCTGCCCCCCATGGTACACCGTTAGCATAGGCAGGTGCACTATTCCATCTTCAACTATTTATAAAAAAAGTACAATACCCTGTCCGACAGCGGTGATGAGGACGGCGGTGAGGTTGAGGGCGGCGCGCAGGTAGCCGGTGCGCAGCAGCTCGCGCAGCCCCGCCTCGTCGCGCGACACGTGCTCGGCGCGGACCACGCCGCGGCTGCCCGCCGAGCTCACGCCCAGGTACTTCACCGCCACCTCGTGTAAGGCGTCCGCCTGCGGACATACGCGTATATAAGGGGAGACCAGATGTGCCATGCCTTCCCCAGGTGTCTAGGGGATTATTAGTAATGCGGACTATCAGTCCCATTACTAGCAATATACCCTATCAGGTCGACGTCCACGTGGTCCCCCTTGGAAACTATCATGCTGAATTCCAGGTGTATTCATCATGATGGACTAACTAACCAGTGTCATCATCACCTATCATCCTTCACTATGATATCGATAGCGCAGGTGGGGCTACCATTCCATTATCATCCATTAAAAAAAAAGTACCCACCTCCAAATGCAAGCGAAGACATGTAATAAATGAGTATATATGTGCCTTTTTTAATTTTAATGAAAACTAGAAGAGATATTGGAATGAATGGAAAATAGTTTTATATTGAAGGTTTAAATATAATTCGAATTTTTTTATCACATACTAGTTGTTTTGACCCCTACCACCTGCTGGGTTTATTTATCGTATAAAAACTATTATCAGAGAAATAATACATATTTATAAAATTTCATTATATTTCTTATTTATTATATTCTGTCTTCAAATCATTTAAGCAGTTCGGAAGAATTATTTTTTATGTAATTTAGAATGGCAAACAAATTAACGGCCCACCTGATTGAAAGTGGTAACCATCACCTATAGACATGAGCAGATAAATAAAAAAAAAATCATGATTTGAGATTTATGTACCAATTTACATCATATATAGATAGATACTCTTTATTGTTTCCTCCAAAAGATTACAATAGTAAACTTATTATAAATATAAACAATTACAAGAAATAATCACAATGAGAAAACAATGGGCGACCTTATCGCTAAGAGCGATCTCTTCCAGGCAACCTTTGTTGTTTCATAATTGTGAGGTATTTGCATATGTACTTGTCTATTGAACAGAGGGGGATGAGATTATAGTAATGGGGATTAGCATCTCTAATACCAACATATGGCCCTTCAGCTACCTATCTTAGTTCATTTATGGAGAATTTCCTTAATGGGCCAACTGACCCATTTCCTTCTTCACTTATCTTCTGGTACTTTCTCTAGCATAAACTAATAGTACAGGTATTAGTGTTTCATTTTCATCCATGAAACCAATCTATTTTCCCATGTATTGTAAAGTTTTCATAAATTTTAATTGGTGGATTAAAATACATTGTATGTGTATGAGGACTTACAAGTTCCTCTTCAAGCACCAAGCCAGGCATAGTTAGTACCTCCCTCTCTGGAAAGAATGAGCCTTTAGGTGATGACTGAGCCTAGAAAAAAAAAATAATAAGAATAATTCTATGACACAGGAAATTCTAATGTGGTGTCTTATACATAGAATGGTTGTATTGAAAATGTATAAATTACATGTTAAGAATCAAGAAAAACATAAAAATATCTAATTTATTAAATATAACTTATTTTTAAAACATATTTAAATTTTTTAATGATATATGCATATGTCAGCATTACAACATAGGTATAATACTTCCCCTGATGACTTTTGGATGTACATAACTGTCAGAACAAATAAATATATGTAGTAAGATCACAAAATTCCTATTTTATATATATATATATATATATATCCTCCTTCCTCCATACCATAGATTGTGGAAACCACCAACAAATGCATTCCCAAAGAGGGTTGATGTCAGGCCGGTGGCCGGTCATAAAACTAAAAACCAAATCTTTTTGTAATATGGATAAAATCATATTACGCCGACCCCAAATGATTGGGATAAGGGTAGGAAGATGATGATATATAAATAAATAAATAAATAATAGTTAAAATTTAAATTGTGTATAAATCAATTCAAAAGTATCTGTGAAGCACAGATATTTTTGCTGTCATATTTACAATATTAGTAAAGCAGTATATTGACATTATCAGACCTTCATCAGTGTTTTCTTGGCTTCATCATTAGGTATCCATGCATCCCTTCTTCTATCCGCCTCTTTATCCACTGGTTGATTCTGAAACAAAATTAAATTATTGCACAGGTACATTCCATACTGAAACTGAAATTATAATAATAAATAAATTATATATAGCAAGAAATATATATAAGACTTATTTTAGTTTAATCGATAGCTGATTATATACAAATTATATCTTTTTTTTTTGTATTTTTTATGAAAATTAGAATGAAAATCAATGTGATAGACCACCTGACAGAAAATGATAACTGTCACCTATAGATATAAACAGTACCATGCACATAACATGGTATACTGTGCATATTTGTAAATTTTACACATGTTACTCACTCTGGGTTTGTTGGAATAAAACTTTTACAGTATTAAATTTACCATTTGTATATTTGTTTGTTATAACTACATATATTATTAACATGTGCAATAAAGTGTTCAAATAAAGCATTTGGTTCCCTTCAAGTATTTTACAAAGGATGCTGTGTGAAAATAGATTGATTACCTTTATGCTGAGGCCATCCATAGCTTCAGTGATAATGGCCGGATTCACTAAATTACTTTTAGGTGCTCCTATTTGAGGTTCTGGCCCTATCGTATCAAAGAATGTCGATGGATCAGGCAAGCTGGTGGCTGGCACCGATGCAGATCCACTCACAGTGGGCAAAACACTTGAAAACGTCAATTCTTGAGGTCCTGAATGTTGATTGAAAGAGGCCGTCATTGTTTGAGGAAAAACTTGATTCGATGTCACTTTATTGCCTAAAGATAAATTTATCATATAAAGTAACTAGCAAAAGATATTAAAAAATATATTAAGAAGTTAACATTTAATATATTTGAACTTTTACCCTCACTTTCCCCTAAATAAACACTCTGTATCATATCCGAAGGCGATGTACCGATTTCATCGAAAAACTGGGACGCGGGCGGTACATCGGTATTGCCGAAATACTGGCTCAACGACGGTTTATTATCCATACTTTGTATCTTTAAAGATTAGAAAAATACCTAAAGTACTGATTATTTATTTATTTATTACATCAGTTTTATTTATTTTTTTAATATGTCACTTGCCACATAATTTGCAATGTTGACATTGACTTTTGACTGTATTGACATTGACAATCTTCTGTTCCTGAGGCAAAGATAGTGAAATGGAAATAGGGAAAAGCTTAAATATTATCAACGATGTTTTACCTTAACAATGTATTTTATGTTCTAGTAAAATTGATAAATTGAAAGAAAGAAAAATATTTATTGTAAAGGTGTAAGGTAAGCTTAAACCATCAATCCGTCTCTGTAAAACCATTTATTTAAAACATTTTTTTATAAGCTGTTCCCTATGTGGTTTATGTCTGTTACTGCATTCCATTGAATGATTGTCAGTGAATTTACTGTCATTCATTTTTCAATACAATAATCAACAACACCCACAGTTTTGTAAAATTTTCAACAAATTGTTATCAGCGATTTTCTATTGCAGCCAAAGCACATTTTAAACAGGTGTGTTCAGTTCACCGATAATCGTTTTTATCTGTTTGCTTAAATTAATAATCCATGTCGCGAGTTAGCCATCCATTCTTATATATTTGGTCTAATGTTAGTTTAGCACCATTTAGTCCTATTTATTGATATCTAAAAGTGAACATATATATTAAATAATCTGTTATCGGTGTTTTAGGCACAAATGACAAACCAGGTGTCTCCTGTTGAGGAGCAGGAAAAGCTTCTGGATGAGGCTTTGAATTTGGTCAAAGCACAGGTATCAATTTACGTTAATATTTTACGTCTTGTGTAGTTTCTTCTATTTTTTTTTTCTAGTAGAGCGGTAACAATATAATTGGATAAAGCTTGACTGTGGGCCGGGGTAGAGGCACATTTAAGGGGGTTGGCTGGGTTATGCCCGTCCCTGAATTATTTGTTGTCCACCTCCAAAATTAGTAACAGATCTTACAGCTATGAGCAAAGACATATCTAAAAGGATATATGCACCTTTCTAAGGGGTTATGCTCCCTGGAAAATGTACAAATATTTTGAATTTGCCTAAAGAAATAGATAAAAATAATTGTTTTTTTTGTAACACTTTATTTTACAGTAGTCTTAAATTATTGGATACAAAATTCTAAGAAATAATAGGGTACAATGGCAGACTTATCCCATAAAAGCTTTATTCCAGTCAACTTTTGAATGTCTGATGGAAATTGTGCATTAATGAAAACAAAAAATAATAGCTATTGTTTATCTATAGTTTATGTTTGACTACTCATTATTTGTCTAGATTTTACCAGAGGGGAGACTTTGTACAAATGTCATTTGCTTGGGGACCTCTGTCTCTTTCATGTTTCTGCTGTAAAGCAATTGTGTTTGCATGGCTGTGCTTCGGTTTGAAGGGTGGGATATGGCTGTGAATTTATAGGGTACAGAGGAATAAAACCTGAGTCCTCAGAAATGACAATGCTTGGGGGATATCATAAACCAAACAGTATACTCTGTTATGTCCATGGTACTGCTCATGTCTACAGACAACGGTTACCACTCCATATTTTCCATCAGGTGAGCCATCAGCTTGTTTTCCATTCTAAGTTGTATAAAAAAAAACCTAAAATCAATTTTAACTGTGTTTTAATTGTTTTTAATTGGCTTATCATTATCATATATATTTAATTATTAAGTTATTAAAACTGTAAGTTTCCCATAATATAAATAAGTTTCAATGTGTTATCTAATATATATTTTTCCAGGCTTTTCAAATGAAAAGATGCCTAGACAAGTCGAAGTTGATGGATGCTCTGAAGCATGCATCTACCATGCTTGGAGAGTTAAGGACATCTCTGTTGTCACCAAAGAGTTATTATGAGCTCTGTATCCTTTTTGGTCTTTAGAATTGGTATAGTTTGGAACTATATGTTTACCATTATCATGGTCATTGAACTGAATGAAAAGAAGGAAGAAGGAGAACTTCTTCCTTAAACTAAAATGGTTGCTACCAATTTTGCTTAGTGATTCTGCCAACCTCTGGATTAGAGAGACACAATTAAATATTCTTTTTACTGTTTCTTGAGTCTAGCCTTTGATAACAATATCACTTGGTAATTGAATTGTATGCTTAAAATAAATACAATACAATACATAAGTGATAGTACAGATAAGGGGAAATAGACAAGAGTTAGTATAAATAAGATTAATAACACAGAAGCAACATCTGTACAAGAGAATAAAAGAGGACAATGGAATTTTAGGGAGTCTACTATAATATCAAATTATTTATGGCAATAATTTTTGCCACTATTTTGACTACTGGAGAGTGGACTAATGTTAGAAGATATGGAATATTGATAGGGTGTGGTATATTATGCAGTAACAGATCATAAAAAAAAATCATTCTAATATGAAATGAAGTCATCTGTCAATTAAAATAAAATACAAGCTTTATAATTTTTTATTTTATTCATAAATTGCTAAGATAAGAAAGATTATTTTAGTTTATATATTTACAATTATAATTTATGTAAATATTTATTTTAACTTCTGTTTAGCACTACTACTACCCACTCATTACTTCCTATGTCACTGTGTTAGGTTGGCTGGAAGAAATCTCTTTTAGAGATAAGTTCGCCTTTGCTAACATTGTTAATAACTTATTGCTGTTACTGTATGTTTTAGTGCAATTTTATATATATATATATATATATATATATATATATATATATATATATATATATATATTATATATAAAATTTTTGGCATTAATTATAAATACTTATTTATTTAATTATTATTTTTAACATCCTTCATACCTCTTTATATAATAATTAATATTTTATTCTAAAGTTGTCTTGAAAAGATTGTTTTTAGCTATAAGACTGCATAATTGCCCTTATGTACAAGAATAGAAACAATAAATGCAATATCTATTGTATTTATTGCTTCTATTCTATTGTTCCATCTGTTGTAAAATACAAATGTATATTCATTCATTCATACAAACAAAAACCTTAACCACCAACCTCAGACATGGCAATCACAGACGAGCTCCGTCACCTCGAACTGTATCTTCTAGAAGAATTCCAGAAGGGACGCAAGGTTGCCGACTTATACGAGCTAGTTCAGTATGCTGGCAACATTGTGCCTAGACTGTATCTACTGATAACTGTCGGATTGGTGTATATCAAGACGAGTACTAGCTTGAGAAGGGATTTGTTAAAGGTAAGGATTATTATGTTGTGCGCTCCCAACATAGAATGAGGCACACCTTCCTTCTCCATGATGGAACATAATGGTTGAGTGATGCATGGCAATGTGAATGTGAAAAAGACTTTATTTTCCGCGCTTAGCTTCTCATTTGGGCCGTTGTGCGTATGAGTCGTGGCTAGTACAGCCAACCTAGCTCCGCCCAGAAGCGCAGAAGCTTCCTGGATTCTTCACAGGCCTCACGGAGCGATCTCCCTGTGCCGAGGATTTCTAAACTTTGATGGGCCACAGCCTTACATTCCAGGATTACGTGAGCAGCCGTTTCTTCGGCGTCGAAACATCCTCGACATAGAGGGCTGTCTGTGGCTGCATAGCAATATACCTATTCAAATATTATCAAAGCCGAACTGCGATAGTTAACCGCGTAATCCTTATAGCGCTATAACTTCTAAGTTACAACTTATGGCGTTTTTTAGCGAATGATAATGGAATGCACTTCTCTGCATGTTAGTGCAGGTATTCTCTGGCGGGGCTCCAGTGAGGAATGATAGGTGAGAATGAAAAGGCAGGTCAATTAGCCCATTTTGATGAATACACCTGTCATTCAGCACGTTCAGCAGGTCGATCTGTCAGGGTACTTTGCTAGCAATAGAACTAGTGGTCTGCATGGCTATCAATCCCTTCCCTCCAAACTTATGGATTATATGACCTCGAAGTAAAACTAATTCTAGAATTCTGTCCTGGTAGACTTCAAGCCAATTTATTTAATTTGTAGGATTTGGTGGAGATGTGCCGCGGAGTTCAGCACCCACTACGTGGTCTGTTCCTGCGCAATTATCTGCTTCAGTGCACAAGGAACATCCTTCCCGATATATCCGAAACACAGAATGAGAGTGAAGGCACGGTAAGTGTGAAATTAGTATTAGATAGATACTCTTTATTGTTTCCTCCAAAAGATTACAATAGTAAACTTATTATAAATATAAACAATTACAAGAAATAAACACAATGGGCGACCTTATCGCTAAAAGCGATCTCTTCCAGCCAACCTTTGGAAGGAGAGGAGTAATTATAAACAGTTTGATCGGAGGCGCGATGAAATTCTATTATTTCTAAAATATAGAGATGTGATACATGTAATAATGTAAATATATATTCCTACTTATTATATATACTTATATACTATTATACATATACACATACATACATATATACATACATACATACTATTATTGTTTTTTCTTGCTAAAAATCAATTCGAGAATATGTCTTACGATATTTTTATTTTAATTGAAAAATAATTAGTAATTATTATTATTTTTGATAAAAATTACGTTAATATTGACATAATATGTATTTACTTTTGCTAGCCATATCAAATGGAAAGTTTTCTATTTCTATCCTATTTTTTTTTTTTTAACAGATAACAATTTTTCAAACTCTGCATTCATAAAAAAATTACGACTTTAAAAGTGCTTGTAAGCACATCTATTTGAATTATCTTTGATTTGAATTTAAATTTTTCAGCCAATATCTGTCCACTGCTGCACATAGGCCTCCCCTATAGATTAGGGATTCTTAATCTTTTAAGATAACGGAACGCCCGCCAAATAGTTTTTATTTTATGGAACCCCATATCAAATGATTATAAATCAAAAACACTGTTATTTAAATAAAAACAAAAGCTTTTATTGGAAATATTTTTAAAAGTATAACGCTTTATACTTTCCTTTAATTTTTAATGGGAAAAATGAAATTTTTCAATTGTATAATTAATTTCGCTGAATCTTGGTGACTTTTTTACGGAATGCCTAGGTTTTGCGGAAGCGACTTTAGGGGTTACTCACAGCGAGAGTTTCCTGTTTCAGGTACGGGACGCAATCGACTTTGTTCTAATGAACTTCGCCGAAATGAATAAGCTTTGGGTGAGGATGCAACATCAAGGTCATTCAAGGTAACTATAAGAAGGGATTTTTAGTAACATAGACTAGCAGCCTCATTTCTAGGAATACACCCACTCAGTTCGACATCCACACGATTCCTTTTGGAAACCATTGTGGTTAATTCCAGCTGAATTAATCACTATGCGTTTTTTAAGTCACTTTTTTCCACGCACAACCATTCTTTGGGAACAACTTCCAGCAGCAGTATTTCCACACCGATACGACAACATAACCTTCAAGAAAAGAGTATATTCCTTTTTAAAAGGCCGGCAGCACACCTGCAATGCCGCTGGTGTTGTGGGTGATTATGGGCGGCGGTAATCACTTACCATCAGGTGAGCCGCATGCTCGTTTGCCCCCTGCGTTGTAAAAAAAAAACTATGGACCAACTGACCTGACTTCAGCCTCGCCTATCATAATTCAGTGGTGCCCCATCAGAAACAGCGCCATTATACCATTTTAATCATTAAGATCATCATCATTTCAATAATTATCCACTGTTAAACATAGGCCTTTTCCTTGGGTGGTTGTACCAGTACTTGCCATGCTTGGCAAATGGATTAGCAACCACAGTTAGGCTTTAGTGATGTTTTAAGAGGGACGTTGCTGCCCATTCCTTGACTATTAAATTTAGTCGCCTCTTACAATACCCATATGAAAGGAAGGCGTGGTCTATTCTATGCCAGGATCACATGGTCATACCATTCTATTACCATCTAACAATCTGGCAGAGACAAGGAGCGTCGCGAACGAGAGCGCTCCGAACTCCGTATTCTGGTGGGCACGAATCTGGTGCGGCTATCGCAGCTGGAGGCGGTCACGGTGGACGACTACCGGCGGCTCGTGCTGCCCGGCATACTCGAGCAGGTGGTCAGCTGTCGGGACGCCATAGCCCAGGAGTATCTCATGGAGTGCATCATACAGGTATGTGACTGTGCCAGTTTGCATCCTAAAGCTGAATGTTGCTCGTGCTTTGCTTATTTTATTTTATTTTTATTTTTTTAAATCACTAAGAAGACTCCGAAATGAGGAGGTTTATAATAAAAAAATCTTGATGTGTTCTGAACCAATTTTGTCAATTTTTTTTATCCAATGATAAAGCATGATAGAACAAAAAACATTTTGTTCTATTTTATTAATTGTATTAAATTAATTTATATATATATATATATATATAAAATAATATATAATTTAATTTGTAGATTTTCAGAACTTTGATTGGATTAAATTAATTTTTTTTACCTACCATTCTTGTTCCAAATATTATATTAAGAACCAGTACATTTAACTCTAACCCACAATATTTCCTTAAAACGGATTACAATTCAAAATTTAAAAATAATTTAATTTGTTCATACTCCCGCCAAATCTGCTTCGAGCTTATATTGTGTAAGTGAATGACCTGCTTTTCCCCAATTGCCGTATCATCCAATTTCCATCGCTACGACAATAGATAAGGTATTGAACGGCTTGCTTAATTCGTGCTTACAAAAGTATTTACATTTACATAATGCTCAGTTCGGATTTTGGCATGAATTATCAACTAAAAGCTTAATTCTAAGTCTTAAGCATGTCGTTCAATATTCTCAGATGGAAAAATGCCAGTTTATGCCTGTTTTCTGAACCTCTCTAAGGCTTTTGATCTTGTTTCGTATGATATGCTCTAGAGGAAAATGAACGACAAGAGCTTTCCGGCGGACTTCGGAAATGTCTTTCGATATTCGGTATGCTAAAAAAAAAAGCAATATTGTCAAATGATCGAATGATGTTTCCGAGTCATACAGGTTGGAATGTGAAGTGAAACAGGAAAGATTAATATCTCCTAAACATTTCAAACTGTGTATAAATGATTTTATAGTCGGGTTCAGCAGAAAGGCTTGTTCGTTGCCAGCTGGCTGGTTTCTTTCTAAATATCAGCTGTGCAGATGCCATGGTGCTGCTGGGTCTGACCGCAAACGTTCTCAAACAGCTTTTAGACGAATGTGAGCATTATGTCGCTTCGCATGGCTTGAACTTGGATTATATAGATAAAGCACCAAGTGTAAAAAAAAGTGTCAACTTTTAATCGGTTAAATGTCAAATTGACTGACATGTTTTTTTTTTAAATGAAAATACCCACATATTTTTAATGTTGCAAGTAATTAGATTAAAATTTATCCCGGGTCAGGTCGACTTTTTAAATTTGAATTGAAAACCATTTTTTCTATTTTGAATTTTCTGTTCGTATTACTTATTTTATTTTTATATTCATGCCATTCATGCATCTCGTCTTGTTCGTTTTTTTTTAATAGATAAAAAAGTTGACATGTTTTTAGCAAAGGATTTGTATGGAGACACTATTTAATCTAAGGGCTTGATTTACAATGGTCAGATAAGTCTTTAGACTTTAAGGTCGGCAGTAGGTATCCGGATCATATTTTGTCAATTCTTCTAAATAGAATCCTAATCAAACGAGCATATAAATTTAGTACTTACGATATTGTCTTACCGACGACCTTAAAGATAATGTTGATTTAGAGAGGAAATATAGGGCATTCGCGATTCGAGGTAATATGCTGGCTGGTAGGTTTGTCTGATGTTCTGACCAAGGCACACTGCCAAGGTCTGTTCACGGGCTGTCTGAACCATGTTCGGGCATATTAAAAAAATCGCTGAATGCTCTACGTGTCCTGCACTCGTTCAAGAACGTTTTTAGGATGATTTTGGGGCTCCCCTATTTTTGTAGTGTCTGAGAAATGTTCGCACAAGTACATATGGATAGTTTCCATGCCAAAATTCGTAAGAAAGTCGTGTCCATAATGAGAAGAATGCGCGGGAGTGGCAACACCATCCTTAAAACGATAGCTGAAGATGTCCATGCACCTGTGCTAGGGCAATTCGTCAAGACGATGGCTATGTGGTCTCTTGATAACCTTGTCTACTAACTTCCAACCTTCTTTATTAACATTTTGTGGTCTTGTTACCTGAAAATAAATAAATTTGAAATTTATATCTTTCTTTAATATATATATTATTGTTTTCCTCCTTTTACATTGTCAATCTATATACTTTGTAATCTAATATCCCACCTGTGGTTCTGCCACTATGGTTTTGTTCGAAGTTGTTTGAAGGATGGGATATTGAATTACAGGGTACGTAACCATAATACCATGAAGGGTACCATGGATATCATGTTCTGTTCATGTTTATAACAGATGGTTACCACTTTTTATTACGTGGGCCTTCAGCTTGTTTTTATTACAAACTTTTAAAAACTTACAGGGTTAAATCACGTGACTATAAAGTGGCCAGTTTTGCGTATGCTTTTTACAATATTTCGCATGGCATACCAATTTAATTTGTTAAATTGTCAGGTTTGAAGCGCATATTATTATAATAAGCTTCCTGGTTGTTTAAAAAAGTAAAAAGAAACTTTTTCTTTTTTCTTCTCTATTCCTTTACATTTTTCTTTTGTAGAAATGCATGATGAAAATATTAAAGCAAATTTTAAACGTTTATATATTTAAATAATGACAATATCCGAATAATAAGCATTTGATTTTTTTGTTTTAATTTTTTTTTAATCTTGGCAAAGTGCATGTGTTGCCCGTTATACCACTAACAAATGGGAAACGAAACGGGGTATTGAAAAGAAAATCCTTTGTTGAAAGTCTAATTTTAAAAGTTTTATACAGCTTTGAAGTTTATTATAGGTATACATCACACTTTTATATTATTTCTCACTAAGGTCTTCCCAGACGAGTTCCACCTGGCGAATCTGCAGCCGTTCCTGAAGTCCTGCGCTGAACTGCAGCCCGGTGTTAACATAAAGAACATCATTATCGCACTCATCGAGCGATTGGCTGCGTATAGTCAGGTAGGTATATGAAACATGAAATTTAAGTTTTTAAGTGACATTGCCAAGTGAGAATTTTTGTGTGCATATTACCCGATTTCTTGCTAATTCTGAGTAGATTTTTAACTGACTTCAAAAAAGAAGAAATTTTTTTGTTTGACCATCGACTCCGGATGGCGAAAAATATTTTTTTGAGGATACAATTATGTTAAGCAGAGCTATATGTTTGCCTCTTGTCGATAGTCATTGAAAAAATATTACTCAACCAATTGAGACGAGTTCTAAATAAGAACAAAATCATACCTAATTATCAGTTTGTATTCAAAGAAAAGCACTCGGCAATTGCAGTTGTGAAAGTGAGAGTAAAGTCAGAGAATAATTTGAAAAAAAAGAGCATCGCCTGCTATTATGCCTAGATTTAAAACAAGCTTTTGATAAAGTGTGGCACAAGGAGTTGTTGTAAACATTTAAGACACAGTTCCCGAATTTATATTACAATATATTGAAATCCTACCAAGTAGATAGAATATTGCAGATTAATTGTGTACATGGTATAAGTCGATCATGCATGGTTTTTTATTGACCATGTTCTTTGAGACAAATAAATACAAATAAAGTTAACAGAGATTTAAAAGAGTAACTGTTAAGTTTCCTGCGGGCTCTTCTCGACAGATAACAAATTTCTGAACTCTGCAGTGGATTTAAAAAAAAAAAGACGATTTAAAAGTGCTTGTAAACAAGTCTGTTTGAACAAAGATGATTTAAATTTGAACTTAAGTCTGGTGAATCTTACTCAAAATGCTATGATCTTTGTGCGTCGGTCCCGCAAGGGTCTATTCTCAGACCCGTACTACATTCGATGTATACTGCAGACTTGTGGCAAATTATATAAAAATATTAATTTACGCTGATGATATGGTATGCTTGGCAAGTGACAAAGATGACATATGACATTACAGGAAGTTGAAGCTCAATTAGATAGTTGATAATTGATTACGTACACATTAAGAAAGGGTTATGCTATTAACACGCAACTAAAGTAAGGAACTAGCAGGCAGTATTTCTGAACAGATACGATATTAAAACTTTCAAGAAAAGAGCAACACCACCGCCACTATCATCATTATCATCATCCTCTTCATCTTCGGCGTCATCATCATCATCTTTCTGACCTTATCCCAGTTATATAACTTTTGATGTCTGCGTAATATATTTTCAAGAAAAGAGCATCCTCATTTCAGCCATTATCTGTCCATTGCTGAACATAGGTCTCCCCCATAGACTGCCATAGAGAACGATCATGATCCATCTGCATCCACTGACTCCAAAAAAGCACATTCCTTCCTAAAAGGTCGGAAACACGCCTGCAATTTCCTTGATGTTCCCGATGCCTATAGGCGGCGGTAATCACTTAATATCAGGTGAGCCGCATGCTTGTTTGTCCCTTATGTTGTAAAAAAAAGGTAATATTATAATTTCAGAGAAACGAGGGCAACATAAACCTCAGTGTTGTGATGGAGGACGGTAAGGAACAAGAGGTGCAGCTATTTGAAGTGTTCTCGGACCAAGTGGCTGCCATCACACAGGTACGTAAATTTTGGATTGGTTATTTGTTTAGAATTGTTTTGTTAAATTTCACTATTATTATAATATAAGATTATTAACATTAGTGTAAGATTGACTACTATTATAATAATAATAGTTATAATAATCCCAATATCTTATCCCAACCAGTCTGGAACAACATCTCAGACGGTTGGGATTCCGAGGCGGCTCATTCCTGGGAAAGATGCAGAAAGCGGTGCTCTTAGATACTGCCCGCATTGTACGCCGGTTTTTCTCCCTGGGGCCCTGAACCCCGGCCGATTGTGCTTCTGCCGGGGGTTTGTTGCCATCTCCTCTCCTTAAGAGGGGAGATAAGAATTTTCTACAAATAAAAATAAAATAATAGTAGTCAATCTTCGAGTATTGGCGGTTCCAGATGTTCTACTAACTATCCATATTAACCATCCATCAACCGATAGCCATTTCGTTCACGCACGTTTTACGACACGTGTTTCACCTCTGAACGAGGCAACTTCACGCGAATTAATAGATCGCTGCTCGGACTCTGTCGTTAACCATTCGGTACTTTCATTCTCACCTGTCATCCCTCACTGGTGCCTCGTCAGAGTATACAGTTAGCGCGGACGGGGATGCCATTCCATTATCATAAAAAAGTTCGATGTTTAAACTGCGTAATTTCAGATATTTTTACCTCTCTGTCGCTCAATTAACAAGAAAAAAGTCTGGTTTAATAGTGATTAATTGTCCATTTTCAAATTAACATTTTAATTATGACAAGTGAAAAAAATACCTGAAACTTGTTTTACAAATTGAAATTGTATTTATTAGCATCTCTTTAAGGGTGATCTACCCTTATATTGTTATATGAAAGAGAAAAAACATTTACTTACACAATATAAGCTCGAAGCTGATTTGGCTGGAGTATGTACAAAATAAATTCCTATTTTATTTTTATTTTTAAATGCTTTTTTTGTTTTACGTGAATATAGTTGATTGGAGTTGAGCTGTTCTTGGATGTAACGTAAATTAAGAAAAAAAAATACTACGAAATAGCAAATTTTTCCTAATCATCATCATCATCATCCCAGCCGTTGACTACCCACTGTTGAACATCGGTCTCCCCCTTGGAGGATTCGTGTTTCAACCGTGAAGCAGTTGTGTTTGCATGGCTGTGTTTCGGTTTGAAGGGTAGGATATGGCGTGAACTTACAGGATACAGAGGAATAAAAACGCGAGTCCTCAGGAATTGCAACGCATGGGAGGTATCATGGGCGAAACAGTACTCTAAACGGTACTCTGTTATGTCCATGGTACTGCTCATGTCTACAGGCGACGGTTACCACTTTCCGTCTGGTGGGCCGTCAGCTTGTTTGCCATTCTAAGTTGTATAAAAATATATATATAAATAGAACTTATACAAATGTAAAATTGTTTTGTATACAAATAAATTGAAAACGGGAACTGTTTAGTTTATTGCGAGTTCTTCTCAGCACATAACAACATTCGGAATGTTGTAATCTGCTGAGAACAATCTCAGTATTAGAGTAAAAAAAAGACTATTTAAAAATTTCTAATATAAATTTAATATAATATTTCTAAGTTGTATAAAAAAAACCTTATAAACAAATCTATTCGAATAAAGATTATTACTGTTTGTGGTTTTTTTTTTCTTTTTTTATACTACTGAGGTGGCAAACAAGCATACGGCCCACCTGATGGTAAGCGGTTACCGTAGCCTGCAATACTAGGGTTATTATATATTTTTATTTCATCAGGCCCGTGTGGATATGCCATCAGAGGATATGCTGAGTTTGCAGTTAGCATTATTGAAGCTGGCGCAGCGCTGTCACCCCGACAAACTCAGTTACGTGGACAGAGTACTGGCGCATACGGACAAAATATGCGCCGACGAAAAGAGATACACCAGAACAGGTATTTTATAATTGATGTATATTTTAAAAATAATAATAACAATTTATTTAATTAATAATATAAAAATGTTAAAAGCCAAATTGATTTATTAATATATATTATTACAGGATTTCTTAAATTTGTTTCTAATTGATCTCCTTTTATTTCTTTTTTATCCTCACCTATCATCTCCCACTGGTGCCCCGTCAGCGTATACCGATAGCGCAGACGGGGTTACTATTTTATTATCACCCATTGAAAAAAGTGGTAATAAACACTAAATTATTAGAGGGGAAAGGGATTGTTAGTAATGGAGACTGAGAATCCCATTGCTAGCAATATACCCAACCAGGTCGACCTCCTCGCGGTTCTCCCTGAAAACTATCATGGTTAATTCCTGATGAATTCATCATGATGGGCTAACTGGCATGTTTTCATTCTCATCTATCACCCTTCACTGGTGCTCCGCCAGCGTATCCCGTTAGCGCAGGCGGGGTTACCGTACCATTTTCACCCATCAAAAAAAAAAGCAATTATCACCAACAGCGGCAAGACCCACCTGGAAAGCAACATGCCGGTCTTCAAAGAGCTGATGAAGATACTAAAGCTGCCGGCGGACCACTACAAGAACATCCTGACTCTGATCAAGTTGCAGAACTATGCGCCCCTCATCAAGCACCTGAACTACAACGGCAGGATCATGATAGCCGTGCACCTGATAAATGATGTATTGGAAACTGATACCCTGATATCCACGCCCGAAGATGTGAGTATGTGTGTTTTTTTTTCAACCGACTTCAAAAATAAGGAAGTTCTCAATTCTATTGTATATTCTTTTTTATATTTATTACCTCGTAACTCCGTTAGTTCTAAACCGATGTGGAAACTTCTTTTTTTTTTATACAACTTAGAATGGCAAACAAGCTGACGGCCCACCTGATGGAAAGTGGTAACCGTCGCCTACAGAAATGATCAGTACCATGGACATAACAGAATATACTGTTTCGCCCATGATACCCCCCATGCATTGCCATTGCTAAGGACTCAGGTGTTATTCCTCTGTACCCAGTAACTTCACGCCATATCCCACCCTTCAAACCGAAACACAGTTTTACCTGAAAGGAACAAACTTACAGTTTGGTCCTATAAATTTTTTATCAAAATCTATTTATTAGATATATAAATATTCTTTATTTGTCATCATATAATTATAATCATCATTTCCTGATCCACTGCTCAATAGGCGTCTCTCTATTGGGAGATTTTGCCAGTAGTTGCCATGTTTGGCAGGCAGTATGGCAACCGCAGTTAGAATTTGGTGATGTTTTAAGAGGGTAGCTGCTGCCTCGACCATTAAGTTCCATTAGTCGCATTTTACAACATTCATGGGAAAGGAAAAGGTGGTGCCGGGACCACACAGTGATAAATATACCAATGCACAGTATGATGATTTAAAGATATATTAGAGAATGAATAAATATATAATATATATTTATTTATTATCTATTTATATATATAATAAATATATATAATATTATATGTATCACATCTCCCATATTTAGAACTAACAAAATTTTTCATCGTGCCTTCCACCAAACTGTTTATAATTACTCCTCTCCCTCCAAAGGTTGCCTGGAAGAGATCGCTCTTAGCGATAAGGTCGCCCATTGTTTTCTCATTGTGATTATTTCTTGTAAATATTTATATTTATAATAAGTTTACTATTGTAATCTTTTAGAGGAAACAATAAAGAGTATCTATCTATCTATCTATCTATCTAAATATATAATAATATAGAATAAATAAATATATAAGATTATTATTGAATTTGAAGAAGGTGTAAATTTATTTGGTGTTCTAAATAAAATAAAAAAAAGTGGGATGGTGATCACTTGTTATGTTGTTATGGGGCCTAGTCCTGTACTACGTGTAGTAACATGAAATGCTTGGCAGGTCGAGTCCGTGCTGTCGATGCTGGACGTTCTGGTCAAAGATCAGCCCGACCAGCCCACCACAGAGCCTGATGTCGAAGACTTCATGGAGGAACAGGGGCTGCTTGCCAGGTTAATGTTTATGTTTATGAAACATAAAAAATTTACGTAATAACAAATCCTAGAAACGATCGCTTATAAATGGTGTGCTGAATGCTTATTTATCATTCTTTTACATAAAAAAAAAAATAACATACTACAAGGTGAGAGTACCAGAGGGAGACTGTTCAAAAGTCAATTGCTTGGGTACCTCTGTCCCATTCGTGTTTCAACCGTAAAGCAGTTTTTATATGTTTACATAGCTATGTTTCGGTTTGAAGGGTGGGATATGGCGTGAATTTACTGGATACGGAGGAATAACACCTGAGTCCTCAGGAATGGCAACGCATGGGGATATCATGGGCGAAACAGTATACTCTGTTATGTCCATGATACTGCTCATGTCTATAGGCGACAGTTACCACTTTCCATCAGGTGGGCCGTCAGCTTGTTTGCCATTCTAAGTTGTATAAAAAAAAGGTAACTCAAAAGAAAGTTCACATGTAAAAAAATCGATAAAAAATTAAACAAGGAGTTTATTAAAAAATTTTTATTATATATTAGAATACACTTTTTGGGAATTTATTTCTTGAAAATGATATCGTCCAAGTGTAAACCGCTGCGTTCACGGCATTCATTTAATCGAGCTTTAAAATTTTATATGACGGCTCGCCATGTATTGTCCGTGATGGCTGCCATTTCGTGACGGATATTCCCTTTTAATTGTGCCAAGGAAGTCGGTTTGTTGGCATAAACTTTAGATTTAATGTAATCCAAGTCCATAGGGGTTAAATTGGGACTTCGTGGAGGCCAATTTATGTCACCTCTCCTGGATATCAATTTTCAAGAAAAAAATGGTTGCGTTCACGCAATAACCAAAACAAATGTCACCTTTTTGAGACACCCATTAATATCAGCATTTAATTGCCAACTGTTGAACATATATCCCTTTAAGAACCAAGATTTTTTTCTTTCAGATTAAATATATTTTCGTGTTTTGGAGCCAAGCTATCTTGCTGGCACGCACGAGGCTACTGCACCACCTAACCGCTAAAATGATTTCTTATTGGCTGGTTTAGAATCTCACTATCATGTTATTTCAACTTCGTGCGTAAAAATGAATTGCGCGCGATTTTAGAATTATTTAAAGTTACAACTCACGCCCGTATCGTTCAGGTCTGAAAGGGATATATGGGCACCCATCAGACAGACGATCGAATTTAATGTCGCTTGATCCAATAAATCAACTAAATACAATGTTTTCAGACTGATCCACCACTTCAAATCGGATTCAGCCGACCAGCAATACCTGATCCTGAGCGCGGCCCGCAAGGCACTTCAAGGCGGGGGAGCGCGTCGCATCCAACATACCTTCCCGCCGATACTCTTCCACGCTTATCGACTCGCCTTCCTTTATAAAGACCTTCGGGATCAGGTAATGTGTGCTTTTGGTTACAACCTCTTAAACAAGTAAAATATGTAAATGCCACTGGCCATATAGCACAGCGCCATCTAGGCCCAAATCAACCAGATCTTATAGGGGGGGGGGAGATTGTTAGTAACGGGGTCTAATTGACTCATTGCTAGCAATACACCCTATCAGGTTGACCTCCACGTGGTTCTCCCAGGAAACCGTTATGATTAATTCTAGTGGAATCCGTCATGATGGGTTAACTGACCTGCTTTCATGGTCATCTATCATCCCTCACTGTTGCCCGGCCAGCGTATACCGTTAGCACAGGCTTAGGCGCAGGCGCAGGTTACCATTACATTATCATCCATTAAAAAAAAAACAGATCTTATACTATGATTACTTGACAACTGTTTTTTTTTAAATAAATACATATATATACATATGTATTGCCGTGTACCCCCAGCATAGAATAGGCCACCCCTTCCTTTCGCATGGGTGTTCCAGAAGAGCGAGGGATGGGTGGCAGCGTCCCTCTTAAAACATCTTCAAAGCCTAACTGCTGTTACTAATCCACCTGCCAAGCGTGGCAGCTACTGGCAAAACCCCCTAAGGGGGAGGCTTACGTTCAGCAATGGACAGTTAAAGGCTGAAATGATGATGATCTTTCTGGATCTGTCTACCTGTTTGAAGCCGGGGGGAAAGGGATTGTTAGTAATGGGATCAAATAGCCTCCATTACTAGCAATATACCCTGTCAGGTCAACCTCCACGTGGTTCCCCCTGGAAACCATCGTGGCTAATTCTAGTTGAATGCGTCAGGATGGGCTAACTGACCTGCTTTCATCCTCATTAGTCATCTATTACTGGTGCCCCGCCAGTGTATACCGATAGCGCAGACGGGGTTTCCATACCATTATCACCCATTAAAAAAAAACCTGTTTGAAGCCTGGGCAGATAGCTAGTCATACTTATTGACCATCACCCTACTTCTTGCCCTCGCCATGCCCATTAATGGGGAGCTAATTGTTTGATTATGGCTATGATAGATTAAATAGTTAATTTGGAATCTGTGTTCTCTAGGACGAAATGTGGGAGAAGAAATGCCAGAAAATATTCCAGTTCTGTCATCAGACGATCAGTACGCTCGTCAAGGCGGAGCTAGCTGAGTTGCCCTTAAGGTAATATAACTAGTCGCTTCCCACGGCTTCTATCGTGATTTTGCCAGATATTCTGTAAGTCGAATGAGGTATTCAATCAAGGAATTTTATATGGAAATACCGCATTCAGAATATGCTTGAGAAATATCGGTTTCATTCTGGTATCTGTATATTGGGTTTCTCTGAATATTGAAGGTCGCCCATTTCGCTATACCAGTCAGATATCTGCTGTTTGTTTCACGCAAACTCCAGGCATAGCCCTCTATACATATTTAAAAAAAATATATATATTAAAAATTACATATTTTTACTAGAGGCAGACTATACTAAATTCGATTGCTTGGCTACCTCTGTCCCATTCGTGTTTCTACCGTGAAGCAGTTGTGTTTGCATGACTGTGTTTCGGTTTGAAGGGTGGGATATGGCATGAATTTACAGGGTACAGAGGAATAACACCTGAGTCCTCAGGAATGGCAACGCATGGGGGGTATCATGGGCGAAACAGTATACTCTTTTATGTCCATACTACTGCTCATGTCTGCAGGCGACGGTTACCATTTTCCATCAGGTGGGCCGTCAGCTTGTTTGCCATTCTAAGTTGTATAAAAAAAATTTATTGGGTTCGGAGGAATAACACCTGAGTCCTCAGGAATGGCAACACAGGGGGGGTATCATGGGGAAACAGTATACTCTATTATGTCCATGGTACTGCTCATGTCTATAGGCGACGGTTACCACTTTCCATCAGGTGGGCCGTCAGCTTGTTTGTCATTCTAAGTTGTATTAAAAAAAATTAAAAATGTAAGAATGTATATTCTTTTTTCACAGATTATATCTCCAAGGCGCTCTGGCAATAAGCGAGATCGGCTTCGCGAACCACGAGACAATAGCGTACGAGTATCTGTCGCAGGCGTTCTCGCTGTACGAGGACGAGATATCGGACAGCAAGGCGCAGCTCGCCGCTATCACGCTCATCATTGCCACCTTCGAGTTTTTATATATATATATATATATATATATATATATATATATATATATATATATATATATATATATATATATATACATATATATATATATATATTGTTCGTGTCTAGATACCTTTTTAATGTCCATTGCAGAAAAAAAAAAACATAGCTGTCGAATTTATTTTTTTAATCATTTTCCTTTAATTTTGAACATGAATTATATTATCTTGATTTATTTCACCAATAAAAAAAATCATGCAAAGAAGGGTTAAATAATCAGTCATAAATATTGCAAAATTCATTGGACACTGCAACACTGCATTGGCAAATAATTGGATAATTCTGACGTTACCTAATTTCGGTAAACAGTACGTAAGCAATATTTCAATATGTATTTTTTTTAATGCAGCGTTTATTTTTGTTACACTATTAACTCATAACTATATCTATCTATTCCTCTCACACTTCCCATAATAATATCTAACTGTCCCTGTCACAGGTGCAGAGAATGCGGAACCGATGCGTACACAATGCGCGCTGGCTGCCAGCAAACTCCTCAAGAAGCCTGATCAGAGTCGTGCGGTGGCGTTGTGTGCACATCTCTTCTGGAAAGGACCTAAGGATGGGCAGCAGGTGGGGTTTACGCGCTTTACTAAAATAAACGTAAATGGTGAATAAAGAATAAATTACTTTCAAATTTGGAATCAAAAGTTAATAGTATTATATATATAAAGTTCCGTTGTGGAACAGGCTAAGGTCAGAGACCATGCTGCCTAGTCTCCAATATGATAAATTGTCTGGAATCAAAAGTTAATAAGTTTTAATGTCACAATAAATAAAATGAATTGGACTTTAAATATAATTCAAATTTGGAATGATATTTTTTTATTCCAACTTTGAATTTGCATTTAAAGAGAATTAAGTGCCTACTTACGCTGGTTTATGGAATACATAACAATAATAATAAACATATTTTTTGTATCACTTCAGAGAAAGTATGATTTTTATTCAGTTATCTTGTATTTTAAATTTACTATCAGGACGTAACGTGATGCGATTACAAGTAAATAGTACCTACATTCCTAATTTTTATTTCCAAAAAAAAAAATTTTTTTTTTATACCCCTCAGGTGGCAAACAAGCATACGGTCCACTTGATGGTAAGCGGTTACCGTAGCCTATAAACGCCTGCAATACCAGGGGTATTACGCGTGCGTTGCCGACCCTGAAGAAACCTCTTTACCCCCCTTTTGAAGATATTATATTATATATTTAAAAACTATTATTTATATTAACTATATTGTAATTTGTAATTTATTACTTAATAAATATTTTTATTATTATGGTAAATGTCAAAGTGGCTTTGTTTTTGCCTTTTGAAATCTCAGCATCTCAATCGAATATTAGGAAATTGTGTACATATACTAATTGGATGGAGAACAAAGGTTACTGTTTGTCCTGGTGAATACATACCTATCTCGCGGACAAAGTCGCGAGTGAAGACACACACCTCATTTGCCCTTCATGCGCTTTCTGTTTTTAAGGGATTGTTAACAATGGAGTGTGACAGCCCCATTGCTAGCAATATATCCTATTAGGTCGATCTCCACGTGGTTCCCCCTGGAAACCACCGTGAACAATTCTTGTTGAATTCGTCACGATGGGCTAACTGACCTGCGGGTCTACTATAGAATGAAATTCCGAATTTTCGGACTCAATTTCGTGTTTTTGTTTATACCAAAATCGGACCAATAAATGGAGTTTAACATTTCGTTCGTCATACATCCTATCATAAAAGTCCGAAGGAACGATATTTTAACATTTTTAATATTTCCAAACGCCATGTATTATGAATTTTTAATATCAAATTTGTGTTTCGTTTGGATCCGAAATTTCGGAAATTTTGGTAGGCCCTCGGCTTCATCCTCACTTATCATCATTCACTGGTGCCCCGTCAGTGTATACCGAAAGCGCGGGCGAGGTTACCATTCCATTATCACCCATTAAAAAAAAACCGTCGGCAGTGGGCGCTGAACGAGCCCGGTCGCGCGCTGGACTGCCTGAAGAAGGCGGCGCGCGTGGCGCAGCAGTGCATGGACGGCGGCGTGCAGGCGCAGCTGCTGGCCGAGCTGCTCGGCCGCTACGCGCTGCTGCGCCACCGCGGCAACCGCGCCCTCACCGCCGGCCTCATCGACGCGGTGACCACCTTCACTTGGCTTATTCTATGTCTATGGCATGCTCAAGTCATAGATTCACAGAGCATAGATACAGTCAATCTATATAAGATTGACTGTATCTATGCTCTGTGAATAGATTAACTATATTACAGTAAAAGCTCCTTATTCACGCTTCCTTTATTCCCGGATGAAAAAATTGTGACCCAATTCCTACATTCGCGGCTAAAGATTACTATATTCGCGTTTTTTTTTTTTTTTTTTTATACAACTTAGAATGGCAAACAAGCTGACGGCCCACCTGATGGAAAGTGGTAACCGTCGCCTATAGACATGAGCAGTACCATGGATATGACAGAGTATACTGTTTCGCCCATGATACCCCCCATGCGTTGCCATTCCTGAGGACTCAGGTGTTATTCCTCTGTACCCAGTAAATTCACGCCATATCGCACCCTTCAAACCGAAACACAGCCATGCAAACACAACTGCTTCACGGTTGAAACACGAATGGGACAGAGGTAGCCAAGCAATCGACTTTTGTACAGTCTCCCTCTAGTAAATATAAACGATTCATATTATTAATTAATTAATATTATTAATTGATTTAAAAATAAAAGTCAGCCAGTTTGACGTTTGGCTGACTAAAAGTAGACATATTTTTTTACACTTAATGCTCTATCTATATAAGGTTCAAGCTACAGGGGACTGTAAACGTTCTCCGTCAAGTGAGCTGTTGACTCATTTGCAGTCTCCAGTCTTCATCTAATGACGATTGTTTCTCATCAGGTTATACAGAAAATCCGAGAAGAGTTAGCCAACCTGGACCAATCGGAGGAAGTGGAGCAGATCACCAAGCACTTCCACAACACGCTGCAGCATCTCAAAAACAGAATGGAGTGTCCAGACCCTGACGGTCTCGGGTCCGAGGGTCTAGTGCTCTCTTAGAACTGAATATTTCAGTGTGGTGTATTTATTTCTTTTGACAAATTATAGTTATATATTAAAGTTATTAAAGTCTGACTTTTGGAGTGTTTGCGATGAGCTTGGAAACCGATTTCAAAAAAGATTAATATTATTCTACAATTTTTTTATGTATGTACTCAGATTGGCGGACGTCTGGGTCTGAGTTTGGCACGGTCTTTTATTAATTTAGTCAAGATTACTTTAACGACCTCTAAATTTCCCATATTTGCATAGAACTCATAAGAGGAAAATGTAATTTACTATTACCACACAAGCCAAGTAGACTGTTACAGAGTTCTGTTTACAGTTTTCTTTCCCTAAATGCGGTTTTTAGTGGAACAAAATCTTTAAAATTATTCCGTTATCTTTTTTTTTGGCAGCCAATATCTGATTATTTGGTGAATTTAAATTGGATTTTAGGGTTCATTCTGTGACAATATTTGCATTATTTGTCACTTTAAAATATTAATAATGTTTCTGATTATAATAACTATGGCTTCATTTAATTATTTTAAAACATAATCATAGAATAAGTTGCACGTATATCTATCCCATGAAATTTTGCAATTATATGTTTATTTATTATTATTATTATTTTTTAACAAAGTAGTGAGATTGCAACCATGTTATTCCATTTGAAAAAGCTCTTTAGCAAGTGTTGTGGAGTACAGTAAATAACTGCATTACTTTATATTTTTATTTATCCGGTTCTGAAATGTCATTTTTTTACGATTGGTAATGACAATTAGCCCCATAAACTATTTATGTATTTATGATAAATCTCTCGCAAAACTTCACGGAGCCCTGCGGTCTGCGGCGGAGTTTGTGTAAGGCCTAAGAGCATCTCTAAAATTAGATCATTTTAGAGAAAGCTTTAGAGCAGGGCTCTCCAAACTAGATAGGATTTAGGGCCAATAAAAATTACTGAATTCATTGTGGGACTGCAAAATATTTGTAAAAACAAAATGCAGCTATAATATCCATTATTTTGTTATTGTGTTCCTTTTTCATTAATTTATCTTTTACAATTCTGTCAATATTAACATAAATATTGGTAGTAGCTAGAAAAGATTTGGCGGGCCGCATGTGGCCCGCAGGCCATCGTTTGGTCAGCTCTGGTTTAAAGTATTGTGACGTTTCAGAATCAGTCCTATTATTTTAAATTCAATAATTTACTAAACACTGGAATGTCATTTATATAAACACATTCCGAAGTATGTATTGTTAATCGTTTGAACTGTAAGTCGTGTAAATATATTATGATTTGAAATTATGTAATAGCGATATTTTAGTTTTAAACATGTTCTATGTATGATTTTCAAGAAATCAATAAAAGCAATATATTTAGTGTTATTTTGAACATTTCGTTCTTGTTTGGATCCCATTTTTTAAGGCACTGCTAAACAATCGGGAGCAACAACTGTTTGGACACTTTTTTTATACCACTGAGGTGGCAACAAGCATACGGCCCTCCTGATGGTAAGCGGTTACCGTAGCCTATGAACACCTGCAATACCAAGGGTATTACTGACCCTGAAGAAATATCTTTACCTCCCTTTTTGAAGAACTCTATGCTGTAGTCTCTTTGGAAAACCTCGGCAGGGAGCTCATTTCATAACCTGAGTGTTCGTGGGAGGAAACATCTCTGAAACTGCTTTATACGCGACCATTTAGGTTGTACGATATGAGCATGAACTCCCTGTCGATGGCGAGCCGTACGATGGAAAAAAGTAATTGTGGGCATATTGAACAATTCTTCTGAGCACAATCCGTTGTACAAGCGGTAGGACACGCACAGAACACCTATGTCGCCTTTTTGTTTCTACCGTGTAGCAGTTGTGTTTGCATGGCTGTGTTTCGGTTTGAAGGGTGGGATATGGCAGTGAATTTACTGGGTACAGAGGAATAACACCCGAGTCCTCAGGAATGGCAACGCATGGGGGGTTTCATGGGCGAAACAGTATACTCTGTTATGTCCATAGTAATGCTCATGTCTATAGGCCACTGTTATCACTTTTCCATCAGGTGGGCCGTCAGCTTGTTTGCCAATCTAAGTTGCATAAAAAAACAGGCCTAACCTATAGTTAGGCAGGTAGGTTGATAATCGCAGTTAGGCTTTGGAGATGTTTTAAGAGGTACGCTGCTGCCCACTCCTCACCCTCCTTTAGTCGCCTCTTACGACACCCACCGAAAAGAAGGGGTGGCCTATTCTATGCTGGGACCACACACATATTATTAATATATTGTAGAGACAAAAAAAAAGCGAATTTAGTATCCATAGGGTTTATATATGTATATTTATGTATAACTATGTACAATGTTTAAAAGAAAACAAATATTTAGCTTCTCAGCATATCTTATTTCCCTGAATATTATTTCTATTGTTCATCATTATCTTCTCTTGCCGCTTCTTCTCCTCTTTGAATGCCTCTTTGTTCGCCTTCTTCTCTATTCGTCTCTCCTTTCTGTACTCTTTTAGGAGACGTTTCCTTTCTTTTTTCTCCTCTACTGTTTCATCTTTAGGTCTGAAAAAGATTAACACCATTTAATGCGAGGGTTTTTCTGTAAAATGAGGTCAACTGGCGCACGCACTAAATTCGAACGAACATACAATAAATATACACTAAGCTCTATGAAATACAAACGGGCGAAAAGGTATCGCTCCAGATAAAAATATAAACATAATATTTATAAGTGGCAAGATGTACTCGGGATAGCGCAAATCGGAACACATTCGATGCGCGAGAGGGTCTCGTTCGAGATGCTTAAGTGGTTAAACCGTTATTTATTGAGTAGTTTCCTCTGGGATTAAGAAATATACCCATATAAAGAAGAATTAAAACTAATAATTCATTTTTGTGTGTGTGTATATTATGTGACAGCTTCACAACTAGAATGCATAACCACATAATATACTACACTAGTAGCATAATCTTATATTTGGGAATCTGTATTTATTTCGATTTTAATGATTCATTAATGGCAAAGTGTGTGTAAAACATTTTATTAAAATTTCAATGAAATATTGTGTCCGCAGAAGTATAAAATTGTGTTGCCATTACTAATGCCTTCCTATCATTACAAAGTAAACTAAGTTGGACATTAATTACAATTAAAGCTACTAAAAAGTAGCTTAAAACATGAAATTCTTTAGAAATTTAAAAGGTTAATGTTTCATAAGGGTCGATTCTGAGGCTTCATTCCCTAAATTTATTTCTAAATTTACCTATACCACTGAGAATTCAATATAAATATCTGACGAATCAAAAACATCAAATACTGACGCAATTCTAACAAAGATTGAGTATAATTATTTAATTTATTATTTTAAAAATTTGTATAAATGGCGAGCTTAATGCAGCTTTCTCTGCCAGATACAATACCAGTTCTTAGTGTGCATTCATACAGGATCGACTCGGAGAGCTCAGAGCGTTTTAAATAGAATTATAGATCATTGAAATAAGGTTTATTTTTAATTTTACTTTTATATCGGCATTCTTATATAAGGAAATAAGTGAGATGTAAAAATAAATTTTATTCCAATCATTTTAAAACTATTTTTAAACGCAAAATCTGTTTTTCTTTACGAACCGATCTGTGTGAACGAATTTAAATTAGTTTTAGAACTTAGAACAATTATTTTGTTGTAATATCAAATTGAAATATTTAATTTTAGACATAGAGACAGGTGCTTTGGAGTTCATTTTGCCTTACCGAATAGAAAGTACACTCAAAGTCGACAGCACTGACTCCGCGTGCGTTCTCCCCTCGTCATCAGATTGCTCGCTGTCGTTTGCGTTTATAGCGTTGAATTTGGCTAATGATTTGACAGTCAGCTTGTTGTCTTTGCCTAGAGTGTCTTTGGGCAGTCCCGATTTGGCACTGATTTGAATCTTTTTCGGTTTCTGAAATAAAAAAAGCAAATGTGATACTTTGCAACGTGTTGTTGGTTTTTTTGATGGGTGAAAATAGTATGGTAACTCCGCCTGCGCTAACGGGATACGCTGGCGGAGCACCAGTGAAGAGTGATAGATGAGAATGAAAAAGGCCAGTTAGCCCATCATGATAAATTCATCAGGAATTAAACATGATAGGCGGGTAGGCGCAGTAAGAAGTGGTTGTAAATTTTACGTGCTCCCAAAATTTTGTTAAATAAAATAGAAAAAATATACATGTGTTAAAATTAAACTAATCTGCACTTGGTTGGCTCATAACACACTTTTTCACAAACTTTCACAAAACTTACGTCACCATGGATACTACAGCAGAGCAGCTTATGAAGAGCATTAACGATCTGGCCTCTATGTTCAAGGGTAGGATGGAGGAGTATGAGAAAGGGTGCCAGCAGCCAGGATCAGTTTCTTCGGGAACTACAGTGAAAACTTTAGCTGCAGATTACGCATCATTTAAAGGTTTTATATGGAAGTCATTGGGAATGATCAAGTCGCAGGTTGAACTACTTTTGTTGGGCTTGGATAGATTGGAGACTCATTCACGTAGGAAAGTCTTGCTCTTCCATGGAATCAAGGAGGAGGATGATGAGAATACCCGTAATAAGCTTTTAACACTCTTATCAGATCGCATGAAGTTGAGTGGTGTGAATTCCGAAGCTATAGAAACCTGTCATAGATTGGGTCTCAAGAAGGAGACAGCCCGACCTATTCTGTGTTGTGTTGGATGAGATATTGCCCGTAATTACACACATTATAAATTACTCGCTGAAATGCAATGTTTTCCCAATACAGTGGAAAAAGGCTTTTATTATTCCAATTCCCAAAACTCCGAATCCGACCAGCTTCTCCCAATTCCGCCCCATATCCATTCTCCCCATTCTCTCTAAGGTCCTTGAATCAGTAGTTCACAATCAATTACATCAGTATCTCACGGTCAATCACCTGTTATGCCCTTTCCAATCAGGTTTCCGTCCTTCCCATAGCACTACTGGAGCACTACTTAATATCACTGAGGACATTCGGCGAGCCATGGAGGACACCAATCTCACAGCTATTGTTCTTCTTGACTTTACTAGTGCCTTTAACTCAGTAGATTTTGACATTTTGCTTGCCGTGCTCCGAGCAATAAACGTATCCTCTTCTGCTATTGAATGGTTTTCTTCCTATCTTTTCGGTCGCCGGCAGTGTGTAAGAGCCAATGATGCTTCATCGGATTGGTCTTCGCTCACTGCCGGTGTACCTCAAGGTGGCGTGCTTTCTCCTTTACTTTTTTCAATTTTTATAAACAATATCTCTCGTTATATTAATTCTCCCTACCATCTGTATGCGGATGATCTACAACTCTACAGACACTTCGCATTGCCTGGATTGTCTGATGCCATTGCTGCCTTAAATACTGATTTATGTGCAATACAATCGTGGGCTGATACATTTGGACTTCTCATAAATCCTATTAAATCACAAGCCATCATTATTGGCAGCAGCAGGATGAGATGCAAGTTGAATTGGTCCGAGATACCGGCACTTTATTATGATGGAGTTCCAGTGGCTTATGCCGAGAAAGTTAAGAACCTTGGTCTCATAATGGACGGCACTTTGTCTTGGGCATGTCATATAAATGAACTCAGTAAACGCATGTACTTTTCATTTCACTCTCTCAAGCGACTCCAATACTTTCTCCCGGTAAACACAAAAATTATGCTCGCACAATCTCTACTACTCCCAATACTTGACTATGCCGACGTCTGTTTTTTGGATGTGACTGAGGAGCTTCTAAACAAGCTGGAACGTTTACAAAACCTAGCTATTAGGTTCATCTTTGGTCTTCGTAAATACGATCACGTGTCTGCCTTTCGCAACCAGTTAAAGTGGCTCCCTATCCGACTTCGACGTGATATGCACATCCTTTCTTTCCTTTATAACATACTCAATAACCCCAATTCTCCATCGTACCTCCGCTCCCGGTTTAAATTATTACCACCACCAGTCCGTCCTAAACGCTCCTGTCAACTGCAATCCAGGATGCTTGAACTTCCTGTGTGTAGGACACGCTTTATGGGCAACTCTTTCTCGTATCGAGCTGTCCAGTTATGGAACAAACTCCCTTCCCACATACAAGAGAGTCCCTCTATTACCTCTTTCAAGAAGAGGTTAAAATCACATTTTCTTTCCCTTGAGTAATATATTTTTTTTTTTTTGTATTTTTCTAATTGAACTCTCAAATCTTAAAATCATTAAACGAAATTTCTAATGTATGTAGTATATTAATTTATTTTAACATATACTATATAAGTAGGTAGGTATTGTATATATTTATAGTGTATGTATTTATGTAATATTTTATTATATATTTTAATATTTTATTTAACTGTATATTTGTTTATGTATTAATAGTTGTAGCACTTCAGCTGTCCGCTAACGAAATGCTTTCTTACTGTACTGGGTTGACTGGAAGAGATCTCTGTCAGAGATAAGTCCACCCTTGCTCACAACATTTATAAATGGATTATTTTATATGTAACTTACAAGTGCAATAAAGAATATAATAGTTTCCTGGGGGAACCGCGAGGAGATCGACCTAGTTGGATAAATTACTAGCAATGGGATTCTTAGTCTTCATTATTAACAATCCCTTTCCCCCCCTTGTGTTGTTGCTTGATTTCATAAGACTAGAGAACCTCACTCTTGCAGAGCACCAGAGGGTGATGATAGGCAGGTCAGTAAGCCCATTGTGATGAATTCATCTGAAATTAGATGCGATGGTTTCCAGGGAGGACCACATAGAGGTCAACCTGACAGGATATATTAAGTACTACTAGTGAAATTGGCCGTGCCAACGTTGAAATAACGACTATCAAAACGTTTATTACAGTGGACCCCCGATAATCCGGCCCCTGTCTAATCCGGCGCCCCCTGTAATCCGACATGACAGAATTATGTTTGACAATCTTTGCTAATATAGATCACGCAAGTTTGAACAGGTCACAACTCGTACGCGCCACCGCTATTGTGCTCGACGCATATGCATTGTTTTACTTAGTTTGAATTTGACTACTAGTGATAGCGATACGGCCTAGCGTACGTTCATTGTTTACTATTTATTCATTGTGTATTAAGTATATGTAGTACCTAGTAATGTCGTCACAAACCCAGAAGCGAAAGCACAAAACGTTGACAATTAAAGAAAAATGTGATATTTTAGATCGCTTAAATCGCAATGAAACTTTCAGTAGTTTAGCAAGTGAATACGGCGTAGGCCGATCTACAATTTATGACATTAAAAAAAACCACGAGAAGATTAAGAAGTTCGTGTCAACTACTGACTGCGGGCCAGGCAAGAGACAGACACTCAAGAAAGCTGAACATCCAGAAGTGGAAGAAGCTTTGTACATGTGGTTTCTTCAGGAAAGAAACAGGCATGCACCAATTTCGGGACCCATGTTGGCGATGAAAGCTAAGTTTTTTTATAAGGAAATAACAAAAAAAGATGATTTTATGGCCAGCAAAGGATGGCTAGAACGTTTTAAAAGTCGTCATGGCATACGTTTAATGACTATTACAGGAGAGAAACTTTCTAACGATGCCACCTGCATAGAGCCCTTTAAATTAAGATTTTTGCAAAAGGTGAACGATTTTAATCTTGACCCGTCACAGGTGTATAATGCAGACGAATCAGGGCTTTTTTGGCGTGTGATGCCTAACAAAACTTTCGTTTCTTGTAACGAAAAAGACGTACCTGGACGAAAAGTGAGTAAAGAGCGTGTAACCATACTACCATGTGCTAATGCTGCAGGTACACACGCGCTTAAGATGGTGGTCATTGGGAAATCTAATAAACCAAGGGCATTCAAAAACATTGATTTACCTGTACACTATTACGGACAAAAAAGTGCATGGATGACAAAAGACCTTTTCAAAAAGTGGTTTGATGAATGCTTCGTACCTGAAGTTAGAAAATGGTTAAAAGATCATAATTTTCCTCAAAAAGCGTTGTTGCTTCTTGATAACGCTCCCGGTCATCCGTCTGAAGAAGAACTGACAACTGAGGATAAATGCATCACTGCGATGTTTCTTCCGCCAAATTGCACTGCACTGATTCAACCAATGGACCAGAACATCATTCAGTTTGTTAAGCAAGACTATAAAAAAAACCTACTTTTGAGAGCCGTATCAAAAGACCAACCAATAGAAAAAACTTTAAAAGAATTTAATATGAAAGACTTGGTTTTTGCTCTTAGTCAGTCGTGGAGTGCGTTACCGTCATCAACTATTAAATCGTCTTGGAAAAAGTTATGGCCAGATATAATCACCACTCCTAGCAACGATCCACAAATCAGTGTAACTTCGGAAGTTATAGAACAAGTCTCTACTGAAACACAGATAAGTCCGGAAGATTTGGAAGTCTGGTACCGTGGAATGGATAAAGAAGAAAATGTTTTTCTTGAAATGTCTGACAAAGATATTATAAAAGAGGTTTCTAATAATACAACAAACGATCAGGAAGATAACGACGACGTGATTGCAACTGCTCCACAAGTCACAGATCAAGACGCAGTTAACGCTTTTGAGCTAGGTTTACAATGGGCTGAAGAGAATGGTACATCCTACAACGAACTTTTACTTTTGAGAAGACTGAGGGACAAAGCTCTGATCTCGCGTTATAACAACCTTAAACAAAAAAAAATTGATGAATATGTATTTCAAAGCTTCATAATTTGATATAGTATTCACTACATGATTTTGATTAATAATTCTTGATTATTTTGGTAGATATGTATGTGCATTTATGCTTAATTTTATAATAAAACGTAAGCTCTCAATTGTTATTTAATTTACTAAATTCGACTTACATAAATTAAGTCTGATTTGTACTTCAAAGTACATACATATGTACGTATAATATAGTATAGACTCTCGTCATTAGATATGTAATTTGTCGGATTACAAGGTACTCTTTCGTAAAAAAATCCGGACTATAGGGGTCTTAGGCAGTGGTCTATAATCCGACAAATTCGATAGTCCGACACTGCCCTGCATAATGTTTGCCGGATTACCGGGGGTCCACTGTATATCTAGATAGAAAAAACCTTTTGAACAATGATAGGGACAATAATAGGCCATTGCCCATTAAAGAAACATTTATACACAATAGGAGCCATAGACAGCCCTCTATGTTAAGGCTGTTTTGACGCCAAAGAAACGGCTGTTCACATAATCCTGGAATATAAAGCTGTGGCCCATCTACGTTTAGAAATTCTCGGAACGGTGAGGTCGCTCCATAAGGCCTGTGTAGATCTCAGGAAGCTTCTGTACTTCAGGGCGGAGCTAGGCTGGCTGTACTAGCCACGACTCATATGCACAACGGCCCAAATGAGAGACTCAGTGTGGAAAAGAGTCCAATTTACATTACATTACTACTAATGGAAACATTAAATCCAATTATACATAATCCCTTTTTCTTCTATCTTACAAACTAAGCAGGTAGAATAGACAGAACTCAAAATGCAGTTTTACCTTGGGCTCTTCAATAAGTTTAGGATGGTTGTACAAGTTGGAGTATGTGGACAGTATGGTCTCACAGTCCCATTTTTCTGCCGGTTCCACTTCCATGGTCACCAGGTCCTCCTCGGACTCTTCTTCTATCTCTTGCAAGCGTTTCATTCTAAAAAATACAAATAATTTGATTTTTACAATTTTGGTAAGAGGGTATATTGCTAGCAATATACCCTCTTAGGTCGACCTCCATGCAGTTCCCCCAAAAAATCATTGTGGTTAATTGTTGTCGAATTCTTCACGATGGACCGACTGAACTGCCTTCATCTTTATCTATCATTGGTTCCTCGCCAGCGTATACTGACAGCGTAAGCATGGTTACCATTCCATTTTCAAACATTAAAAAAATATCCAGAGAACATAAACAGTTATATAATACTGTGATCTGTAGATTTCAAAATTTATAAATAAATCAAAATTAAAACACGAGCGCATTTTGATTACTACACAAACAAAAATACACGAACCTGGCAATCTCTTTCTCCTTGTCCAGCTGGTATCGTCTCCTGGACTCCTCAAATTCCTCAGCGGCCCTCAGCAGCATGTCATGCGACTCGGGCATGAACCCTTCAATCTCTTCTAGGTCCAGCGCGCCAAGTTCCGTATCATCATAGTCAGCGTACATCTGTATGACGTAAAAACTGGTGATATTTAAATGTAACTTAGAAATTTATCGCTCCATTGTTTCTGCCTACCCTAATGGGGGACAGGCGTGATAGATATGTATATATGTTTTTTTTATACAACTTAGAATGGCAAACAAGCTGACGGCCCACCTTGTGGAAAGTAGTAACTGTCGCCTATAGACATAACATTTATACTGTTTCGCCCATGATACCCCCATGCATTGCCATTCCTGAGGACTCAGGTGTTATTCCTCTGTACCCAGTAAATTCACGCTTTATCCCATCCTTCAAACAGAAACACAGCCATGCAAACACAACTGCTTCACGGTTGAAACACGAATGGTACAGAGGTACCCAAGCAATCGACTTTTGTACAAAGTCTCTCTCTGGTTACGGTAACTGCGTATCATCTGGTGGGCTGTATGCTTGTTTGCCACTTCAGCTCTACAGTGCTGTTTCAGAAGTGTTCTCTCGCGAACACTAAGGTTGTGGGATAAGCTACTTAACGAGGGCAGCTTCCTAGTTGCAATATAAATAAGCTGACCTTTTCAAATCGATCGTCCAACAGCGTCAGACCTTGGTTGCGTCGGATCACGCTGGATGACATGGAGTATTGTGAGAAGCGGGACTTTGTTTCCTCTTTAGCATGCTCGTCCCATACAGGCATCAGACCACGTCCCCCGCCCTGAAAAAACACAGTTTAAATAATTACGGCTGATAGCTGAGAATTGAGAACCTCTTGGGAGACTTAAGATTAAAATATAAACAAATAATATGCAATTTTGATTTCTGTAGCAAATAAGTTTCAGAATATTTAGTTTAAAGCTCTATAAGAGACAGCTTTTACCGATAGGCCTTATCGGTAAAGCTATCTCTCATAGCCGTTGTTTTCTCAGTGTAATCTTTTCATGTATATTGTTTGTATTTATAATATGACATGTGGTTTCGGCATAGAATGGGTCATCCCTTCGTTTCCCGTAGGTGTCACGTCACATCTTACACTATATTTTGTTGAGAAAAAGAAATTGTGACACATTCAAAATTTAATCTGGCCCCACACCAAAGATATATTTTTTAATGGGTGATAATGGAATGGTAACCCCATCTGGGCTAATGGTATACGTTGGCGGGGCACCAGTGAGGGATGGAAGCAGTTCAGTTAGTTCATCCTGATGAATTCAACAAAGAATTAACCACGTTGGTTGTCAAGGGGAACCATGTGGAGTTCAACCTGATAGGGTTTTTTTTAATGGATGATAATGGAATGATAACGCCGCCTATGCTATCGGTTTACACTGGCGGGGCACCAGTGAGGGATGACTGGTGAAGATGAAAAGGCAGGTCAGTTAGCCCATCATGACAAATTCAACGATAAATAAGACACGATGGTTTCCAAAGAGAACCGCGTGGAGGTCGACCTCATAGAGTATATTGATAGCAACGGGAACTATCCTCCCCATTACTAACAATCCCTTCCCTCCTACCTGATAGGCTATATTGCATAACTAACAATCTCGCCGATATAACTGTTACCTGTGAATCACTATCATCCTCGGAGTCTAGATCCGAGGCGAACGCCTTGTCGGAGTGATTATCGCCTGACATGCTGTCGCCGTCTTCATCCTCTTCATCATCGGAACCTGTACGTATAACAAACATAAGTGGTTTCGAATAACGGAAAAAAGTATGATTTTTTTATCTATTTTTTTTATACACTTTAGAATGGCAAACAAGCTGACGGCCCACCTGATGGAAAGTGGTAACCGTCGGCTATAGACATGGGCAGTACCATGGACATAACAGGGTATACTGTTTCGCCCATGATACATGATACCCCCCCCCCCCCATGCGTTACCACTCAGGTGTAAATAAGTAATCTAAATGTTCTAAACCAAATAATTATTCTAAATGTATTTCTTTAAAAAAAAAAAAGAAGATTAAAGTGTATTATTTTCAGTAGTTGATTTCTTATTATTACTAGGAGAACAGAACTATGAAGGTGTCAGTTATCTTCATTATATATAGAGTCAATGAACTCATATAGTTGTAATAAGACAGTAAAATCTTATGCTATTGTGCTATACGTCAAATATAGTCGCCAAAAATGGGAATGGTCCTGAGCCTCTTGGCCCCACTGACTTACTATCTTGTTGCAGGCAACACTTGGAATGGAATCATAATTATTTATATTTAATAACATACCTTTAATTCCTTTAACCTACATTCTTTACGGCTTTGGAAACGCGCTTCCTATACCATTAGGAGTTTACCAACTAAACTGTCTTTAAAAAAAAAAATGTTTTTGCTCACTTTTACACTTTATCAGAGCAATAAGTACATATATATTATACTCATTTTTATGTATAAAACAGTATATTTTATATATTGTAAGTATATTTGTTATTTATATATATTTATATTTTTAAGAATATATTTTTTTAAATTGTGTGTTACATAAGTGTTTATTACTGGCATGAGTATATGAAGTTATGAAAGCAGATTGTTATATGAAAAGGTGCCTTTAGTATTCTCTGCCCACCCCATACGGGAGAATAGATGGATAGATAGTATACCTTCAGCCATAGCCAACTCAATGAAGTTATCCTCAAGTTGGTTATCAGGATCATCGAAGTCGAAGTCTTCGTCGAGTGCGGCCACCACCTCTGGATCGAGGTCCAGGCACAATCCTGTAATCCGATAAATTAATATTAGCACAATATGCACAAGAATATTTTGCAAAACAAAAAGTGACTTCAATCGAACACACATTAGTTGAACCCCATAATTGAAACCCATGCATCCAGACAACATTCAAAATTTATTTGTAGTTTGGAACTTTCTTATCACTAAATTGTTTAAAATCTAAACAGGGATTCCGTGAATGGTTGATATCGATCCTTTAGGGTTGAATTCGGTTCCCCAGAGGTCGACATAAAGAAAAACTGATTTTGGGTGTCGACGAAGTCTAAAAATCAACCTCTATTAATTAACATAGTTCTTTGAAACTTTCAAGATACTGTATAAGTTGAGTTACATGTATAAACTAGTTAAATTTGCTAAGAAAATGATGTCAAGTTGTCAATGTCAAGTTTACTCAATTAACCACAAAGTTTTTGAATTGCTAAGTAATTTGTACCAATAGGAAAAAAGTAAATTGGCTATCCCTTTCAGACCCAAGATTTTTCTTTCAGATTAAATATATTTTCGTGTTTTGGAGCCAAGCCATCTTGCTGGCACGCGCGAGACTACTGCACCACCTAACCGCTAAAATGATATCTTATTGGCTGGTTTAGAATCTCACTATCATGTTATTTCAGCTTCGTGTGTAAAAATGAATTGCGCGCGGTTTTAGAACTTTTTAAAGTTACAACTCACGCCCGTATCGTTCAGGTCTGAAAGGGCTATGAGGATCAATCTGTTATCCATTTATTTATTTTTCAGTAATAAGTATAATAAAACTTATAGATACTAAACAATATTTTTTGTCTGTATGTTCGTTCCTGTATCATGCCAAAATTCCTGCACCATATAGGATGCAGTTTTCAATGTAGTGTTCCTGTAAGTCTAACTTAAAAAGTGGTGTGTGTTTCGATCAAGATGAACATTATAGAGTAGTGGTGTACTTCATTCTTTACTTTTGAAATGTACATGTATGAATAAAAAAATTTGTCCCACTAAAATAAAAAAAAAACTGATTTCAATTGTGACAAAACCAGTTAATTTTATCTAAAAACTATTGAACTGATTTTGAGAAAACTTCTATGGGACCAATTTGTAGATGGTTCACTAGGTTTACTGATGAAGGTATAAGGTAACAAACTTAAAAAACTACAAGCAAATCGAGACCCTATTTCTTTTAGAAGTCGGTTGAAAATGAAACTGTACCTTGTGTTGCAGCTTTGTTTAATAATCCAACATCTTCCTCAACTTCTGATGCGAACACTGAACTAGGTAGTTTTATATTATCTGTTATGGATTTTTCAACATCTTCACTGCCTTCGTTGGAAGATTTTTCTTTCCTTTTATGTGATGTTTTCTGGAAAAAAAATTACATATAACCAAATAGTATTTCAGCTCTTTAAAAATGAATAGAATGTCGTCATAGAATCATTGCATTTAAAATGGGTGGTAAATATAAAATCTTCTTTCATAACTTAAGAGAAGGGATTATTAGTGATGGGGACTGGCAGGCCCAATACAAGCAATGTATACTGTGCCTCCAAACAATCCCTTTGGAAAACATTGTTAGTTTTTAGCAAATTTTGCATGACAAGTTAATATATATAAATACTGGTACCTTGCTAGCATACACTCATAGTGCAGGCAGGATGATAATGAAACAATAATCCAAGCATTCCATTAAAAAAAAAATTAATGAAATGAATTTATTTTGTAAGAATGTGGGTAATTTTTTTTAAACAACTTAGAATAGCAAATAAGCTGACGCCCCACCTGATGGAAAGTGGTAACCGTCGCCTATAGACATGAGCAGTACCGTGGACATAACAGAGTATACTGTTTCGTCCATGATACCCCTCATGCATTGCCATTCTTGAGGATTTAGGTGTTATTCCTCCGTACCTAGTAAATTCATGCCATATCCCACCCTTCAATCCGAAACACAGTCATGCAAACAGAACTGATTTACGGTTGAAACACGAATGGGACAGAGGTACCCAAGCAATCGACTTTTGTACAAAGTCTCCCTCTGGTATATTCATATAGAAGTGATAAATACTACCTCTATACATTTTGCTTCCAAGGAGGCATTTAAATATTTAGTTACTTTTAAATTAAATGTACGGAATATAAAAAAAATAAATATTACAAGTAGAAATTAAATAAATAAATATCATCACAACTTTATCCCTAACGGGGTAGTCAGAGGCAATTGTAATATTAAAACAATTGAATTTTTTTAATACTACTCTAAGTTTAATTTCAAAATATGTTTTAGAGTCTTAATAAACTTACTGGTTGCATGACCATTGTGACCTCACTGGTGTCTTTGAGATGTTGTAGGTAGTTGTAATCATCATCAAAGTAGATGCCATATTTTATCTGCTCCTCTCGGCGCTGTTCTGGAGTCAATTCCTATACAGATTTTATTAAATAATACAATTAAAAGTTTATTTAACATTTAGCAACCTGCCCCAAATTGCTTTGATAATTTAATATTTCTATAGGATATATTATATTATTATTTGTGAAAGAGTTTTTTTTTAATTCATTTAAATATTTTTTTTTAATTCATCCCTTAACAACAAAAAAAAAATGATTAATAATTTAGATAGTGTGCTCTGTCTATTATTATTTAATTCAAAATTTATTTAAAAGTTGAGGTTCATCTTATGAGATAGTGGAAAATAAAAAAAAAAAAAAGTAAACATTAGAGGAAAACTGAGATTGTCAACCAATCATACTCAATACAATGTAACATTGTTTATGAATAAATAAGCTGATGTGAGTAGCAAAAATCAATCTGACCAAACTTTCCTTTGTCTATTTTGTAATAAAATTGTTCTATGTTATAAGTATAAGTTGATCTACATAGTAGGTAATATAAAAATGGAAGTTATAGTCTATGTCTGCATTTATATACAAAACATCCAAAATGCTCAATCATGTATTAAAACTGGGAAAACATCCAAACAAAATATGTAACAATTTAATCTTTATAATTACAATATTTCAAAATATTCTAAAAAGTTCTATAAGTGCATGTAATATTTATGATATAGAATTAATTTAAATCATATACTGTCCAATGACAACTACTTTTTTAATTTTAATTTAGGATACTTTATGGAATTATTTTTATATGAGAATATAGGATTTTTTAAGACCATGTATCCTTATATATATTTTGTTAGTATACTTGGAAAGGTTTAAAAAAATTATTCACAATATTAAGACACTCACTGGTTCTTTCTCTTTTCTTGGCGGTACATTGGCGTTCACGGGCACAAGAACTCGCTGTGGTGCGGTTTCATCAGCTGCTAGAGGATCCCTTTGCGATCTGTGCACTAAGTTAAATGTAACAGCTTTCTTTTTGTCTATAAATTTCTTCTTAGTTTTAGGCTGAAATTAGGTTATAAACATAAATAAATAAAAAAATATTAATAATTTAATAGAATATAGTAGCTTCTTAGTTATTATTTACCATTTTGATTTAATTTCTCTATCGCTGAAAATGTAATATTAATATTATTGAAAGGAAATAAACAAATTTTAACAATCACTACACATGTGTTGTTGTGGATATGGCGAAATGTCAAAAGAATCTGAAACAATATTTGAAAGGTCAACATACTTGTCATTTATGTATAGGTTCATAAAATATTGTGTTAAATTAAATAAATCTAAATCCAATAAAAATAATACTAAAATATGTTAAAATAATAGTATATAAATTATAATATGTATTATAGAAGCAAGGACAAGGATAAGAAAAAGACTGTACCATCAAAATACATAGAGAACAAATCTTATTCTAAGTTTCAGAACGATTAACTGACTCGTTTAAAAGTTTAAAACGTCAAAACAAATGACATAACCTCAAAAATGTTATATATGAACAAATCTAAGTTTTTGTGCTGTTATTATCGAAAATTATTAACAAAATGGTCACATACAAATTCAATGCGGTTCAAGAGTTCTGCAGAACCAAAAAAGAAGACATATTCTCATACAATTCTTACGCCAAAAACTAATTTTCCGGCTCGGTCCAATAGTGCGAAGAAGGAAGAAATCCAAAAGGTAAATAGTCATTATTTTATGGTATTCTCATTGTCTTATGATATATAAAATATTTAAGTAATTAAATATAGATATGTACGTTATAAGATTGTAAAACTTTGTTAAGTAAATAAGATTTTAAAGGTAGAAAATTTTTAAAAAATTGTACTTTTCCTTCAAGTAATTTGTAATTATAATTTTTTGGGTGTCCTAACAATACTCAAATCCTGCTTTATTTTTATTTATATGTTATATAAAACATGAAAACCTATGTATATGTTTATTTTTTTAAAATCTAATTAATTCCTTTTTGCGTATTGGATTTACTTATTTTTTATTATTATTTCAGCCGTTAACTGTCCTTTGCTGGACATACGCCTTCCCATAAGGGGAGTTTGGCCAGTAGTTGTCACACTTGGCGACCACAGTTAGGCTTTTAAAAATGTTTTAAGAGGGACGCTGCTCCCCATCCCTCACCCTCCCTTAGTTGTCTTTTACGACACCCATGGGAAAAGGGGTAGCTTATTGTATGCCAGGGCACATATGGCGAGGGTTTACATATAGTATGTGGTAATAGATGCATGATGAATTTGTTAATTTACCTTATATATAAATATTTCTAATTTGTTTGACTGTATTATCCTATAGGAAGTATAAATGGCTCCTTTACAAAGAGTGATTGGTACAAGTTTGGACTTGTAAAGGAGTTACAAGTCAAAACTTGTACCAATACTTCTGTGTAATACTTTAGTACTAACCTCAGATGTAAATTCTGTACACAGTCAACATATCGTTTACAGGCAGCACAATTCTCCAAGCTCTACAACTGGCAAAGGGAACATCTGACTGGTCCTGAGTTTGTGTTACACGATGGACCACCTTATGCTAATGGTGATTTGCATATGGGGCATGCAGTTAATAAGGTTACTTTTACTTTTTTTTTTATTAAATTCATGGCTCTATTCAGTGCAGAATGATGATGAAATAGGCATATAAATATAGTCAAACTGAGGTTGAAGTTAGATACTCAGTAAGCCAAATGGGATATTTTTTTGTCTTGACTTTAGATTTTTTTATACAACAAAGGTGGCAAACAAGCGTACAACTCATTTGATGATAGGCAGTCACTATAGTCTATGGACATTTAAATTGTAGATGTTTAAATTTGTATATGTATGAATGACCACAGGATTTATGATATAATCCTTTTTTTATAAATATTTTTCATCTAAATTCACATTTACATATTACATTTAATACCGTTTTTTTTTATACAACTTAGAATGGGGAACCAGCTAACGGCCCACCTGATGGAGTGGTAACCATTGCCTATAGACATGAACAGTACCATGGACATAACATAGTATACCCCCCATGCGTTGCCATTCCTGAGGACTCAGGTGTTATTCCTCTGTACCCAGTAAATTCATGCCATATCCCACCCTTTAAACCGAAACACAGCCATGCAAATACAACTGCTTTATGGTAGAAACACGAATGGGACAGAGGTACTCAAGCAATCGACTTTTGTACAAAGTCTCCCTTTGGTGGTGTTTTACTATAAAATGCGAGAAAGGTGATAAAATTATAGAATTAACAGGTAAGTAGAATTAGGTCAATCAGCCACTAATTCTACTTAGGATGGCCCAGTGACCCTAGACGTATCTATTGATATATTTTACTGACCTAGGTATTTTTTTCATATGTCCATACCACTGGTTATTTGATTAGGACTAAGTATTTTGTTTAATTCCATTACCATTAGTATGTGTGTGACTGCCACTCTGAAGTGATACTGTGAAGATTAATTGTCATTATTACTATCAAAAGATCCATAACCTTCAGAATTTGTGAACAAAATGGCAGTCAAAGATTGATGGCTAATATTAATAGGTAATAATTCTAAGAAGAAAATAATTCTAATCAAGTAACCTGTAATATTTATTGATTGATATGTTTTAGCACTTGGATTTTTTTTTATACAACTTAGAATGGCAAACAAGTTGACGGCCCACCTGATGGAAAGTGGTAATCGTCGCCTATAGACATGAGCAGTACCATGGACATAACAGAATATACTGTTTCGCCCATGAATCATGCGTTGCCATTTGACTCAGGTGTTATTCCCCTGTACCCAGTAAATTCACGCCATATCCCACCCTTCAAACCGAAACACAGCCAAAGAAAAAAAGAATAAGCATAAGGAAGAATGTCACTGTCTCATTCTATAATGCACCATCTGATGAAGTGTCATATGTCTAGAGGGACTAGTATTAAAATATTTATCTGGCGTGGAAGCCAGATCGCATAGATCTATGCTTAGGCACATATATACACTGTTTTATACATACACCTCTGTTCCGGAAACTGTTACTTCAGACAAGGCATTGTTCATCTAATCATAACAGGTGTATGTCAACGCTTACATGTACCTTTGATTGCAGATAATAAAAGATATCAACAACCGCAGTCATGTACTTCAAGGGAATAGAGTTCATTATGTCCCAGGATGGGACTGCCACGGTCTTCCCATAGAGTTGAAAGCCTTACAAAAAGCGAAGAAGGCGTCAAAACAATCTGAACCTAACAGCCCTGTACATATAAGACAACTTGCAAGAGCCTTCGCATTGGAGACAGTCGAAAAACAGAAAGCAGCCTTCGAAAGTTGGGGTGTTATGGCCGACTGGAATCACTGTTATTTGACATTAAACAATAATTATGTACAGAACCAGTTGAGGCAATTTTATAAGATGTACAAATCGGGGTTAATATATCGTGCTTTGAAGCCTGTTTATTGGTCCCCATCATCCAGGTAAATACATTTTGCGATGAATGAATATAGAATGGTGGGATTCGTAAGAGGCGATTAAGGGAAGTTAATGGTCGAAAGATGGGCAACTGTGTACCTTTTACAACATTACTAAAGGCCCAACTGCGGTTGCATACCTATTTGCCAAGTGTGGCAATTATTGGCAAGGGATAGTGGACAGTTGACGGCGGATATGATGAGTATGTGTATGCAGTGTAGGACGACCCCCCACTAGTTCAGGTCCGTTCTTTATGGCAGTCAATGGGGGAGGCTTATGTTCAGCAGTGGACTGGCTGAAATGATGATGAATGATGATGATGAGTATGGAATAATAATTCCACCTGTGCTGGTGGTATATGCAGACAGTTTTTATGATGTTTATAATAGCAAATCATCTCATCTAGAATACAATAATGATGCCTGTAGTATCCCTTAAGGCTTGCCTAAGGACTATGTTGTTATGGGTACCAGTAAATGATGGTAAGCGAGGATGAGCTTAGTTGAATTGGCAGTAACAGCTCTATAAGGTACTGAAATGGTTTCTATAAAGTGTTGTACATTAATACCTTGCAATTTTATTACCATATTAGTTTGTAAATTTGCAATTTTGGAACAGAGATTACCATTTATATTAGTATGTAAATTGAATTTAAAACTTTAGTACAAAATTCCATAGCGACTTTGGATGTAACGCTGAGTTCGGGTGTAGTGACTGTTTTTAATGAATCATTTGTAACAAATTCCTAAAAATCCCATGCAGATATTGCGACTGAAGTTGACCGCTAAAGAGACACCAAGATTTCTTTCTTTCACAAACATTTCTAACCTTTTGTTTACATCCACACAGATGGTCAGCAAGTATGGAGACCTTTACCTATTGTTTATAGATATCAGCTAAGTGGGTAGGGAAGCGTATACGTTTCGGAGTTGAATTTATGGTTCAGTTACAAAGTGATATTTTGAGTAACAACTGAGTTTAGTGGTAATTACTGTTACGGAAATCATTTTTAATTTTTTAAAATATACATAGGATTTTAACACTTAAGTTTATACAAATAAAAATTGTTTTAGGACAGCACTGGCAGAAGCAGAATTGGAATATGACCCTCAGTACAAGAGCAAAGAAGTCTATGTTACGTTTCAAGTCCAAAAAGTACCTGGTATTCTACAAAATACGGCAGCTGGGTAAATGCTTTTCAGATTAAAAAAAAACACTAACATTTAGACTTTCGTGTTGCATGATAAATCTTTTTTTTTATATATATACAACTTAGAATGGCAAACAAGCTGACGGTCCCACCTGATGGATAGTGGTAACCGTCGCCTATAAACATGAGCAGTACCATGGACATAACAGAGTATACTGTTTTGCCCATGATACCCCTCATGCGTTGCCATTCCTGAGGACTCAGGTGTTATTCGTCTGTACCCAGTAAATTCACGCCATATCCCACCCTTCAAACCGAAACACAGCCATGCAAACACAACTGCTTCACGGTTGAAACACGAATGGGACATAGGTACCCAAGCAATCAACTTTTGTACAAAGTCTCCCTCTGGGAAATTTTTAGGTATGTTAATATTATAAGTGTGAAATTTGTTTGTTTCTCTTTATGCCATTTAACGGTTCACCCCATTGTCATAATATTTGGTCTACGCGTAATATACGGAATGAAGAAGGACATGGTCATGGTTCCGCGGACGGAGTCACGTGTAGAAGCTAGAGGTTTATAGGAGACGGGGATTAACGTTATCATTAAGATAAAATACATAAAATTACTTGGATTATCGTGACGTTTGGACCAGGTTTTTTTTAATGGGTGAAAATGGCATAGTATCCCGACTGCGCTATCGCTATACACTGGCGGGGTACTAGTGAGGGCGTGAGGAGTGGGGGCTAACCTTCCCATTACTAACAATCTCTTCCCTCCATAAGTTTCGACCAGGTTACACCAGCTCTCACAGGTAATTCCGAGGTTGCCATACTTCAGTAAATTTGGGTAGGAACATTCTGGAAGAAGTCTATTTATAAACAACCGTTTACAGCCTTTAAACTTCATGACTCTGGACACCGTGCAGAGTTATATTTTTTGTCAAAACAAATCAAACGAGCCCAAACACGACGGATTTTTCATGTATAGTTTACGAGTTCCTATGACCACTTTCAGACCAGCTTGATGGTATCATGATACTATATTGCCAATGAACTTTTAGCTTTTGCTAACTTTCAGCACAATCAGACTCCAGCAAGTGGTTAAAATATAGATAGATAGGTGTGTGGGGAAATGTTAAAAATGTCCACCCGTGCGATGCTGGGACGGGCTGCTAGTTACTAAATAAAAATGTTATAAAGAAATAAAATTTTGTTAATAAAAAAGTGTATCTATGTATTTGTAGAAATAATGTCTCTGCTATCATTTGGACAACTACTCCGTGGACCCTGGTGGCGAACAAGGCAATATGCTACAGCCCTCATCTCAAGTACAGTCTCGTGACCTTGAGCAGTAGACCTGGTGATATGTTCATAATCTGCAACACCCTGATAGAGTCACTGGAAAAGATATTTGGAACCGAGATTACGAAGATTGTCGAATTTGAAGGTAGATATATGTTTATATTAGTTGTTTACCACGACTTCGCCCGTGTACGTATCGTGAAGTTGAATAGCCTATAACTTCTTCAACGTAGTAAGTGAATGCTATAGAAATTCTATGAGCGTGTACATTATGGAATAGCAATCGAATGACGTCATTAAGCAAACAACCAAAAAGTGTACCTCCTTATTTGTGACGTGTAACAGTGGCATAGATATTTAATTTGAACGGTTAATGTAAACAATGACCATAATTCTTTTGACAGGGGAGAAAGGGATTGTTAGTAATGAGATATAAGAGCCCTATCGCTAGTAATACACCCTATTAGGCCGACCTGCACACGGTTCCTCCTAGAAACCATAGTGGTTAATTCTTGTTTAGCTGGTCACTATGGGCCAACTGGCCTGCCTTCATCCTCACCTGTCATCCCTCACTGCTACCCTGCCACTGTATACCGATAACGCAGGCGGGGTTACTATTCCATCTTCACCCATAAAAAAAAACCACTTTTGACATAGAAAATAAATCATCCAGATATAAAGGCGTACGCAGAGCAAGACAAAATACTGTGAGATTTATGTACCTCCTTATTTAGAATATTAAAAGTGTTATGTATAGAGATATAACCCTTTTAGTAGGGGGGGGGAGGGATTGTTATTAATGGTGACTAAGGACCCTGTTGCTAGCAATATACACAACCAGGTCGACCTCCACGTGGTCTCCCCTCTAAACCATCATGCTAAATTCCAAGTGTATTCATCACGAAGAGCTAACTGACCTGTATTTTCATCCTCACCTATCATACCTCACTGGTACCCTGGAAAAACGACGGAAACGCGTACGAAGTCGCGGGCAACAGCTAGTTTATTAATGTAATAAGATTAATATTCTTGATATTGATTGTCAGGTCATCAACTGCAAGGCACCACGTACAGAAACCATTTGACCAAAGAGACATTACCCTTCCTTGAGGGGGATCACGTCACGGACAGCAAGGGAACGGGTCTGGTGCACACTGCGCCCGCGCATGGCCCAGAGGACTTCTTAGTCGCACTTAAGAACAACATGACTGTGGTAAAATTTGAATATTCCTACTCATATTATATCAGGCATTAACTGTCCACTGCTGAACATAGGCCTCCCCCATAAGTTGGGTTTGCCAGTCGTTGCCATGTTTGGCAAGTGGGTGGGCAACCGCAGTTAGCTTTAGTGATGTTTTAAGAGGGATGCTGCTGTCTCCCCTTTATGTTTGCTTTGGCCACTTTTACGACACCCACGAGAAATGAAGTGGTGGCCCATTCTATGCCGGGACCACGCTATATATTTTTCTAATATTATACTTTAATTATTTATTTATTTAAGAATAAATTGGTCACTTCATTTCCAGGTTCCCAAAACGTGTAGTGCTCTCTATACATTCATTTCTTTTTTTTATGCAACTTAGAATGATAAACAAACTGACAGCCCACCTGATAGAAAGTGGTAACCGTCGCCTATAGACATAAGCAGTACCATGGACATAACAGAGTATAGTATACTGTTTCGCCCGTAATATCCCCCATTCGTTGCCATTCCTGAGGACTCAGATGTTATTCCTCTGTACCCAGTAAATTCACTACCATTCACTTCATGATACAAATTTAAATATTTTAAACAACATTTAAAAAAAATGTCTAATTTCTCAATAAAAATATTGGCTGCTGAGCAATCAATTGTCTGATTGTTGAATTACAATTGAATTGAATCAATCAGACAATTGAATTAATATAAGAATAATTAATTTACTCGTATTTAAGTCGTGAATGTTCGATTAGTTTCGGGTTCTAATATTAATTGATAGGGGGGAAAGGGATTGTTAGTAATGGAGACTGAGAATCCCATTGCTAGCAATATACCCAACCAGGTCGACCTCCTCGCGGTTCCCCCTGGAAACTATCATGGTTAATTTTTGATTTATCATGATGGGCTAACTGGCCTGTTTTCATTCTCATCTATCACCCTTCACTGGTGCTCCGCCAGCGTATCCCGTTAGCGCAGGCGGGGTTACTATATCATTTTCACCAATAAAAAAATAAAAATTAATTGATGATAAATATTTTTACCTCTTACCAATTTAATAGTTTGACCAAATGTTATCACAATATTTGGCATGGACAAAGACATTGTAGATAAATTATAAATGCTTTTAATTTTTTTTAATTTTGTTTTTAATTTGTTTTAGGAATGTAATGTCGACGAAGCAGGTCGCTACACCAATCTAAGTGCTGACTTCAATGGACTACCAGTACTGTCTGAGGGTCAGGATTTGGTGATAGAACGCCTCGAGGATTCCGTTTTGCACCGAGGGACGTATGTCCATTCGTATCCTCTCGATTGGAGGACCAAGAAACCTGTTATAATTAGGGCGAGCAAACAGTGGTTTGTGGACACTGAAGCCTTAAAGGAGACCGCTTTGGTGAGTTTGTCTTCAGCTTAAATTATTTTATACTACTATGTTGGCAAACTGACACACAACCCGTCTGATAGTTGACGGTTACCATAGTCTATGAACGTTAGCTATACCAAAGGTTTACGTGCCTCATCCCGGTCCTGAAGAAACCCTAATACGCTCTTTTAAATAATTAAAAACTAGTCTCTGAAGAAAACCTCGACAGGGAGCTCATTTCACAACCTGAGCGTTTGCGCGAAGCGCGCGAGCACTTGACTATCCGATGTGTTCAGCACTGGCCATTTTGTTCGCATTGTAAAACTTACTTTATACCTATAATATAGAGTCCATATTTTAATTGGTTAATTACCACAGACACTTTAGAGCTAATTCATTGATCCTTCGAGCCGGATGATTGATTTTCCGACACCCATTAGCCGATACGAACGATTTCTCAGTTTTAATTTGTTATTTCAGGCATCTCTCGACAATGTACAACTGCTACCGTCCTCGAGCGCGGACCAGTCTCGCCAAGGGTTCCGGAGCCAGTTAGAACGTCGCCCCTACTGGTGTATATCGCGGCAGAGGGCGTGGGGCGTTCCTATACCAGCCCTGTACCACAAGGACGATGTTCTCGTTGACGAGTAAGTATATAACTTTTTTATTCAACTTAGAATGGTAAACAATTTGATTTATCTTAGCTCTCAGCCATGGGTAATATGCAAAAAAACAGAATAGTTCATTAACCTAATGTTTTTTTCTAGGCGTATCATAGACAAGCTTTGCTTGCTTATAGAGGCGGAAGGTCCAGACGTATGGTGGACGTGCGATGTGAAAAATTTGCTTCCAGAAGACATTGTCACAGAACAGAAGTTGGATATCAAAGAAGTCGCTAAAGGCCAGGTTTGTTCTCTATAATCAATGTACGAATGAATGAGTATATTTTATTTGCATTATACAATATAGGGAATAAGCAAGACAGTTAATAAATGTAATGATACAGGTATATAATTTTATTAATATAATAAAATTATAACTGGGCGATGTATGTTCCTTAATATCTTTGGTGTTGTGGGTGATCATGGGCGGCGGTAATCACTTACCATCAGGTGAGCCGCATGCTCGTTAGTCTCCTATTGTTGTAAAAAATAAATAAATAAATTATTAATTAATAATAATTTATTATTTATTTATTAATAAATAATATATAAAAAATTTAAAAAACCAACTTACCTGCTTCATCCTTACCTATAATCTCTTACTGGTGCTCTACCAGCGTATACCGATAGCACAGGCGGGGCTACCATTCCATTATCATCCATTAAAAAAATAACTAGTGTATTATGCCTGTAGTTCTCTGGCTTCATTCCAGGACATAATGGACATCTGGTTCGACTCCGGCATATCGTGGACTACCCTGGGCGGGTCCAAAGCACAGCTGTACTCAGAAGGTTACGACCAACTGACTGGTTGGTTTCAAACATCGCTGCTGACATCTGTCGCTTTAACCGGGGAAGCGCCTTATAGGTTAGTTTTTTTTATATCCAGTTTGGAATCTTATTTTTTTTTATTTCAGCCGTTAACTGTCCACTGCTGGACATAAGGCTTCCTCATAAGGGGAGATTTACCTGTAGTTGTCACTCTTTGAAGCGGGTTGGCAACCGCAGTTAGGATTTTAGAGATGTTTGAAGAGGGACGCTGCTGCCTATCCCTCGCCCTCGCTTAATCGTCTCTTACGACATCCACGGGTGAGGAAGGGATAGCTCAGGGATATCTCTTCTTATCTTAATCTTGGATATCGGGATCTTAATAATATATTTTCCTAACTTACTATGTTTGCGTTTCCAACAATTGTTTCGACTTAGTCTGGAATTCTCCTTTTTTTTCTTTTTAATTTTTTTTAATGTAACTTAGATTGGCAAACAAACTGACGGCCCACCTGATGGAAAGCAGTAACCGTCGCCTATAGACATGAGCAGTACCATGGACATAACAGAGTATACTGTTTCGCCCATGATAACCCCCCATGCGTTGCCATTCCTGAGGACTCAGATGTTATTCCTCTGTACCCTGTTAATTCACTGTCATATCCAACCCTTCAAATCGAAACACAGCCATGCAAACACAACTGCTTCACGGTAGAAACACGAATGGGACAGAGGTACCAAAGCAAACGACTTTTGTACAAAGTCTCTTTTTAATATTTTCAAAAAATATTTTAAGTTTCTTACTTGTACTGTTTTTTTACCAGGTCTATATTTGTACACGGATTTGTGGTAGATGATAAAAAAAGGAAGATGTCCAAGTCAATTGGCAATATAATTGAACCCTCTACCGTCATACACGGCGGCAAGGACAGGAACGCTCAGCCGGCGTATGGCGTTGATACACTAAGGTGAGTTTTTTTTATCGAATGATAATGGAATGTTAACCCTGCCTGCGTTAACGGTATATGCTGGCGGGGCACCAGTGAGGGATGATAGGTGATGATGAAAGCAGGTCCGTTAGCTCGTCATGACGAATACATGTAAAATCTAGCACGATGGTTTTCAGGGGGTACCACGTGGAGGTTATATTGTTAGCAATGGGACTGGTAGTCCATATTACTAACAATCCCTTTCCCCTCTCATTAAGGCGAGTTTATACGACGCTGGCTCGTCCGTCATACTCGGGAACGGGTGGTATTTGTAGGGGCCGGTCTGCTTTAGTTACAACGACATAGAATAGCAAGTTAACGGCTCTTCTGAAGGGTAGTGGTAACCATCACACTCATAGTTATGAGTGATTCCTTATAACTTATCACACAAAATTGTATGAAAACGTTGATCCGCTTTTTTCAAAGCATTTGTATGGAAACATTCTATTATTATAATCTACAATTGTAAGCTATTATAATTTTGTACCAGGACTGCATAAAATTGAAGATATATCTTATGTCACAGATGGTGGGTAGCAAGCCATGCAACGCAGCATTCTCAAATAGTCATCAGCAAAAAACTGCTTGACGATTGTCAAAGTGAAGTCATCAGGATACGAAGCATACTGAAATACCTTCTTGGCGTAATTAATGACTTAGAAAAACCAGATTTTGACAGAAAACCCTCTTTAAATTATTTCGACGAATACCTATTAGGTGAAACATATGATTTTCTTAAACAAATAAGTGAACATTATAGCCATTTTAGATATAATCACATCGCACAGGCAACACTGTTTTTTATAAGTAATAAAGTGTCCGCTCTATACTGCCATTGTGTAAAAGATAGGTTATATTGCTCCCATAGAGAATCGGACCAAAGGTTATCTGCTCAATTAGTTGTTAATACAATATTAATATCTCTTTGTAAGGCATTAGGGCCTATTTTGCCGCATTTAATAGAGGAAGCGTGGCAACACCATCCGTTGTACGAACGACCGTTCCATTTCACGCGACAGTTGTCAGTTTTACCGCCAAAAACAGTTGACACTTCCCTTATGGTCGCCATGTTGGATCTGAAAAGAGATATTTGTTTGATTGCCAAAAATGAGAATTTGAAAAAGTTTGACGTCAATATTAAATTGGAAACGGATTTGTATGAGAAATTGAAAGAATTGAACCGCACAAATGATGCGAATGATAGTGTGCTATGCGAAATATTGGAAGTATCTACTGTTAATTTGGAGGTTATGAATGGCGGGAAAAATTGGCATATTGAAATGTCAGAGAGTGAAAGAAGCCAGTGTTTGCGATGTAGGAAATATAATGCTTTAGAAAATAGCGACAAATGTTTGAGATGCGAAGAAGTTGTTAATTTATTGTAAAATATTAAAAAGATAGAATACTATACCGATTTGTAGACCGTAAAAGTTGTGCGTTCGAATCTAGTGAATACAAAGAGTTTGTCAATTTAAATTAAAAACATCGATAATAAATCTTATTAATTATCCAAGAGATGGCGGTGGGCTCGTTCTTTACTACTATCAATATGCTCGACGAAATGGGTGCATGTCGATAAATACCTCTAACTATCAATCCCTCTAACCATTGCGGATTATAGTAGTTATTTAATTATTTATTTTATTATATAGATGTTAATTATGTACAATTAAATATTTCAAACCTAGATATGGTTTCTTTATATAAATGCTTCGACAGAAAAGGACTTTTTATTTATTTATACAGGAAAACCAGGGCTTCACTAGTATATACAGAAATTGTCTACAGTTACAAAATAATGGTCGTTTCCTGCAGTTTTACCCGCGTGAGACAGTATATATTAAATATCTTGTTTGTTAAATAAATATGTCAAGTACGATAGTCTGACTTTAACACAGGACTTTCTTTGCTTGGAGGCTAGACACTTTTTTAAAGGGCTTTTACCTTCTTCAGGTATATCAGCCCTATCGTACCCTGAACTGATATCTCAAATAAAGTTTTATCTACTTTCCCTACTCACGAAAAGAGAGGAATTAATGGGCATTAATAATTTACAGAGATGATCAAAAATTTTTTATTTTGGTTCAGCTAATATAGATTGAATAAAATTCTATCACAAAAGATTTCAAATAATTTTAATTGAAATGACTTATTTTTTATATCCACAATAGAAAAAAAAAACACGATGTACTTTGATCTTTTCCAAGCAGAAAAACTATAGAGTTGTCATGTTTCCCGCTAAATTAGAAAAAAGTCCCGCCAAAAACGTTATTTATCCAATTTCGCGTTCTTTTTTAAACTGTTATTTAATTGGTATAGATGATGTGTATTTTAAAATATACTTTGTATATATTCGAAGAATTATGAATAATAAATTTATCTTTTGTTGTACTTTGTTGTATTTGTTTTATTTCTTCGCAAACAAAAATGGCGGCATATCGTTAATTAATTTTTGGATATGGCCATTTCAGCTTTGTTATCTTCCATACATACATCTGTCACGTCTCTCTCCCATTGGGGTAGACAGACACAATAGAACGCCAAATGCTTATATTTTAGGTTATGATTAAATTATATACATATAATACCCCTTATTCATAAAAAAAAACTAAAACGTCCTACAAACCTATTATAACTAATACATTGTTTTGTCACTTTTATTCAAACTGAGAATTTAGTGTAAAAGAAAGAGACAACGGTTCAATAGCTAAAATCGGTTTATGAGAAAATTGAGGTTTTTTTTTTTTTAATAAGAGGGTTACTCTATTTCAATCATAGACGCGTACAATGCGGTTTCAGAGATGTTTTTTCCCAAGAGACTACAGCATGGGGTTCTTCAAAAGGGGGGTAAAGAGGTTTCTTCAGGGTCGGCACCGCGCACGTAATACCTCTGGTATTGCAGGCGTTCATAGGATATTTTTATATACCTACTTATTTTAAAAAAAAAAAACATTTAGTATTGTTTTTGATACTTTAGGCATTACGGTAATCAAAATATTTAAATTTATTTAACAATGAAACAATGCAAACCGCGGTATCAAATTTGAAACTTCAGGTATTTAAGGGTTAATTCTAAACCAATTTGGAGAATAATTCTTTATCAGAAATCTTCTATTCTTTTATCTATCTATCTATCTATTCTTTATTAGTATTATAATTAATAAGAAAATTAGACTACAGCATGTTCTTGTACAGCGTGTTCTTTAAAAAAGAGGTTTCTTCAGGGTCGTCAACGTGCACGTAATGCCCCTGTTATTGCAGGCGTTCAACAGCCACGGTAATCGCTTACCATCTGGTGCGTCGTATGCTTGTTTTTCGTCTCAGTGGTATAAAAAAAATGCTTACAGATTGGTCACATAGATTTTTCGTCAAAATCGGTTTAATAGTTTACTTTCTAGATTAAAACCTTATCTACAATTATATTATAGATACAATGTTTCTGGCAAATAAATTTCATTTTATATAGCACACAGTTTTGACGCAGTCTGGCGTAAAAAGACAGCTTCGTTTTTACGTCGAATACGCGGCAGTAGCAATAGTATTCTGAACATGTTTGTTAATAAATTGGATAGTCCTCTCGTGAGAATGCTCGCCGAGAGGACTAGATCATTATTAGTGATTAAGTATTAACATAGTTTTTAAGTACACTTACTAACAAAAAAGGATCCAAAATTCTATACATAAATAAATTAAAAAAAAATTCATTTCATTTCAAAAATAGTTTTGTCAGAATTGTAGTAGTTTTTTTTTTTATAGGACCCGATCTTGAATTATTAAGTACTACTCAAATAGACTATTGTTTGGAACTTAATGTACCTACTTATTAATATGGCAATCAAATATCGCCAAGCCCACATAATTCCAACAGTGCGTACGGCCTTTGTGCGGAATACGGCGCGATTAATATCGGATGGCAATTGTGATTGTGCAAGTACAGTCAGCGTAAAAAGCTACCGTAAGAAGATTTTTTTATACCACTGAGGTGGCAAACAAGCATACGGCCCACCTGATGGTAAGCGGTAACCGTAGCCTATGAACGTCTGCAATACCAGAGATATTACGCGCGCGTTGCCGACTCTGAAGAAACTTCTTTACCCCCCCTTTGAAGAACCCCATGCTGTACTCTCTTGGGAAAACCTCGGCAGGGAGCTCATTCCATAACCTGATAAATATTATATATTCTTTATTGTACTTGTAAGTTACATATAAAAAAAAATCTATTTATAAATGTTGTGAGCAAGGGTGGACTTATCTCTGACAGAGATCTCTTCCAGTCAACCCAGTATAGTAAGAAAGCATTTCGTATTATTAATAATAATAAATAGTAGATAGCTCCACGATGACTGTACATAGGAGATATTTAAAAAAAAATAGAGGAGTTTTAGTGGAAATTTCCATCATAACATTGAATGCCCAAAAATTATATATGAAAGAATAAGTTCACTTTAAGTTGATCGTGTTGACCTTTTTAATGTCCATTGCAGAAAAAAACATAGCTGTCAAATTTATTTTTTTACCATTTTTCCTTTAATTTTGAACATGAATTATATCACCTTGATTTATTTCACCAATAAAAAAAATCATGCAAAGAAGGGTTAAAGACCATCGGTCGACAGTTTTTTTTTGTTGACTGTGCTACTGATTGCTGCGGAATATAAGATGTATGTTGCTTATTTCAATTCGTACCGACCGGTTTGTATATTGCAAATACTTTTTTCTTTGATTAATATTTACAATAACCACTGGCTGTATACCAACCGCGCTTTGCCTAAGTGGATTTAGATAAAGTATATGATGTATATTTAAAATGATGTTTATAATTTATCATGTAATTTATCTATGGTAAAAATTAATATTGAATCTATGGCAAGAAGAAATAATAAATCTATGGTAGAACGAAGTTAATTTTGGTTGTTAGTTAATTATTATATTGTTAAGTGGATTTGTAAAACAAGTTAAATTGCATTTTTTAAGAAATATAAAAAATGCTGTTTGATTATTTAATTGTATTTTTTTTTCACACGGTGTCACGGACGGCGCGGACACTACAGTATGTATCTTACAGTGATCAATCTATAACCATCACTAATATTAAATTCCTTACCATTCCTTTTTAATATCCCGTCTCGTTTCCTGTTCGTCAATGGTGTAGTAGTTCGGAGTAAATCAGTAGAACAATTAGATTTATCTATATAGATATTTTTTATACAGAACGTATTTATAAAGGACACATATAGAAAAACAGAAATTAGAAGTGCGGGATACGAGCAATTGAGATAGAGAGGATGACAGCGATAATGAATATAAGAAGAAAACGTCTTTGGTGCAGCCAGTTAGAAACAAAGAAGGAAATATCTATGTACAATTTAATTATATTACTTGATGGAAAAGGAAGTGATGTTGACAAGTGGCTATGAAATGAATATGTACAATATTTATTTACAGATGTCACAGTGGCATATCGGGTAACACTAGCCCTTTGCCAATATCAGTATTATATTATCTGTACCAATATTAAAATAAAAAAAAAATCTAGTCCACTAGCGATCCGTCCTGGCTACACACGGATAGACAGAAAGATAAATTAATATTTTATATTAGCTTTGATAAGTAAGTTTTGGATACATTGAGTTACATTATTGGAATTTTCATAAGAAATCTCTAACATTTTGAAACTAATATATGCCCTATGTTACTCGCTTTCCGTAATTGATAGATTGAGAAATTTTGGAGTTTATTCATTACGAACAAATGAACAAATTTTTACATTTTTTTTTATTTATAAGTAGAGGTGTATCAAATTGCATTCAAAATAGGGAAACCATAGGGTACATTTTTTTTTACATTTTTTTACCTCACGTTAACGGAAGAGTGAGAAAGAAAGAGCGGGAAAGTTATTGGTAGGTGATTTTTACCCGAATAAAGTTACCATTTAAAACGCAGCAAAGTGTAACAAGTAATAAATTACGTTTCAAGTTCCACTAGATTTATTGTAGGCACGCCATGGGTCTCTGGGATCACGATACATCTTAGAGCCGATCGCAAATCAGGAGCTCGACGGGAGACGATAAAATTTAGAATTAGGCGGTTGAATTTTTAATTCTAAGTACCGCCAGCGGATTATGGATTAAGTTTCACAGATATTTATCTAATACATATATTATTTGTATATTTCACTATTTTTTTTTTGATGGGTGAAAATGGTATGGTAACCCCGCCTGCGCTAACGGGATACGCTGGCGGAACACCAGTGAAGGGTGATAGATGAGAATCAAAACAGGCCAGTTAGCCCATCATGATGAATTCATCGGAAATTCACCATGATAGTTTCCAGAGAGAACCGTGAGGAGGTCGACCTGGTTGGGTATATTGCTAGCAATGGGATTCTCAGTCTCCATTACTAACAATCCCTTTCCCCCCAGTATATATTTCACTATTAGGCAGGGTACGTGTTAGCTCAAACAATTTTCTGGACACAATTGCCAATAAAATGGACTATTCTGTCCTCAAATACTCGGTGGGATAGGTTTATGATTTATTTATTTATTTAACTCTTTATTGCACCATAAATAAAAATATACAATGACAAGTGAATAATTCAAGTGAAATACAGTAACATAAATACATATTGAAATATACACGTAAAGGTACAGAAGGCGGTCTTATCGCTAGGGCGATCTCTTACAGACAACCTTTAGCTAAAGGAGAACAGATAGAAATGGGCAGGTGGCGCAAGAATGAATTAATATATTTTTCGATTTATTTATTTATTTAACACTTTATTGCACTAATATTACAGGACTTGTTGAATAATTTTCAATAAGTAAAAGTATTAGTAACAAGTAATAATAATAATAAAAGCCGGTATTATTTCTAAGCAATCTCTTCCAGACAACCTTTGGGTAGAAGGAATCAAAGAATGAATAGGTAGGTGGAGCGTTAAAAATATAGATCTAAACATGTGTAAAAGAGCACAATCATATACCAGAGGGAGACTTTGTACAATAGTCGATTGCTTGGCTACCTCTGTCCCATTCGTGTTTCTACCGTGAAGCAGTTGTGTTTGCATGGCTGTGTTTCGGTTTGAAGGGTGGGATATGGCGTGAATTTACTGGGTACAGAGGAATAACACCTGAGTCCTCAGGAATGGCAACGCATGAGGGGTATCATGGGCGAAACAGTATATTCTGTTATGTGCATGGTACTACTCACGTCTATAGGCAACGGTTACCATTTTCCATCAGGTGGACCGTCAGCTTATTTGCCATTATAAGTGGTATTATAAAAAAAAAAAATCATATACATACGAGGCCTGTCCGGAAAGTTCGTATAAAAGTGTTCTGGAATGCGAGAAAGAGGAGTGGGGAGGCCATAAGCGCAGGACCCCTTCC